GCTCAAATTCCTTCAGAATCGTAAAGGCACAAGACGGAGGAGGAGAAATACTAATACACAAAATAATGTAAAATAATAATTTATTAACCAAAATTGATAAATACAATCGGACCTCACTTCTAGATAAACCTTTTAGGTTGCAAATCATATCCTATAATGATCATATACTTAATTGAAAAAATTTTTAACTTGAAAATTTAGGTTGTCCTATTAAACTATAAGGTTGTGGATTTTTTAAATTTTCTAAAAATATATTTTTAATTTTCAAAAATCAGCGTTTGGATGATCAATCAGAACAGTCCTCTTTAAGTGTATCCAGACCTTCGAATAACTATAGACATTACCATTCCGCAAAGCCTATAGACAATTGGACACATAAAATTGAGATGGACAGAATGTTAGGTAGAAATATTTTTTAAAATATTTCCAAAAAAATCATTAAAGATTCTACATCTACAAGACACACTAATTTAACTCCTCAACATGGGGCACATGGAACTATCGGTTCACATGGAGGTTCTCATGGAGCTATAATGGTAGATCTTTATTATCATTTTATCCTTGTAATTACATATTTTGGAATTATGGGTTATATGAAATTTCTACTTTTTAACTTAACCTAATTCGGGTTCGGGGGATCTTAGACAGTTTTTAATTTTTTAAATCCCAGAATTTGTGGACTAAAGACTCGAATACATATAGATACCTTAATCCCATAAAAATAAAAAATACATTCTAACAGAAATGACTAAAACCTATTTTTCTATTCCAGTTAAACAATAAAGCAGCAATAGCCTCCTCATCTAGTCCAGAACACCAACACCATTATAATTCATTACATTTACATGAACAACACCAAACTTCGTCCGGTGTAGCTACACCATCACACACTCCGACACAGATAACTGGACAATCAAACGGACAACTTAAGGTTTCTAATGATTGAAAAATTTCTTTAACAAAGTGTTGCTGTGCCATTTTAACAAAAAAATAGGCAATAATTAATTTTCTGAATTTTTATTATTTTCTTGATTGTACTAAATGTACTAATTTTTTGTTTGTATTTTTGAAAATTAAATATAAATTTTTTTAACCTTTGATTTACCAAACTACTACATATAACAAGCTAAAATTAGAATGAATAAGCTAAAATATGTTCTTATATCAAGTTGTCATGTGTCCAAACCTAAAAAACTGTCAAATCCAACTCTAACTTATGGGTTTTTCTAATTTGTAAGTTAATTGAATTGAACGGCTAAATTGAATTTGAACTGAAATTGAATTTTGCCTTCGAGTAAAGCAGCTGGGCTATAGCTATTTCTTCTTTTAGCTAGTGCAAAAGGTTAATCGGCGGCTGGGAGCGAACCAGCATCTTCAGTAGACCGGACTGATGTGTTAGCCATTACACCACGCCGTCTACTGCATAGCCTTAGGAAATGAATAGCTATATGCTTTACATTCGATATCTAAATACCTATACTACTATTCGTTTTATTTAATAATAACAGTCGGATCTCAGTTGTGCAGCACCTCTGTAGAAAAAATCCAACGTTAAGCTGAAAGTGATGTACAAATAGATACAATTATGATCCGACTTTATTTATTCATTTAACAAATTAATTGTTTGTCGTGTTCTTAATATTATTAAGTAAATAATTAAAAATTAAATTAAGAGGCTCGATCCAGTAAAACTTATAGTTGATGAAATGCCCTATGCTGATAATGAAAACGAGCAATAATTAAAAAGATTTTAATTTGTTTCACAGAATAAATTTATAATTTTTCTCCAATTTTTATATTTTTCTGTTTTTTTATTTCTTTATAAATTTTATTTGTTCTATTTGAAAGCTTAAGGAGCTGATTAAGCTTCTTCATCCCGGAAATGCGATTTTGCCGACCTCTAGTATATGTAAATATGTTTACTAAATTCATACATGAATAAATATAAATAATATATGTTGTATGTATAAACTAGTGTTGGTCACGGTACCGTATTACGGCGGTATTTTTCAGTAATACCGCGGTATTTTTACCGAAATACCGATACCGAATACGGTACCGAACAATTTTTAAAAAATCGGTATTTTTTCGGTATCGGTATTTTACCGAAAATACCGATACCGAAAAATCGCGTTTGACCAACACTAGTATACATAAGTTGATTTTATCATTTGGGTGTAATTTGTTTTGAGAAAACAGAATTAATTAGTTTAACTAAATTTTTAAATTAACTTCCTTTAAAAATTAATTAGTAAGTAAATAATATTAAATTAAATTCGTTTATTTGAACTAGTGTAGTTTATTTACTTACTAATATAAACTTTCTTTAAATAAAGATTGATAAAGTTCTAAATTTAACAGAAAATTTAAACTAAAGGCTAGTTCCTTTGTTTTTTAAATTAATTAGTAAGACAAATTTAAATTGATCTAATTTAAGTAAATAAATATTAAAAAATAACTAATAAAAAATAAATTCCTCTTAAAATTTGTAATATATACATATAAGGACAGAAAATAAAAGATTTAAAAACAATTAATTCTTCAAAATTAAATTAAAAATTCTTTAAAAACAAAAAAAAGATGAAATTCCTTTCCCAATTTATTCTTTTTTCTCGCCTTTATTTTAATTTTATCTACATTCATTGCAGCCGAAATGAATGCTGAAATTGAAAATGGAGATAATGGGGGAAGATGTTAGTTGTAATTTTTTAATAAATTATTTTTTATTAAACAATGGGGGACTTAATTTAGTAAATCTTTCTACGATTTTCTGTGCCAATATCTAAGATACCGTTTGACAGCCGTGTTCATTAAATTTATTAAAACATTAAAGAATTTTAATTGTAGATTAATTAAATCTCAATTAAAATGAACGAAATCCCTTCTTTGTCGCTTTTCGATTGCAATATCGTATCAAAAAATTGAGAAGTCTTAGAAAAACGAATCAAAATTAGAACAGCTATAATATTTATCAATTTTTAAATTTATTTATTTTTAGTTCGTCGCTGGGGACATTGGGGTCATCATGGAAGACATCATTGGGGATGGGGAAGACGTTAAGAATCAGCATTTGAATGGATTTTGATTAATTTTGATATAAAATGAGCTTAAAAATAAAAAGATTTATAATATGCTTTTATTGTCAAAAAATATTTTTATTATAATTTGATAAAAATTATTGGCTGATTAATGCTAAAAAATTTAAATAAATTTTAAACTATTTAAAATTTGATTAAAAATATATTTGCGAGTTAATTATTTTTTGTAAATTCCTATTTATCCGCGCGTAAAATAAATTGAATAAAAATTATGTTTTAATCTATTAAGATTCAATTTTTATTTTCATTAATTTCATTTTAATTAATTTACTACATATTTATATTTGTAAATATTATGTATATGTGCATATTGTTTTTAAAGTTTAAAAATTTATTTTTATTTTATTAGAAAGGGTGTCAATTAAAATTCAAATGCCATGGCTCTTTTGACATTTTATAAATATTTTCTTTATCTAAATATTAATTTATCTCCTAATTAATTATTTATATATTTTATTATAGAGAATTAATAGATTAAACGTTGAGAATTTATTTAGCAATTTTGTTTAAATTATTAAAAATTAATATTATTTAGATATTTACTATTTTTAATTTATTAGCATCTGTTAATTTAATTAATAAAAAGAATTTTTAATCGCAAAACTAAATCTTTTTTTACATTTTTTTACATTTCTAAAATACAAAATCTACAAAAAAAAATTTTTATTCAAATTTTAATTAAAAATTTTTTTGTGTTTTCATATTTCCTTGTAATGGAATTTTAAATTTTTAAGTAAAATTTTAAAAGAAATATTACAAAAATAATTTTTTTTAATTTATTTTAAAAATTTAAAATAAAAAAATTAAAATGGCAACACAAAATATTTCTCAATTAAATAATAATTTTGTTCGAATATTTTGTAATTCAATTGGATATATTGAACTTTTAATCCATTTAATTTTATTACTAATTTCTTTTATTTTTGTATTTCTTATTGTACGTACATCTTTATTACATTGGAATTTAAAATTTATTTTATTGTGGCAATGCTTTTGTAATTTAATTTATTGAATTAGTAGAACTATACAGGTATTTAATAAAGTATATTGACTAAAAAGAATATCTAATCTGGAATCTGTGAATTCTGTGTATAGAATTTGCTCCACAAGATTTATGGGCAGATATGGCATGCCTATATTTGCATACCATTTATGTCGATTTATTTTACTCTTGCCGGGTGTATAACAAATTTTTTCGAAAGTATTTGTAAAATATTCTAAATCGTCTAACCGTAATTTGTATTTTTGGAGTATTTCTAAAAAGTTGTTTCGAAATTTCGATTTTCATTTAAATTTTCGATTTTTGCGGGTTTTTTTTCTTTCGATTTATTATTTTCGAATTTTGAAAAAATTTGTATTTTGGCGCCAAAAAGGAATACCAAAAAGAAGGAATTTACTAACATATCAGGAATTTTACTCAAATCCTCCATTATCCACACAAATCTCATACTGAGAGTTCCACATACCAAAAATTAATTTTGAAATATTTTATAGTAAATTTTTTTCGATTTTCGTTTTTCGATCTTCAAGGTTATTTTTCTTTCGATTTCGAAGATTTTGAAAAATATTTTCGATTTTTGATTTCGATATTTTTGGATTTCTTTTGATTTTCAATTTCCGATTTTCGAAGATTTTTTGTTTCGAAACATCTCTGTTCCTGATTGTCAGACTTTACTCCTGCTTTTATCAAAGCCTGATCCGTATAAAGTTTTCAATAAAAACATTTTCTCCAAATTTTTAGTTTTTTTTTCAATTACAATATTTTTGTATCATACAATTAGATTAATACGTAATTATCAATAATTTATTTAAAAATAAATTTTAAAGATTTTGGGCAAATTAATTAATGATATCGACTTTTATAATCAATTCAAATTTTTACAATTTTTTGTATTGGCAAGTATGATATTAGGCACATTTATTGGACATGTTCTCCTTCTCGAAAGAATATTAGCTACTGTTTTTGTGTCAAAATATGAAAATAATAAAAAGCCTTATTTTAGTATTGTCTGTTTTATTATTGTGGTTTGTTTTTCTTTGAATTTAAACAAAAAAAATTAATTACTTCATACATTTTAAAGAAATATAGCAAAAACAATTTTTCTAAGAATTTCTAAAATTTTCAGATGTTTCTTTCATTTCAAAATGCCTATCGCCAAACATATTATGGCGATTCTGTATTTGATGTTGCCTTGGGAACGCTAATTACTATTTATGGAACTTTATTTTTTGGTGTACTTGAAATTGCTGTAAATGATTAAAATTATATTTATTTTTGGAATTATTTTGAATTTAAATTTCAGATAATTGGATATATTGGATATTACAACAATACAAAATATAAATTAAAAACATTCCTTTATTTCAAACATAGTCTTTCAGAAAGATATCAGGCAATATTTTAATTTGTTTTAATTCTTTATCAGAACCTCAACTCGTTGCTTTCCTATTTCTAAAACTGTATCAGATTATTCCAAAATTATGGCAATTCCGGTTCCTTCCGGTTTTTTAAACAGGACCATGAAAGCACCACTCTAATTTTTGCTCTACCTTTCAAGCATATTTTCAAACAAAAATTTATGCGGATAATATTCTAGCATTTAAATAAATATTTATTAATTTTAGTTATCTGAGAATATTCGCACTAGTCGTCAATTAAAACCAACTTTTATATTACATTTTATTAACATAATAATTTCCAGTGGAGTAACTATTGTATTTAGCTTCATACATTTAAAGGTATGCTTAAAGTACAGAAATATAATATAAAAATTATCCCAAAACGCTCAGAATATTTAAAAAAAATTTTCCTCTATCATATAAATTTTTACAAAAAAATATTTATTTTAGGATCAACCTTCCATTAATCTAATTTTCACTTTTGTCTTTGTAATAACTGCTTGTTGTAATTTATCTATTCAAATAACAGTAATTATGTAAGTTTTTCAATTTTAAAATGTCCCTAAATCTATTCCAATTATTTACTGATATTTTTTTATTATTTAATTCAAATAGGGCTTCGAAAAAACAAAAATTTTAAAAATAACTTTTTAATTATCAAATTTTATCAACAATTAATTTTTAGTTTTCATCCAATTCTAAATAAAAAATTCAAACAACTTTTGAAAAACTTTCAAAATAAAATTTTGAAAGTTTCTTCAACTAAAATAGTTCCAAGTGAAAAATCTCCAACGTTGTTAGGACAACTTCCATTAAATATAGATGGAGAGCATTTAATTATTAAAGAGAAAACTGAATTGTGTCAGAAACACTTTGAAATGCTTAAAAAAGCTTGGGAGTGAAATAAAAATTATTTTGTTTTTTAATTAAATTTTTGTAAATAGTATAAATAAATGATTCTTTTATTATGACTTAATAATTAAATTAATTGGGAATACTCGATCTAGGATCTAGGGGAATATCGGGGGATAAACTGTTGGCAATGTTTCTTCCTTTTTCTGCGACGCTGGCGAAAATTTTGAGAGTTTTGGAAGGGCAAGTAGATCTGAATGTGATGATTCTTTTTCCTAAAGGACTATATAATTAGAAATTCTTGCACAAAAAAAGAAAGGATGAATTAAAAAATAATTTTTATTAGTCGTTATTTCCAAGCCAACCAAATTAAAAAATATTTATTTCCCAAATTAATAAGCTAGTAAAATAATGATAAGCGAGCCATAAAAGGGTAAGCGAAGTTCGTAAAAATCAACACAATATTAAAAACCAGAATAGGCCAACAGTGAACATCAAAAAAATGAGAATTTTGAAAGTTTAAACTTGTATAGTCAGTCGGAAATGATTGTGAAATTAGTAAAATAAATGCGGGTTGAAAAATGACAGACTACTAAATAATTTACATTAAAAAGGAAAAAGGGATGGCAGATACTTGGAAATCTTCGGATATCCGGATCCGATATCCGAATTGATGATTTCGCATATCGCGTCTTTTTTGAGTCCGGATCCGCCAACCTTAATCAAGAATATTAAAGCAAACATAAATTTTAGAAAGGCTAAAAATAGGAAATATATTTTACAAATTACATCAGAATAATAGAATTACCGCATATGCTCGAATAATTACCCTGGGTAATTATTGTTTCAACATCTCGCTGAAGGGAGGTAGTTAATAGAGCGGAGGTAATTACTATTTGAGCTTTTATTAAACAGGATAATTATAACTATTTTTAAGAGGGGTAATTATTGTTTCAACCTCTGGTTGCAGTGGGTAATTAATAGAGCGGGAGTAATTATTCTAGAGAGGGTAATTAATAGAGCATATACGGTAGGTATTTCATTGGAATTAGGTATTTCATTAGGTATTTCACTCTGGGTAACATCTCGATAGAGAGGAAATTAATCGAAGGAAAGAAATTGATAGAAGGGTACTTTTCCGTTAAACGTAACCCCCTAAATTAATGATCAAAATGTCATATATAGGGTAGAAAAAAAAGTCGACTCCAGTCATCGATGACTGGAGTCGTCCACCCAGCGAGTGGTATGGTTAACTACTACCACCTCATCGATGACTCGAATAGGATTATGTTACGACCCCAGAACAAAGCGACCGTTGAGCGACCAAAACCTCGCGCGGGGTTTTGCACAAGCGCCTAGCCTACGCCTTTTACGTTGACCATTTTGAGCTTGTTCATCTCGTCTCAGAATAAAGATTTCGATCTGGTTACGTCAAACGGAAAAGTACCGATAGAAGTTATACAGTACTTATTTTTAAAAATCATTTATGTTTAATCAGTTTTTTCCAAAATTTTATTAAAAAAGTCTGGGCATTTAAAGTAGTAGAGTACACCCAGCGAATAATATTTCAGTTGGTGAGAGACAATTGAACGAAAAGTATATTCATTTTCAATACTTCGATTAATTAAACGAAAACATTCATCCAATCTTTGAGCCCCTTCAATTAAACCTAATCTTCGTTGATTATATCGAAGTAAAATATTTGTGTATTTAACAGATTCGTTATAAAGTAATTCTTTTCCTTCGGGAGACATGCCTTCAGCATCTTTTTTGAAAAAATTAAGTTATTAAATGAAAATTTAAAAAATTGCGATAGAGGGACATGTTTAGGCACTTCACCTCTATTTCAAAAATTATATTATCCCTTATATCAAATTAAAGTTTTTACCCGATTTTGTAAAAATAATAGCTATTAACAAAGCAAATTCAACGCTTGTTAATGCAACACGTTTGAAGTGAACGACAGATTTTGTAAATGAATAATCTGCCCAATTAAGCAACCTAAAAATTAAAAATATATGTATTCCATATCTTCTCAATCAGAGATTTTTTAAAATTATTTTACAAGGGTGCGGCAAATTTCCACCCCTTTTGCTGTAACATTTATCGCTTTAAACACCTTTAAATTTTATAATTTAGTCTGATAAATGTTATTAAAGTTTGAATTATCTATTTTTGCTGAGTATGAAATGAGGTATTGCAAAAATAAGAACGCGGTAAATTTGCCAGACCGTGTATGTAGAATTTTATTAATAAGATTAAAATTTTGAATAAAATTATATTAGAAAAATATTTACTCTTCATCATGTGCATATTCACTATTATTCTTAAAACCAAGAGCCGGCATAACAAAATCTTTACGTGTCCAAGTTTCAGAACCTAATTCCCAAGCTAGGTAGGTGTTTGTAAATGAAGTAAACAAACGACAAATCTGCCTTAGATGTGCAATCTATTTTAAAGAAATAAAAATTAATTTTTCTTACAAAGAGCAGACCCCCCCCAAAAATATTGGTTAAAGCTCTCCGAATTAGTAAAAAACCAAAAAAGGATAATTTTCATTTTTAGTTTTAAACTAAACTGAATGAGGAAAGTTAGCTTAATACAAAATGTAAAGTGTACCTGATCAGATAAAGTCAATTTTTCAAAAACAGGCATAGATTTAGCTATACCAACACACAAAAGTCTGTCAACTAATAAATATTTGTGATAACGATTGTTAAACTTTCCTTCATTTTCTGTTGAAGTTTCACGACTTTTTAATTTATCAAAAGTTATTGGGATTGGATTTGGCTTTAAAACAAAATTTCATTTAAAAATTAAATTAAGATTTACCGAAAAATTATCAAGTAAACGAAAAATATTAAAATTAGATGAAATTATTTCTTCAAACAAAATCGGGCCTTTAAGGAATATATCATCCAAATCATTAAATGCATGCATAATACGTTTTTTGGCTTCAATAATTGGTAAAATTGAGTTTATTAGTTTCTGGTCTTTGATGGTTATGTCGACAGTTGGGGAATTTAGTATCTTAAAAATAGAGAGAATTTTAATTATTGTTTTGTTATGTTTTGTTTTTGTTCCTTTGGGTATTCTACATATGTATATACTGCAGGGGGTATGGAAAATTTTGAAATTTTCTTATTCCTGTATAAAATAAATAAATTTACTTTAATTTCATTTTTTTGTTCTTCCATCACTTCCCGACATATATCATGACGTAAATATCCAATATCTAAAATACTTTTTTTATTAGGTAATAATTATTTTTAAATATTGGATATCGTTTTTCCGGTAGTAACTACCCTGGTTGATTATTGTTTCGACCTCCAGCTGGAGTAATAGTGGTGGGGTAATTATTTGAGAGAGGGCAATTATTATTTCGACCTCTATATATTTTATATTATATAGACATATAAACAGGGATATACACAATTATACATAGTACGATACCGAATACAGAGATAAAAATGTTGACGTTCTTACTTTTTTCTATATAATGTAGAGACCGGGATTTTGAGACCGGAATTTGCAGAAGGAACCCGTTCGGGACCCGGAAGCGGGAAAAGCGTTTCCATTTTTCCCGGTCAAAAAATGGCCGTGTTACCTTTAATAATACCTCCAAATTTAATGATACCTCCAATTTAATAATACCTCCAAACCTCCAATTAGCTCCGTAGGCGAAAATTTTGAGAATTTTGCAAGGCCCAAAAGCCAAAATTCTTACTTTTTCTGAGCCGCAGGCGAAAATTTTGAGAATTTTGGAAAAATTCTTTACAATTTGCTGCTAGAATTTTTCCCGGTTTCCCGGTCAGAAAAGCTGGGATCGGGAAACGGATAATGAAATTTGACCGGCCGGGACTCAAACCGGGAAAACTGGAAATTCCCGGTTTCATCCCGGTATCTTAAACAAAGCCGGGAAAAAGGACTGGGAAACGGGACCGGGTCCAGATCCCGTTTCTGTTCTAATATATTGTCCATAAAATGGAGTTATACCAATAATACACCCGTCTTGAGATGTTTCTTGTATATACCTCACTTGAATCACCATGAAGGGATATAAAAGAATTATAAGTGATAAAGAGAGTATCAGGGGATAAGGTGTTACCCTTATTTTGACAAACCCAATTTTTTCATTCCAACAGAAAGACATTTTTGTAGTCTGCATTTTTTACATTTTGCAAAATCTGGTTGGGATTTTTCGCCTTTATTCTCTTTTGAACATTTACATAAATTATATTTCCACACATTTTCGTTTTCAAGATAACGCCTTTTGGAAGGAAATTTTTGGAAAAATTCCGTCATATCTCCCATACTCTGATTTGGACAACCAATATTTCATTCGAAACTGCTCGACTAGCTGCGTCGAATGACATCAAAATCAGCTTGATTTGACAAATCAGTTTGATAACTAAAAAGTTGGTTAGAAAGAGGAGATTTAGTTGCCCAATATCTTTAATCTTGGCGATTCGAACACTCTCGTTCAAAAAATACTTTTTCGGCTGAAATAAGTTTCACTTGACTTACGAACTGCGTAAGAGGTTACTTGTAGTCTTCGCTAACTGGTAAAAAGTTGAATTTTTCTGAGATTATAGGGCACCAACAACAATCTTTCATCGCGCTTTTTCTCATCAAAACCTATAGATTGGAGTATACTCGAAATTTGAGCATGTTCACGTTATCAGGCGTGCCTCTGATCCTGTTCCGCCACTTACTTTAAGTTAATATTTATGACATAACTTTATATATTTATGACATAACTTTACATAACCCAGTGTCCGGAAGCTATTTTAGTGTCGTCCAACTCAGCTCGTCGAGATTTTTCGACCGAAATATTGGTTGTCCATATCGGAGTATGAGAGATATGACGGAATTTTACAAAAAAAAATTTCAAATTAAACAAAATCAAAAATACCTAAAAAAAGACCCACAAGCTGTACATGTACGAGCTCCATAATGATAACAAACACGTTCTTTTGTCCCACAAACTTTGCATTGTTTAATAAAATTTCTTTGCATTTTTAAAATAAATTTGTATTTTTTCTAATTAAAATAAAGTTGATAAATGCTTATTATCAAGCTTTTAAGGATATTTTTATAAAAATTTAAATAAACGGTTTAATTAAAAAATATCGTTTATAAAATTTATTTCAGGCAAAAATACCTAATTTTTATTTTAGCCTAACAAAAAAGCACGGCTTTATTAGCTTTTAAAAAATTAAATATTCATTTTTTATATTTCATTAAATATAAAAAAATTTGATGGAAAATTGTTAGAATACTAAAATTTAAAAAATTAAATGGACGATTTTAGGGTATGAGAACGTGTTTAATATTCGTTTTGGTTCGTTAAATTATCAGCTGAATAAACAAATAAATTTTATTAACAAAAATTGCATACCAGAAAGTTAAGTTGAATGATTGGATTTAATCAATTTAGTTAAACTCAAAACTTATCTCTCATCTTTCTATGAATGAATATTTTATTTTATAAATAAAATTTTATTTAAAAAAACTTAAATTTATTCAAAACAGCTAATTAAACACACAAAAATTTAAATGAAAAAGAAAAATTAATTTTTATTAACATTAATCTAAAAATGGTTATTTGCCATCATCGGGCATTTTGGCTAGAGTCATGCTTGCATTTCACACTGAAAAATATTTTAAATTAAAAAAGGTGGTTCTGTTTTAGTTAATTTATTTGGAAATTAAGGAGGATTTGGTGAAGGATGCCTCCACATCCCATGTGGAGGGATATGGATGCCTCAATATCCCTCCACGATATATCACTCAATATCCCTCCATATACCCCTCCTCAATACCCCTCCACGCCTTAAGTGTATTCGAACGTGTTTAATTTTAATTTGTCAGCTAAATAAACAAATATTTAAACAAAAATTTAAAGGGATATTCTGGCATTAGTTGAAGGAGAATTGGAAGAGGGTCTGAGAGAGAACGAGAGAGAGAAAGAGATTATTTGAGCTTGTAACGTTCTGAAAACAGAATAAAATTTAATTATTTTATTGACTAATTTAATGCCATGAAGTTAAGTTGAGGAAGGGATAATGGATAAAAAGGGAGTTGGTGTAAAAAATTGAATATTAGCTAAAATTTATTTAAACCAGCTAATTAAACACATAATAAATACCCAGATTAAACGAAAATTAATTATATTATCGCTAATCCAAGGGAGTTTTGAGAGTTATAGTTTTGACGGAAACCTTTTTTGAAAAGAAAAAATTCATTTTTATTGATTTTTGAACCTAAATAATTTCGTTGTTTTACTCACAATTTTCCAATATAAACTTGAAGCAACTTAGTAGAGACGTCCAAGACTTTTGGTCTTGATTCTTAACTCAAGACGTTTCTTGAGAGTTGTTGTTTTTAGGGTTGCCAAAATGGCCCGACTCGGACCGAAAGATTGAGTCAGGCCTAAGATATTTGGCCCGAAAAAGGCTCGTAACGGCCCGACGATTAAAACAAGTCCAAAAAATGCTCGAAAAAATTCGTTCTGACTCGAACAAGACTCGATAATATTTTTACCCGATTTGTGGATAAAAATGGGAGAAATCTGGCTCATTGGCCTTCCAAAATTCAAAAAAAATTCCAAAAAAATTTCAAAAATGAAAAGAAGAAGTTTTAGCTCCATATTAGGCTTGACATACGAACTGACGAGCTTTAAGCGACAAACTGGTTTAATGGGCGCTTCAATGAAGGTATACAGAGGTGTTAGGAGAAATTATGAAGATTTAGAGCATTATCAAGGATCACGAGGGACTTTAGGACTTCGACCGACGGTCCGACTCGAAAACGGTAACCCTAGTCGTTTTGACATCGTGGTTAAGTCATGGTCCTGCAAAGATCCAATCTGTCTTAGATCTTAGAAAATTTTTGGCTCTGGACATCTCTAGAAAAAATTGTAAGTAAAAATTCCGCCCATCCCTGATACTGGGAAACATGTACATATTTTAAAAATTATTTGATACAGTGAAGGAGAATTTGAAAGGAAAATAAATTTTTTAAAATAATGAGTGAGAAAAGTTCAAAAAAAATTTTTATTATTTTTTCCCTTTTTTTATTACCCTTATTTTTACTTTTATTTTTCTATTTTTCATAATTATCATTTATGATTTATTATTTTTATTTATTTACAATTTTGTAATAAATTGATTATTATTTATTTTTATTTTTCATTACTTGCAGAATTTATTTTTTTACTCTTATAAAATTATTAATCAGTTGTTTCCCTCATTTCTTAAATAAAAAATAAATAAATGAGTTTTTCCAAACCCCAAAAAAATATTTTATTAATTTTTGGAGGAACTGTTGTAAACGATGATTGTATGTTTGTAGCTGATGTACTTGTTGAAGGAAATAAAATTATGTAAATAAATTTTTTCTTCGGGAAAATTTTGTGAAATTTTGTGAAATTTCCAGTGCTGTTAAACAAGGGTTGGCTAAGGAATTTTCTAAACAGAGTAATATTGAAGTAATTGATGCTAGTGGGCGTTTAGTGATCCCTGGAGGTAAATGATGGGATTTTTTTTTATTAAATATGATTTACTTTCTAAAATATTTTAGGCATTGATCCACATGTAAGTGTGTCTTTGTAAATTAAATAATTTTTAAATTAAAAAATTTTTGGATGATAAACACGTAACATTTGTTTGTCCTCTATTAAAGTAGCAATATTATTAACTAATGGTTGATATAAGATGGGGGAGAGGAGAACAATATATCCGCCGTACTCTTTATATTCTTCCCTTACAAACGTGGGCAAATCTAATTAACAGAGAAAATGAGTTAGGGGTAACTGTGTACAAATAATAGATAACAAGTAAACCCATTTTACCTATCATCGCTACTAAGGTAGAGAATTGTTGGAAATCTTCGGATATCAGAATCCGGATATCCGAAACGAAAAATTCTCGATATCCGGCCTATTTTCGGATCCGGATATCTAGATCCGACAACTCTACTTTCATAATATATGATACAGACACATATGCAACTCCCTTTTATGGGCACAGTTGCCGCCGATGACTTTTATCATGGAACAAGAGCAGCATTGGCTGGTGGAACAACCATGGTTACTAGATTTAATTAACTTAAATTTAAAAAATATTTAAAAAAAGATCATTGACTTTGCTATTCCACCAAAAGAAAGTACTCCATTAGATGCTTATAAACAATGGAGGGAATGGGCAGACCCTAAAGTTCGGTTTTTTTCGGTTAAGAAATTTTTTAAAAATAAACAGGTTTGTTGTGACTATGGCCTTTCTATGGCTATTACTAATTGGAATGAAAAAATAGCTGAGGAAATGGAAATATTGGTTAAGCAAGAATTTGGTAAAAGTTTTATTTGTAGTTAAAAGTAAACTAAAAAATCTGGATTTTAAAATTTTAATCTGTTTCATATATTAATTCAAGTTATCTTTGGTTAAGATCGAGGCTGTTATTTGATGTTTAATTTCAGCTCGAAAATTCACGTTTAGAGCCACAGCCATTAGTGTACTTACTTAACCAAGCCTTTTTCCTGGCCAATCCACTAATTTGTTATTCAATGCAAAATTTCACAAAAATATTTAACAAAAAGAAGAATTCTAAGGTAGAATAAATCCTTAAGAGATTTCACGTGAAAATTTAACAGTATTAAGATTTTTAATACAAAATTTTCATCTTGAACAATTACATATTTACTAATTATAAGGGAATTTTTTTACCAAGTTTAATATTTAATTTAAAGGAATCAATTCCTTCAAATTTTTTCTCGCCTACGAAAATGTTTTTATGGTTACCGATAAACAATTTTATCAGGCTAGTTTGTACCCAAAAAATAATTTCTTAAATAAAATCAGGGCCTCAAACAGTGTGCAAAATTAAGAGCTTTAGCACGTGTCCACGCAGAAAACGGGCATGTTATAGCCGAAAAACAAAAGGAATTGTTAGAAATTGGAATTACTGGGCCTGAAGGTGTGAAAAGATTTTTGAGGAATTTTTGAAAATTAATTAAGTTTAGGACATGTTCAATCAAGACCTGAACAGTTAGAAGCTGAAGCTACCAATAGAGCTTGTACTATTGCAAAAATGGCAAATTGCCCTCTCTATGTTGTTCACGTTATGACTAAAGGTTTCCTTGAATGCTGAAAATCTTAAAGAAATTGAAAGAGCTCTTTTTTGTTATTTGAAGGGATGAGACACAAAACAGGGTTTAAAACTATGTATTAGGCAAGGGTTAGTGAGAAAAGAAATCAAGTTTTCTTGTCGTATCTCGTTAGGCACGTGCAAAGGGTTAAGTGTGCCCAAGCGAGCATTGTCTTGGTGGTCGCATCTACGAAACTTGCTAAACTCTGACTTATTTTTAAAAAACCAGAAAAAACTTTGGATCCTGAATCAAATGTCAGGCACTATTTTAAAATTTGAAGCCCCAATCCATATCCAGAAAAATCAAATAACTAATTAAAGGAGCAGCATCTGCTATAGCTGCCCAAAGGCAAGGTAATGGAGGTCTTCCAATTTTCGGAGAGCCAATAGCTGCCGGATTGGCGCTTGATGGATCACATTATTTTAATGAAGATTTTAGTCATGCAGCTGCATTTGTGCTTTCGTAAATATGAAGGATTTAAAAAAATTAATTTTCTAATTTAAGACCTCCTCTGAGCAAAGACCCGAGCACTCCAAATGCTTTAATGGATTTATTGGCATGGTAGGAATATAATTTATTTTTAGTCAATATCATTTGAAATTTGGACCTCAATATAAGATATACCATTAGGGCAGAAATCGAATTTTAGAATGAGGTATTTTAGAATAAGGTTCGTACAATAATAACGTAGTTACCGGTTAATTGGCCAACAGCTATCCCCATTTCGTACACTACCGTATTCCTTAAAAAATAGCCCCAGGAGCTATTTTTATTGTGTGGACCCTAATGGATGGTATTCTGTGATCTTATAGTAAGGTCTGGCAGTAAAATAATTTTAGCGGGCAACTAGATTTAGTCGCCACAGACAACTGTACTTTTACTTGTCAGCAAAAGAGAATGGGTCTTGGGGATTTTACGAAAATTCCGAATGGTGTGAACGGTGTTGAGGACCGAATGTCACTAGTTTGGGAAAAGGGTGTCTGCAGTGGAAAATTAAATCCAATGCGTTTTGTGGCTGTTACTAGGTTCCTTGAGAGGAGTATTTAAATCATTTGCCTTATTTTTAAGTACAATGGCAGCAAAAATATTTAATATTTATCCACAAAAGGGAAGAATACAGGAAGGGTCTGATGCAGATATTGTTATATGGAATCCAAATTCTAATAGAAAAATTTCTGCAAAAACTCATCATCATGCTACAGATTTTAATGTTTTTGGTTTGTATAAAAATAGCTTCAATTAAAAATACTCTTCTTCAGGGTCTCTTTCTTAATCGGAAATATAAGGGAAGCGAGGGAAGCACCATATTTATTGTCAGGTTTTTCCAAAAATAGACCAAAACTAATATACCTAATAATAATTGTTATAATTGAATCCATTTTCCTGTTACCACGATGCAATTATAACTGGAAACTGGATTTGAGGATCGTTTGATATTCGAGATCGGTATCTTTAAAATCTTGATAACCAAGATTTTTGAAAAGGCTCTTGTCTCGCGTCGATCTCTGACTATATCCCTTTATAACGTGCATCCAACTCTTAAAATTCTAAACTTTTCTAACTAAAACTTATTTATTATTTAGAAGGAATGGAAGTACGTGGAGTACCAGAAGTGACTATTTCTCGAGGAAATGTTGTTTGGAATTGTGGTGAACTTAAAGTTGAACCTGGATGGGGAAAGTTTGTTCCTCTACTAGCGAATTGCCCATATATTTTTGGAGCACAAGAAACACGTGAAAAAGTATTTAAACTTTTATTTGGAGTAAATTTAGAAAATATAGTAAAGGGATCAGGGTTGCCGCCCGAAACCCGATACTTGAAACCCGAAATCCGGCATTTTTTTGCACCAGAAACCCTTGACCCGGAATGAAAATTTTCCAACCCGAAACCCGTACCCGAAAATTTTTTGAACCCGCAGCAACACTGAAAGGGATTCTAGTACGTGACACAAACATTACGTTCCGTTCGAAGTCTTGGAGTTATGTTCTTTGACGATTAAAAATCAAAAAATGCCCCTCAACTTTTGTATACTTCTATAGATCCTTTTAACTTTTGACAAGCCAATTCCGTAAAAACCTCTATCTAATAAACACTCCACCTAGCACACTTTCATTTATGGGTTTTGGAATTTTATAAACCCTTCATTGGGAAATGAGGGACCTTCATTGAATGACCTTAAAGACGTTTACCTTTAGTTATCTAATTTTTAAAATTCTGTTTTCAGGCAAGCCAACAAATTAAAATTCACAGAAAAGAAGATAAAAATTAAATAGGTATTTAAAGAATTTTTATTGAAATTTTCTGATTTTTGTTCTTTATTTTATATTCTACTACTATTTATGACAACAAAATATTTTATTAAATAAATATGTAGATAAAATAATTATTAAAGTGATCACATGCTAATTAATATTTCTTTAGATAATAAGTACTTGATTTTAGTTGAGAAGGAAATTATGTAGAAATAAATATTTTTTGTTTAAATCAAAAATCTTCCTGAGAAAAAAATTTATTATAAAAAATAATTTATTAAAAAGATTTTCGCTTTTAACCGAAATTTTTGAAAAGGATTTCATTTTGGTATATTTATAATTTAAGCTGTTATCTTTGCTGAAATTTGAAGAGGATAAAAATCAGATTAAAGAGATTAAAAATTTTCCTTCAAAATTTTTTATTAAAACCGCGTGCCCGACACGAACCTCGACCATATTTTGCTCTCCCAACCCGAACAACGCCCCGAAACAACTTTGAAAACCCATTACCACGAATCCATTACTCGAGCGTTCAGGGTGCAATATTACAAAATAACAGGAGATCGGATTAAAATTTGAGGACATAAATAATTTTACTTTACTAATTTATTAAATAGAGAATTGTCAGTTTTGATCTAAGCTGTTTAGGAAAATAAAATTTCGGTTCTTTTCTTGAAATTTTTAATTTGAATATATCGATAGTTTTAAATTTTTTTATAATTTTTTTGTTTCGAAAAAAGCCCTTTGATTTTTTAAAACTCTGATTATTTTTTGTTTGAACGTGAACTCTAATTTTTGGACAAAATTTTATTCACGTAAAACAAACAAAATTATTATCATACTTTTACTGACAATTATTATTAACACTTTAGTTAACAAAATATATTTTCCAGCAAACTACAATTCTTCTAGTTTCCTCTAGTATAAAGTAATCAAACAAAAATATTTTAAGCATTTTATCAAAAATACTATCAGTAAAATTATAAAAATATAAACACGTTATTTACTCTTAAATGACTGTGAAGCTATAAAAAATTTTTAACAAAATTACATATAAATACTCTCAAATTTATTATTATTTATTTATTTTAGTAATTTATTTTAAGTTTATTTTGCCTTCTAAATTTAAAAATGGATTTGTCATTAAATCTTAATGGTTTTGGAGGTGATAAAATTAGTATATGTATAAATTATTTGTCAGGGTATTCTCTTCTTTTGACAAATCTTAGGAAGGATATAACTGAAATATGTAGCTTTGAATTGATTTAATTATGTAAGGGGGTGTAATAAATAGGGGGTATGCTCAATTGAAAGAAATTTATCCTAATGTTCCAAGATTATCGAATACCAAAAAACAGCATTTGCCAAATAAGCATTTGCCCCCAAAACAGCATTTGCCAAATAAGCATTTGCCCCCAAAAACAAACCGGTATTTGCCTAAAACTCAAAACCGAAAACCGGGTTTCTAAAATTTAGATTAACCGAAAACCGGGGGTACCGGTTAATAACCGGTCGCCAACAGCCCTAATAAATAGGCATCTTAAGAGATCTTGTCCTTAACTGAAATTTTTAAAAAGGATTTTTTCTGCCTTATTTACACTTTAAGTACTGTTCAAAAACAAGAGACTCTCCATAATAACAAGAAACTGCAATTTGAGAGCATTAATGGGCATTCAAAATCTATGGGTAGATCAGAAACAACCTCAAAAAACTCGAATTTTTGATTATAGCCTTTTCCTATTGATATCTAAAATTAAATTTTATTCTTCCAGATAAACCATTAATTCAAATTGCGGATTTGAAAGAAGGAGGAAAATATTCCAAGGAAGAAGTAGAAGGTCGCAATAAATTGGCTACGCTATACCGTCTTGTAGACTTGTTTCATTGGTCTCAGGCTATCTACAATCATATCTCTGTCAGTTATTTTCTACAATTATTTTCTCAATTCTTTTTTAGCTTCGTCTTCCAGGAGAGGGCAAACACGAAATTTTAATTAATCCTTTTGGTCTACTTTATCGTGAAATAACTGCTAGTTCCTTAGTGAAGGTATGTCTAGATTCATTTTAATGGCCAGATTTAAATTTTATAGGGTCTTAGGTGATAACTCAATCTAAACTGGCTCAAAAATTCAAAGGATACCATAATTTACACTAAAATTCTCTAATCATATATCCCAGGCCTTGGCAACAAGCCAAAAATTATTATACATAACGATTTGTAACATTTACAGATTACTACTGATGGGCGTATAATAGATTCAGGCTCAACACCATTGGGCATGTTTATAATTTGCTTCGAAAACTTTTAAAAAATCCCTCCCTCTCCTTTAGGTATTAACCAAGCTGGTTATATTCTCCACACAGCCATTCATGAAGCTTTTCCCGAAATTAAATGTGTCCTTCATGTTCATACTTCTATTGGCGCGGCTGTTGCTTCGATGGAATGTGGACTTTTGCCTATTACGCAAGGCAAGCTTTCTTAAAAATAGGGATGTTGCTTCCTAGGGATTTTGCTTCATCCTCTTCAGCATTTTCTACAATTACAGTCTATTCCCTTCACTCACACTATTAAGTTCTATCCAAATATTCTGAAGTTTTCTTATTTACAACCCTATTTCTTAAGATTTAACATTAAAATCTCGAATTTCACCAATATAAAACTTTGAAAATATTTAAGAAGCTATGGTTATTGGCCCAGTAGGCTATATTACGTTCACTGGAATGCTTTCTGTTGAGGAAGAAAAGGCAGAAATTGCTAAAGAATTGACCGGCAAAAAAGTTAAAAAAAATTTTTTTAGTATTAAAAAAATTTTTTAAAAAAAGGTCATTTTCCTTCGAAATCATGGTTTTGCATGTTGCGGTACAACAGTAGAGGAAGCTTTACATTTAGCCTATCATACACTTAATGCTTGTAAAGCACAAATTTCAGCTTTGTCTGGCGGTTTAAAAAATATTATTTTGCCGGGTAAAGAAGAGATAAATAAAACTTATGAACTTGCTAAACATGGAGGTAAATAAATAAATAAATAAATTAAAGAAAAATTAAAAGAGATCGCTTGACTAGAAATTGTTTCTGAATACTGACAAGATTTCTGAAAGACATAAAATTTACAAAAAAATTAATAGAAAAATTCGGAACGCCTCGGAACAATTTTTTATTTCGCTCCGAGACTAAATGAAAAAGGACAAAAAAAAAAGTCCAAAACAAGATTTCGCATAGCACAGTCTCCGATTGGCATTTCCTTTTTTTATCATCTAGGCTGGGAGTACCTCTTATCTGGGGTATCTTCCCAGAAAACCGACGGATATCCGAAGATTTCCAAGAACCTAAACCCTATTCTTATGCCATATAATTTTGCCTTCTTAGACAGAGTTAATATTAGTTGAAAATAGAAAAAAAGGGGAAATTTACATCAAATAAAAACCCGGAAATAAATTTCCCTGTCAAAATTATTCAGTTAAATTTTATCCTTTAGCAAATGGAATGAACCGCGTCGCTGCTGATAAAAACGGTGACAAAATGGTGCACACTTTAGAGCGTATAGGTGATATTGAATGGGGAGTTGGAGAATTAGAATGGGAGGCGTGGATGCGTCAATTGGATGGGGCTGTATGTTTAAACAAACAAAAAAATTCTTTCAAAATTTTCAAAAAAAATTTCAAGGGTTACAAAACTGGACATAAATACAAAATACCACAACTTATGGAAGTTATAAATAAAGTTGGAAAATGATAAGAAAAAAAGTGTTGAATTAGAAAAATACATATAAACTCCAAATTATTTTATCCAAAAAAGCCATTAATTATTTTATTTTTTAAAAATCCATTTTATTTTTAATTAAACCAATTGTGGATTAACGTTAATAAAAATTAATTTTCGTTTCCAATTCTTGTTTAATTAGCCGTTTTCTTATTGAGCTTTCCCACTAGATGAGGGGGAAATTCTTACGTTTTTTTCAATTTGGTTGCCCACTGGTTGGGCTAAAATGCTTTGGTGACAATTCATTTTAGTTTAAGCAAAGAGTTGACTGTATGAGTAAAAATTTCAAAATTCAGTTAGAGAGAGAACAAATTAAAATAAATGTTGATAGATATAAGTCTTTCCAAAGATATACATAAGGATTGGGAAAAAAATCAAAACAAATAATTATTTGATTCATGCCAAAAAAACAGCCAATCAAATTTGATTCAAAGTATTTGAAAAAATTATATCTCAAAATTTGATTGACTTTAAAATTTTATAAAAAAGGCTAATGCACGTTAGACTGAATAATACTACAATTCTAAAGTTTTTAAAACTGTGTTCATTCCAGCAAACATCATTTTCTTTTGTAATTTATTAAAAAATAGAAAAAACGGATTCTTTAAAATAACACCCCATTTCCTTTACTTCCTTAGTTGCTTCCTTTTTAAACAATTCTAAAAAAATTCAACCTTCCCTAACATCAAAACCAAAATTTTTTAAGTCTAAAATCAATACAATAGAAATTTTTTTCTAAGTTTCCACGTTTGATTTTAGAGCGTTAACGCACGGATAAGCGATCCAACCATTTTTAGATTGACGTTAATAAAAATTAATTTTCGTTCCATTTTTGTTTAATTAGCCGTTTTTAATTTTTATTTTTGTAATTGAAAAGAATTTTGTTTATTGAATAAAGCTTTCTAACCACGATAATTCGTTTTTTATACCCATCGACATATTATCCTATCAACAAAACTTGCCTGTCTTTAAAAATCTCTTTAAAATTTTATTTAGAAAATTTATTTGTTTAGCCAAATCTCAAACAAAAAGCCAAAAATTAAAATTAAATACGTTCTACATAGCCATTGAAAAACTGCTTAGGAGGGAATTTTCTGCATTGAATATATCAATTTTTGCCAACAAATTTTTGTATTTATGAAATATTTATTGCTACCATTGAAGAATATTTTATAAGCTTATATAACCGGAGTGTGGCCAGTATAGCCCCTCAGTCTTTAGTTTTTTAAAATCAGCTTTATTTTATTACCCTCTTTATTGAAGAATTGAAACAATAATTTTCCTACCTCAAATAATTATTTTTCCTAATTTATCTTCACAAATAAAGCTGAAATGTGCTAGCAATTTTTCCCTCAGCTTATGTAAAAGGATAGGTCGGACTGATATGTTTCCTTTTTTAGCCTTTGGATTAAATAGATATATGCTTACAGTATATTCTTATATATCCAAGGGATCTAGCCGACATAAACATTAAATTCTTCGATTTAGGGAACAAAATCAACATAAAAACCGTTTAATATTTTAGTGAGAAATTAAACAGATAGCTGTACAGAACTCTGCAGAAGATAGATATACCGAAACTGATTTAAAAAACAAAAAAAATAACAAAACATCCCTTCTCTCTCTCATTTATTCATTAATTATCTACTTAATTAAGCATTGTTAAAGGACTTTAGCCTTATTCGTTTAATAAAAAATACCAATTTAATTTTAAAAATGCAAAGAAACTTTATTAGAACATGCAAAGTTTGTGAATCAACATTAAATGTTTGTTTTCATTATGGAGTTTCTACATGTAGGGCTTGTGGAGCTTTTTTCAGGTATTTTTTATTTTGTTTAATTTCAAATAATTTTTTCAAAAGGCGTTATATTGAAAATGAAGGAGAATGCAAATATAAATGTAAATGTTTGCAAAAACGATTATTAAAAGAGAATAAAAACGGAAAATCCCAAACAAATTTGGCAAAATGTCAAAAATGTAGACTTGAAAAATGTCTTTCTGTTGGAATGAAAAAATTGGGTTTGTTAAGATAAGGGTAACGCTCCGCAACTAAACACAGTCTGATCGGTTTAGCGTCTTCGTTAACTGAAAGTCTCGACCCCCGACATGCCATTCCAGGCAAACCCCTATCCCCGATACTCTTGACCACTCGGAATGTTATCCTAGTAAAAATATTTAAAAATAATTTTAAAAAATAATTTTAGATGTCGGATATTTACGTCAAGATATATGCCTGGAAGCAATGAGAGAACAAAACAACGAAATTAACGTAAATTTATATTTTTTAATTGGAAAGGGAAAGGGGATACTTTAAAATTTTAAATTTTTTCTATCGTTAAATTATTCTTCCTTTCCATTAAATAATTTTTTCAAACTTAAAAGCTTGCGTTAATAATTGAGCAGCAAATTAAATAAAAATTTTCTTCATTTTAACGATTTTCCAACACCTTATAATTTCCAAACTTGCTTTAACTTTTGTTTCATTTTTACTTTTAACTTTCTTTTCATAACTAGAAATTGAAGAGAAAATTGAATTAAAGCCCTAAATGAACCACCACTAAAAGCAGAATATCCAAAAATTCCAGATATATTTCTGTGTATAATAGAATATATCTTATCAAATATTTCTATTCTTCATAACATATTTTGATATTTTCATGATAAATTAAATGATAAAATTGTCTAAGCGAGGGCAAGAGATCTATGTATGTATGTATTAATGTTTGAATCCTGCCCCGAGGCTAAACTTTTATTTTTTAAGCTTCAAACTCCTCCAATTGTCGACATATCTTTCACTGATCAAAAACAAATTGAATTAATTTTGGCAATTACTGAAGCCAAAAAACGTATTATGCATTCATTTAATAATTTGGATGATAGTATATTCCTTAAAGGCCCGATTTTGTTTGAAGAAATAATTTTATCTGTTAATATAAATATTTTTAGTCTAATTGACAATCTTTCGGTGAATTTTAATTTAATTTTTAATTAAAAAATATTTTTTTAATTTTAAAGCAAAGCTCAACTCCACTATCTTTTGGGGAATTAAATCGTTGTGAATTTTCAGTACAAAATGAAAGCATGCAAAACCAACTTTGTCACAAATATTTTTTAGTTGACAGACTTTTGTGTGTTGCTATAGCTAAATCTATGCCTGTTTTTGATAAATTGACTTTATCTGATCAGGTATATAATTAGTCTTGTTATAGGTGAATGAGTATTATTGGGGAATAGACACAGAAGAAAGCACAACCATCTATGCGACCAACAACCGAAATGTTGGGTTTTCTGCGAGCGTTGGGTTTCTGCGACCTTCAAATCAAATTCTTTCATAGAGCTAAGGTACAATAGGTACAATAAGATACAATACACCCTGTACAATCTTAATATTTTCTGGAGTGGGATTAATGATGGGATGGGATAATCTGCGGTATTAAATCATTATTGAAGTTAGTTAAATGACAAAACAAAAAACGAGAAAGCTTGATTAATGCAAAATTCATTTTTCTTTTAATAAAATAGATTGCACATCTAAGGCATATTTCTTATATGTTTACTGCATTTACTGGCTCTTACCTTGCTTGGGAATTAGGCTCTGAAACTTGGACACGTAAAGATTGTGTTATGCCGGCTCTTGGTGATATGAAGGATTGTAAATATTTATATAATGATCGGTAAATTTAAAAAACATGAAAATATTTTTTTATTTTTAGAATGATTAAATGGTCTGAACTTTTATTTACAAAATCTGTTGTTCATTTTAAACGTGTTGCATTAACAAAAATTGAATTTGCTTTGTTAATAGCTATTATTTTTACAAAATCAAGTAAAAACTTTAATTTGTAAAGACAACTAACGGGTGGTTACTCTAATTTAGATAAATAAGGACCTGAAATTTTGTATAGATATAGTAAAGCAGCTGGGCTATAGCTATTTCTCTCCTTTAGCTTGTGCAAAAGGTTAATCGGCGGCTGGGAGCGAACCAGCATCTTCAGTAAACCGGACTGATGTGTTAGCTATTATGCGCCTATTGCAAAGCCTTAGGAATTAAAGGCTAGGCCTAAGGCTTTGCCTATTGCAAAGCCTTAGGAATTAAATAGCTATATGCTTTATAATATCCATAATAACATTATCTAACTTCCTTAAGAATTTAGAATGATAAAATAATTCAGAATTTATGACTGAAGAAAATTTAAATAAATTTTATAATTTTTTCTAAAAAGATGCTGAAGACTTGTCTCCCGAAGGAAAAGAATTACTTTATAACGAATCTGTTAAATTTACAAAAATTTTACTTCAATATAATCAACAAAGATTAGGTTTAATTGAAGGGGCTCAAAGATTGGATGAATGTATTCGTTTAATTAATGTTGCTATTGAAAATGAGCATTTTATGCGCTTAATTCTTTCTCATCAACTTGAATGTTACCCTATGGATAGCTTTAAATTCTCCAATTTTTTTGAAAATTTCTTGAAAAGAAGTGATTAAAATACTAAGAATGATTGAAAAAGTAATTTTTTTAATTTTAAATAAAATTAGTTTTTGTAATAATTAAATTATTTGATTCGGTAAAATATTTATTTGCATATTTTGTATTCGGATAAAGGGCTGTGCGTCATGGCGGATGACATCCATTTTTGGCCGATTTTGATTTGTGGCGTTTGGCGTGTTTTTATCTTTTAAAACCCGAAAAATTTACAAACTCAAATTATGAAGATTTTTCAAATAATTGCGAGGAGGGGTGATCAAAAAAGCATTTTTCTGCCTTCAGTTTTCTAAGTTTTCAAAATTTTCGCCTGCAGCTCTTATATGTAGAAGGAAGAAATCTGGCTTCTTAGCCTTCTAATTTATCAAAATCTAAATATCAATAAAATGCAGTAACTCCATAACTTGAAGTCAAATTTGAATATCCTTTAAATCCTATGATCTCTCGATATATGTTCAATTCCCTTGCTCTTTTCTTTAATCCCCCGATATACTTCACATATAACACTCTGAGTGCCTATTGTAAAATATTATCCCTCGGCTTATATTTATTACAGCATTTACGGTATATCCAAACAATGGTAATTAATACATATATCATCTCTTTATTGCAAGTACATTAACATAAAAAAGCTGAAACCAAATAAATATTTTAAACCATTTATTAATTAATGATTATAAAAATTAATTTTCTTTAAATTAAAATTTTTTATATGTGTTTAATTTTAATTAATTTAACTTTTTTTTTAATTTAAATAAAATTTTATTAATAATTTTCACTCCCAGAAAGATAAAAGAAAAATTTACGTCGTTAATAAATTGATTAAATTCAATCATCCTTTTTTAAATTATATGTAGTCAAGTTTAATATCTTTTAATTCTCGAGTATCTCTCTTTAATTTTTGTTTAGAAAATTTGTTTATTTAGCTGATAATCTTTTAAAAACTAAAACTAAAATTGAATTCAGCAATACCAGTCATTTACATAATTTTAAATTTAATATAAAAATTTTGCCAACAATTTTTTTTATATTTAATGAAATAGAAAAAATTAATATAGTAGAATCTAATAAAGTACATACACTAAATTATTATCCTTTTTTATGATAATAAAAATTATTTATCTGTGTGGAAATTTTTTATTATGTTTGCCAAAATATGCTCAAATTTTGGTAAAAATATGAAAATTTCCCAAAATATGCACAGAAAAGCAAATATACACAAAAGGACCGCAATATGCAAAAATATGCATTAGGAACCGGGTCCTAAAGTGGTCGAACCAATGTAAAAACACTATTTTTGCGCTTCTCTCATCATGGCATATCCGCACAACTTTTGAGAAAATTTCAAAATAAAATTTTTAAAATCCCTTCAACTAAAATAGTTCCAAGTGAAAAAGCTCCAACGTTGTTAGGACAACTTCCTTTAAATATAGATGGAGAACATTTAATAATTAAAGAGAAAACTGAATTGTGTCAGAAACACTTTGAAATGCTTAAAAAAGCTTGGGAGTGAAATAAAAATTATTTTCTTTTTTAATTAAATTTTTGTAAATAGTATAAATAAATGATTCTTTTATCATGAGTTAATAATTAAATTAATTGGGAATATTACTTACTGATCGGCTTCTGCCACTTTTTTTAAAGTGAAAAGTCATGGCTACTAGTCTAAATACTTTTTATAAAAAATTTTTACAGAAACCTTCCTACCGGAATTTTTTAAAGTTTTTTGGACGGTGCTTTTTGAATTTTGCGAGGAGATGATGATTTTCTTGGAAAAAGTCCAATAATGGAACCGGACTTATAGGAAATGAAGGAGGATTGTTTGGGCTACGAAATGAGTTTAAAAATATTTAAAAATGTAAATTAGGAAAAAAAACTTATAATTAGGGCGGGGTAAAACATGCAAATTTTACCATTAAAAGTTTAATACTTATTTAGTGATAAAAATATGATAAATTTCATGTGATTTTACAAAGATTGATATTTTCTTTTTGTATTTAATTCTGGACATTTTAAATACATAATTCAAATATTAAATGTATAATTGCTGTATACGCTATAGTACAAAAATAATCAAATACCGCCAAACATTGAAATTTAATCTTTATTTGTCCACGTCTAATACTTTCAAATCAGTTCTAAGAAAAGTTCCAATGTCGTATTTAATAGAATTAAATAAATAAAAATATTTACGATTTGTTATCGCATTTAAGCATTAAATTACACATTTGGCTACAAATTTTAATTAACAAAAATTTAAAAATTTTATGTCACGCATATGTACTTATTAATTTTTCAAATAATTTTTGTTTCGTTCCCATTATTTAATATTAAATATTAAAAAAATTAATTAAAAAAAGAAAATTAAATTCAAAAACCAAATTAATTTAAATTAATGTCTTCTAATTTAACAACTCTACAACAACAACCACCAAATATAACAATTATTATTCCCCCACAAATAATAATTGATATAGCCTATATTTTTAGTATCTTAGAATTAATTATCCATCCAATTATTTTATTAATTTCTTTGTTAAATTTATTAATTCTTTTAAAAACAAATATTTTACATCCAAATTTACGTATAATATTAATTGGACAAAGTTTATGTAGTATATTTTTTGAAATTGGGAGATTTTCTCTTGTCTCACAAAAAATAATTTCTGGGGATATTTTTAATCCTGGATATGTTATTTTTCAGGTTTATAAAAATTAATTTCCCTCCAAAAAATAAATAAATATATATACTAGATGATTGCCAGCTTAACAGGGGGGTGTGCAGGATTACTTAGTCATATCCTCTTCATTGAGCGTTTAATGGCTTCATTATTATTTAAAAATTATGAAAAAACAAAAAATGCGTATTTTGCTTTTATTGCCACTTGCTTAGCTGTAAGGTTTTAAATAATAATTATTGAAAATTGTTGTAATTTTATTTATGTTGCTTCTAAACAAAATTTAGTGTTTAATTAAAATGGCCATAGGGGCTAAGCAGCTTACGTTTCTTCACGTTTCACGCGTTTTTCTTCATTTTTCGTTTCTCGCTACAAATTTTTGTGTCGTGTGAAATTCTTCCTATCCAAGAGTTTGGTTCGAATACCCGACTCTCATTCAAAGAAAACTTAGTGAAGCTTACCAACATATCCACTCTACCTGTCATTTCTTTCAAGCCTTCGAAAATGATTCTGACTATTAATTAAACATATAAATTTTAGTTTTATAATTTAACTTTTCTCTTATTTTTAAAGTATTTTTAAAGACAATAATTAATTTTAAGTTTATATATTCACTGAGCAATACATTAACAATTAGTAAATCTTGGGACGTAACACTTATGAGTATTATACAATTAATTGTTTCAATCATCGCAAGTTTCATTGAAATTCTGGTATAAAATTTTTTCACATTAAATAGCTGCAGGTTTTAGCAAAAAGAGGGGTTGTATTTAGCTGAGGTGGGTCGGAACAGTCAAAGGTGTCGGAAATCGGAAGAGCCGGAAATCGGAACTGGCTCAAAAGTCGGAAATCGGAAAGAAAATTTTTTTCGGAAATCGGAAATCTAGTCGGAAATATGCTTCAAAAATTGTCGGAAATCGGAAGGAAAAAACGTCGGAAGTGGAAATCGGAATTCCGACCCACCTCTGGTATTTAGTAATAATTGATGGTATAATTTTGTGAAGTTTTAGATACTAAATTAAATATTAACCATTTATAGTTTATTTATTTAATTGGTGGTTATTATATGAATAAATACAAAAATTCTATAATATCTGGAATTAAGTATTCGTTGAGTGTAAAATTTCAAGTAATTTTTCTTTAATAATGAATCGTAATTAAATTTAATTTTAATTAATTTAAAATATTTACTTAATAAATTTTAATTAAAGATGTCAGAAAACATAAAAACAAGTAAACAACTCTACCCAGTTTTTATTTGTTATTTTATCAAAAACATTAATTATCCAATTTCTTTATTATTACTTTACCTACAAGTACCTAATTATATAATAAGTCTGGCATTTTTATATATAAATATGTCTGCATCTATTCTTAATGGAATTATTGAATATATTATAATTACGTTAGTAAATATAAAATTATTTTTAAAAATTTTATAAGCAAAATTGTTATCATTAAAGGAAAAATTTTGAATTTAAAATTAGGGTTGCGCGAGGTTGGGGCATGCCGAGGCCGAGGTCCTCGCCCATTTTCCACTCTCGGTCTCGGAACCTCGGTCTCGGTTCTCGCCAAGTACCTTGCCTAGGAACGTTGCTAAATATACACCCCTAAAAATCGACTTTTTTCTAAGAAATGGAAGACTGCCTCGACCTCAGAATTCGACTCAATTTTGACCTCCGATCTCGAATTTTTCAGTCACGGTGATCCTAGGTCTCTGTTTTTTCGAAAAACCTAACTTTAATTATGTAATTACTGATTATTTAGACAATAAATATTTTCTAATTCACAATCTTATGTAGAAAATAATAAAAAAAATTAATAAAAATATTTTTCAATAAATTAATCAAATTAATTTTTAAAGTCATCACTCTACATTGAAGAAAAATTTAATAAAAATTATTTATAAAATAGAATTTAAAAAATCTAACAGAATAAATACTATTGAAGAAAATGCTATTCCAACTACAATTAATGGAAGTAATTTAATAAATAATGATGAAATGGAAAAACATTTTACAATGCTTAAAGATGCTTGGAAATAAAAATTATTTTGTTAAAAATTATTATTTTATTTAGAGTTTGTTCCGAATATCGTCTTTTTTATGCAAATGTGCAGCAACATACATACACAACTCGCATTGTACTAACAAACATCTGGAAAATTTTGGAAAAATTTCGGTGGACAAATAAAGAGCAGCAGAAAAGAAGTGTAGTAATTTCCCGAGATTTTTTCAGATTTTTGTTAGGCTCAATGAGAATGTATGATACTAAACATTTGCATAATAAAGACTAAATTCGAAACAGGCGTTCGGAACTCTAATTTTATTGTTACTTTTTTCAAATTTAAATACTACATATAATTTTATTTTTAAAGTATGTACATTTCCTAAAATTCCAAAATTTTTGAGTCCGATTTTCTGAAAAATTTTTAGTCCCGAAAAATTAAAACCATAATTTAGCCAAATATTTTTTAAACTATGTATATTTCAGACTTATTAAAGATTAACAAAACAGTTAAATTATCTCTCAAAATTCTATCAAATTAAAAATTCATTTCAAGAAAAAAATAGATCATGCAGAAAAAAAACAAGAAAATTTATTTTAATAAGAAAAACACCATAAAAAGATTTTATTTTGTTCACTCAACCATTTATTTCACAAAGAAAACAAATTTGTTTAATAAATAAATTTTTATATATTTTTTTTCATTTTTATTAAAATAAAAAAATGCGCGACATATAGGCTCCTGAAATAAAAAACTATGTCGGAGAAGCCTGTTATTTATTAAATACAAAAATAAATATATGTTGTAATGATGAGTTTTGTGGGGGATATTTATGGATATATAATCATTATTTAGTTAACATTTTTATTTTTTACAAGAAATAATATCTGGTATATGTATAGCTTAAAATAGATATAATTTGAATATTTTTAAAATAAATATGTCTGTAGACATATTAACTAGAGACGGGCAAAATAATGTTTGCGGGATACCGCGCGCGGGATTTTTTCTTAAAATTTCTGCGTAAAAGGATTTTGCGTGATAAATCCCGCATTCTGCAAAATCCCGCAAATGCAAAAGGTGCGGGATTGTGGACACGGGATTGTGTGTCGCGCGGGATTCTTTCTTGCGCGGTCTCTAATATTTAAATTGCTAATTAATATTTTTATTATTTTTATTAAATTAATTTTATTAATATTTTTATTAAATTAATATTTTAATTATTTTTATTTTTATTAAATTAATATTTTATTTATTAATCTCTAATAATTAAAGTGGAAGAAGGCGCATCCATGTTGTTTCTTTCCTTTTTAAAATTTATAAACCTTCTAAATTAATTTTTAGAAATTATAAAGTTTATTTAACAATAAAATGTCCTCGTCAATTAAATCACCAAATATAATAAAACAAACAATTATTGGCCCAATACTAATTACAATTTCTATTTTTATTATTGCTACATTAATTGTTTGTGCTTCACTTTTGCGTGAATTAAGCAATCTTTATAATGAAATTAATTTGGAATTGGAGGAATTTAATGTAATTAATTAGTGAATTTTGATGTTTTTAACAAAAAATTAAAAAGATTTTGGAAAATAAAGCTTGGAATAAAATAATGAATGTTAATCAGAATAATTTAAATGTGAATTCATTGAGAACAAAACGTCAAGGTTACGACAGTCTGGGAACAGCTGCTGTTGAATCAGTAAATTTGGGGAAACAGAATTTCCAATTAAAACAACAACAACAAACTTTAAATAACCGTAACTGTGGTAGTTGTGCTTTACGTTCTAAAAATTGTCCTCCTGGTAATAAATTTATATAAAAGATTATTTTATTGAATTATATAGTCTTTATTATGCTGGTCCTGCAGGAGCTCCAGGAATTAAGGGAATTCCTGGGGAAGATGGAATCCCCGGACAACCTGGGCATCAAGGTATTGCAGGAATTGGTGTTGTGAGTAATATGCAAAAATCTGTTTGCATTAAATGCCCTGTGGGGGCAAAAGGGGCGCCAGGAAGTGATGGACCGCCTGGAAAACCTGGCCCACTCGGAGAGAATGGAAAACCGGGATTACCAGGAAAGGAGGTTTAGAAGAACTAAAATATTTATTTTACATTTATCACTGCAGGGTGATCCAGGAAAACCAGGTGCTCGAGGCGATAAAGGCCAAATAGGAGCACCAGGCGAGCCTGGTGTGAGTGGAAAACCAGGGGCTTCAGGACAAGCATCTTCTGCTAAACCTGGACCGAAAGGAGCAACAGGCCCTCCAGGGAAGCAAGGAGAGCCTGGTCTGCCAGGAGAGTAAGAAATAATAGAAATTAATAGATTTGCATATTTATTTAAAGCACTCCAAAAATTGGAGAGCCAGGCCCTCCAGGACCAATCGGACCACCTGGCCCGCCTGGAGAACCCGGAAAGGATGGAGAAACAGGAAAGCCGGGAGGTGTTGGTTCTCCTGGCTCTGATGCTGAATATTGTGGTGATTAATTTATTTAATTTGAATATTTTTAAATCTCTTAGCGATTAATTATATTTTTAATTTTAAGCATGCCCTCCAAGGACAGGGGAATTTGCTGCAGCTATAAGACATACTACAGTTGCAGTCGAACCTAGCGGATATCGCTTACGAGTTTTATAAAAAAAAATGAGAAAATTAAAAATTTAAAAATAAAATTTTAAATTGATACTTTAAGAATTGATTTCTACATTACATATACAGGGTGACCCAAAAAGTTTAGGACAAACCTTTTATTCCATAACTTTATTTATTCTAAAGATAATGAGATCAAATAATGATGAAATTATAGAGAACTAAATGGAGAATAAAATAAAAAAAATCTTTTAGAATTTTCCCTGTTCTACTTTGAGATCAGGGGTGAGCGCATTGAGTTTTGCGTTTTGCGTTATTTGCGTTAAATTTTGGCCTTGCGTTGCGTTTTGCGTTTTTTTCGATGAAATTAACGCAAAAATACGCAAAAAATATACCCAATCTGAGGACAAAATTGGAGAAATCTAGCTTCTTATCTTTCCAAATTTCTCAAAATTTTCGCCTGCGGCGCAGAAAAAGGAAGAAATCTGGCTACTTAGCCTTCCAAAATTTTTAAAATTTTTGCCTGCGGCGCTAAAATAAAGAAGTATAATGAGTGGTTAATTGAAAGATCAGTTGTCTAGCATCATTTTAATTTAGTAAACCTGCACCAATTTTATTTATATCCTCTTAATCCTCTTATATCTCTTCAACCCCTGATACCTACTTTATGCCAAAATCCCTGTTATCTTTTTAATCTGAGGGCAAAAATTGGAAGAAATCTAGCTTCTGGATTTCCAAATTTCTCAAAATTTTTGCCTGCGGCGCCAAAAATAGGGGATTAATTACCATGTTTCCATCATGGAGCAGCTCAAAAAATATCTGTTCAGTATTTGGAACTCAGATCTCACGTTTTCTCCAAATCCCCTGATTCCCCGGCATCAATTCATAACTACAGTAGCCCCTTATCCTTCGATATATCCCCAACTTAACCGACATCCTTCGGTAATCACATGGATTTTTTCAAATATATTGATCCCTCCAAAATACATCCGTACTAACCAGCTACTTTGTTAAACCCCTTGATCCCTGTAAATCGTCTGATATCCTTCATAATCCCTTATACCCCCTATATTACTCCAAATCATTACCCATTCAACTTACATGTATCATAAAATCGAGTAGGACTCCCCAACTTATAGTAATACTTCGATTTTTAACTGAAAATATGGCTAATACTTGATAAAAAAATTTTTTCCCAATTTTTCGTTCTTGCGTTTTGCGTTTTGCGTTATTTGCGTTAAATTTTGGCCTTGCGTTGCGTTTTGCGTTTTGCGTTTTTTGAGATTGGCTCTTGCGCTCATCCCTGTTTGAGATAAGGTTAAAGGAAAGTGTGAAAAATTATTGCTCCAGGTCGCACCTTTTTTTGAGGCATTTTGCCTATAACATTAGAACAGATTGCCGGAATTACAAAAAATTTTTTCGGCATCTAGAGCAGTCCTTTATCTATAGAAATTATAAAGCAAAAATTTTTTTAGATTAACGCTTAAAGAGATATTCGATTGCGCGTAACCCTCCCAAAATGAGAAAATCGCATTCCCCCCAAAACTGATTTACATCTACTCAGAGCCATCCATGTAGGAGTTGGAGTTTTTATCATTCAAATTTGTCCGGTTCGCTAATGATCTTAATTAAATTCTGTTGAGATCATCCTGTTTGAACTTTTCCTATCTGAGATACAGAAAATAAAATTTTGTGGGGAAAATTTTGATATGGTGTACCTAAAATTACATAACTTTCTTAATCCTGAATCAAAAAATCTTTAATTTTACTATATGATTGAGAATTAGTTGAGCTACAAAATAAACGAAAAAATATAAAAAAATATTTATGAGAAAAAAAGTTATGGCAAAATTACTTTTGTCCTAAACTTTTTGGGTCACCCTGTAAGTAAATTTATAAATTTTGTATATTTTCTGTATAATTTTGTACAAATTTTGAAAAAAAAATTTACTTAACATACACATATACTCAATAATTGCCCTCTCTCAAATAATTAATTAACCCAATTAATTACCTTTCCAATTAATTACCCTCTCCGGGTAGATGCTTAAATAATAATTGTAATTATTTGGCATATCTACTAAATTTGATTTAAAATTTAAAATATGTCTTATAGTGTTACTACTAGAATAGCTAAAGAAATCTATAAAGAAACAAACAAAAAATCTAAAAATAATTTAAAAATAGAAATTCCAGACAGTTCATTTAATGTCAATTTTTAAATTAAATCTGTACAAATAAAAAAACTCAAAAATAGAAAGTAAATTTTAAAAATTTCTTTTATTTAAGATTAATTTGTACTTTTAAATAAACAAAAAAAAATTTTTTTGAAAATTTTTAAAATTTTGTTTCATTGTTAAAGCCTAAAAATAAATATTTAAAAATATTTTTGTTGATTTTTTTAAAATGTTTATTGGCTGAATAAATAATAAAATTTAAAAGAAAATAATTTAATTGTTTCAATATTTGCCAAAATATTTTATATAAATTGTAAGTGAAAACTGAGAAAATATATCCAAAAAGAAAAATTATTTTAAAATTTAAAAATTCAAAAAAAATTTAAAAATGAAAGCCCTCATTAAAGCTATTATTTTTTCTTTATTTTTTGTTTCAATTAAAACGGCAGACGAACAAACTTGTTTAAGTTGTATATGTAAGCATGAATCTTTTGGATGTACACCTCGTCCTTGTGCATGGGATGATGATGCTGTTAGTTGTGGATACTTTCAAGTATTTTTTTGATACATATAAGATACATATATTTTTAAATTAAAAAATAAAAACTAAATTTAAAATACAGCTGTTAAGTGGACCGACCTAAGAACTGATCCGACCTGAGATCTTTATTTCGAAATTTGAGTTTAAAAAAACAGTTAAAAGATGTAACAAAAAATTCAATAATATTTTAGAATATTCAATAATATATTAAAGAATTTTTACGATTTTATTTATGAAAGTCCAAAAATTATCCATATTTTGAAATTTTCTCATCGAAAAATAGAATGCCATGGCATTTTAATAGAGGAAATACGGTACTTTTCATTTGATTACACAAAAACTTTTTTTGGTAGAATATCGGGTACTCAACGAAGACATAATATTATTTATGTCCTCGGATAACACTAAATAATCATTTTATTGTTTATTTGTTCTCATGTTGTTTTGTAAAATAATTTTCAATTACAGATTAAACATGTCTATTATCTCGATTGCGGCACTCCTGGCCTTAGAAGTGGAGAAAGTACAGAGGATGGGTGGAAGCGATGTGCTTTAGATTATGGTTGCTCTGTTCAATGCATTAGAGTTTTTACAGAATATTTTTATATTTGCACTTTAAATATATTTTTAGGCTTATATTAACCGATATGCAAGTCAGTGTAATAGACCAATTAGTGATTGTGAGAGAATGTCACGTCTTCATAATGGGGGGCCAAATGGATGTTCTTTAGCTAGAACTGATGTTTATTGGAATGCTGTTAAACAATGTGCTGGAGGAAAATAAAAAGAAATTAGATGGAAATTAATTTTGGGATTTTAGATTAATTTGGCATTACACAAATTATTATTTTTTAATTATTTTTTTGTTAAAATTACAAAATATTTTATAATTACATATTTGAGAGAATCGTACTTCCGCTGTACATTTTTTCCTGTGGATTTTTTTAGACCTTCGTCATTTTCGACCGACCCCTGGTGCAGACTCGATTTTTCTCTTTTTCTTTTCTCTATTTTTTCGCTTGCTATTCTTAGGATAATGTCATTTTTGAGGTGCCAACTTCGCAAAGCTTTATCACTATAAAACTCTGTAAATTTAAATTTTGTCTGATAATTTCATAGTTTCGCACTTATTGATTCTTTTAGAAAATTAAACGATAAAGTTTCGTTTTGTGTGACGCATTTTTGCTTATTTTTTCATCTCCCTAGAAAAAAAGTAAGAAGTCCATTTCCGATATTTTATAAGTTTGACAGTAGGTATGCTGAGTTCGAATCAGGTGTGAGCGCAAGAGACAATCTCAAAATTTAACGCAATGCGCTCACCCTTGATTCGAATATTCAAATTTTATTTATTTCGAATCCCGGGCTCGCATTTGACTCCAATTTGAAATTAGTAGTTAAAATAGATAAGTTTTCACTAAAATGTCTCCAAAACATACATATTTGTACACAAATCTTTGATTACTTGACATGATTTAGTTTTCTACTCTAATGAACTGATTCCGCCTTTCAGTTATAAATTTTAAATTAAGCTATTGGTTCTAGTGTTGGTTTGGGTCTTTGCCCTGATTAATGATTTTTGTAGTGAATTTTTTACTTGAAGAAACTGGACAATTAAATATTACAAAAATTTATTCAACCCAAAATATTGCTGGAAACTAATTCACAATTTTATTCAACTTTCATATTTTAATCACATTTTTATTCATTCAACCAGCAAAAACCCAGATTACTGCAAATCCACCTTATCGTCCTCCTCCTAATTTTGGATTATGTGCTTTATTTGCACCAGTATCAGGATAATCTTGAAAAAAATTTAGTATAAAAATAATTATATATTTTTTATTTTGCGTCATTAAAAAAGTCGAACCAGCCCCAGGAAAAGTAAAACATTGGATGGGATAGACCCCCCGAGAATTATCCAAAACAAGCTCATAAACATATCTACATCTCTTTATCCTGATCTTGTTAGGGTATAAATTCTACAATTAAATGACCGTTATATATGAGCATTTCTGATAGACTATGATTCTGTACCCAGGCAGTATTTACTCCATAATATTAAATCTTATATCAGTTATTAAATACCCATTATGTTGGCTGCTTCAGCGAATGATAAGTAAAGAATAACATAAATAATTGAGAGTGTAACAAAATTAAATAAAATAGATGTATTCATTTTTCAATTTTAATTGATTATGAATTTTCTTGGTTTAGTTTTAAAATGTTCCTTAGAAAGATAAGAAGTTCCTTTTAATAATTTGCTTAAATAGGATATAAATTTTACTTTAATAAATAGGTGAATAAATATAAAATTATATAATTTGCCTCTTTAAAATTTAATAAATTAGGCGGAAATTTCTTTTAAAATTTTTTTTTATTTTAAAAGAGATTTTATGCTGTGTAATTTTAAATAATAAAATAAACGCCAAAATATCGTTTTAGGGCGGCCTGGTTTTAGGTAGAGATCGGAATTTTGAAAAAGCAGGGTCCGGTAACCGGGAAGCGGGTTCTGACGGTTGACCGGGAGAGACCCGGACCGGGAAAACCGGGAATTCCCGTTAACGGTTTCATCCCGGTCAGAAATGACCGGGTCCCGGCCGGGAAACCGGGAAATTTTTAATTTCCTAAAATGGGGCTGTATTTTAAACTTAGGGCTGTATTTTTCAACTATCCTCCTATACTTATTCTAAATAATTTCTATTAAAGTAAGTAAATGCCATTCACGATTATTTAACTCAAGATCAAATTTCCTTTTCTGAAACATAAGTTCATCGACTACTGCCTTTTGTTCTTTCGGCTATCCGACCGTGTTCCTACAAAGGATCGTCACATAAAGGGATCGCAACGGCTAAAAACGTTCAAAGGATCGCAACATCTAAAACGATTACAACGGTCACTAAAATTTTTCGGAACTTTGGCCACCAATTTTTTGGAATTTTGGTCACCAAATTAAAAAACGGAATATTGGGCACTGAAATTTTTTTCACCAATGGGAATTTTGGTCACCAAACGTAAAAAAGAATTTTATCTAGAACTGATATCAAAGTGACAAAAAATTGTTTTTTACTCACCCAGTTGATCATTTGTCTGGTTTTCCGGTTGATTACTTTTCAGAATGATTTTTAAGAATAAACTTTTTAAATTTTTCTATCCTTAATAACGCCATTTTAACGCACATTGACAATTTATTTTATCGATATCCTTCTAGCTTTCATGTGATACTTTAAATTCTAATAATCAATTTTAGCAGATGAACAAATAATAAAATTTATTTTATTTAAATTTATTTAAATTTTTGCCTAAGCGACTATTAATCTCGTTTAGAGGGGTTAGGCTGGGAAACGTGGCATAAATGTTTAGTCTGAAAAAATTATTGAAAGCATAAGATTATATGTATACAGTTAAAAAATATAATTTGGTTATCAATTCAAGTATCATTTAAACTGATCAACAAACTGAAGATAGACAAGATCGGTATCGTATACGATAAATTTATTTTTGACAAACTTTAAAAAAAATAAGCGATGTGCTTTAAATTTTACAAAGGGTTTGCAAGGTCGCAAAAATACAGAAATTACTAATTAAACTACATATACTTAAATGACCAGAATTTTTACTCTACTCGGCATCACTATGCGAATTCGTCAAAACATAACTAAAAACTTTTAATTTATATCCAGAAATATATAACTAAAAACTCATAAAAATGACATAGGTAATCTAAGGAGATTTCTTTGTGTATTTCTCCAATATTATGCCGATTCAACTATCAAGAATGTATTTCGAACAGCAATATTTAGCATAACAGATTTTGTTTATATTTTGATGAAAATAAGTTAAAATTGAAAATATTTGCATTTAAATATATTTATTAAGGTATTTATTGAATAAATTAATACATTTTATTTTTAATTCTGAAAAAGGCACGTATAATAGCTTGAATTTATCATTTTAGGGTGCTGGATAAATAAAGTACTTTCAATATTTTTAATAAAATCATACATATTTTAATCTAAGTATTTAAAATAAATATATTTATTTTGTCTGGTATTTACTAAATTATAAACAAAAAGTGCATTTTTAAGTAATATAAAAAGCAAAATAAGTAAATTAGAATTAAAAATTTTTATTACTAAATAAATTTATTTAAATGCTCTATAAAATAATTATTTTTATTATTTTTTATTCAATTATTGAATATTTGTCTGCAGATGAAGCAAAATGTTTAAAATGTATTTGTAATCACGAATCTGGATGTAAACCTCTAAAATGTCATTGGGATGTTAATAGCGATAGTTGTGGTTACTTTCAGGTAAAAATACCTGGGCACCTTTTATATAATAATAAAATTGAGAATTAATTGAATATTTTTACTTGTTGCCATAGAGAGAATTTTTGGTGTAAATATTTGTATCTAGTCTTTACCTGGACGCATCTTGTAATATTTATGAGAAACACATAGTTTTTAAATTTATAAATATTTATTCCCAACCCAAACGCCGACCTCTAATGAGCTGCTTCCCTACTTTCTTAGTATAAAAGGATTTAAGTTCGTTTCTAAGGAGACTTACTATTTAAAGTTAAACAAACAATATACTATATATGTAAATATATTCAGATAAAATTGCCATATTACAAAGACTGTGGAGCACCGATGCGTAAAAGTGGAGAATCTATTGATAGTGCCTGGAAAAGATGTTCCGTTGATTACCAGTGCTCATTAAAGTGCGTCCAGGTAAAGACTAGTTTTTTCACAATTTTTCATCTGTTAATGCATAATCTTTAGGCGTATATTAAGAGATACCAAGGAAAATGCCCAGCAAATATGAGTGCCTGTGAGAAAATGTCTCGTGTTCATAATGGAGGGCCAGGCGGATGTCGGAGCAGTAGTACAAACGGATATTGGGCTGTCATAAAGAAATGTCATGGATAAAGAAAACTAATTACTATTTTTCCTAATTAGTTAAAGAATATAAGAGATATTAATTGTTAGATTTAGTAATGTGTTTAGAGAAAAACTAATTTGTTATACGTATTATATGAATAAACGCAATTGATATTTTGATTCAAATTTTGTACAGCGGTTTTAAATACCCACTTGGGACGGAATTACAGTAGATCATAAATCAGGATATTATGAATAGAGGTAAGATGCCCTAATTTTGATTCATGAATCGATTTAAAGAGTAGATTGTAACGACCCGAAATAATTACGCTGGATCAAATCTGGCGAATTTTACCCTAAGTTAATGGTTGTTTCATGCTCAATTATTTTTGCTTAATCTCGATCATAAAAACTATACCTTTCACACCTAACCTTCCTCCTAAAATTTTTAGTAATATAATATTGTATAGCAAAATACAAAACATTAACCAACTAAAAACAGTTAAATATACCTAATATTTATTCATTACTAGGCCACTTTGCTGTTTTTTCCTCATTCTTCCCCATTCATTATACATCCACTTATCCCCAACATTCACTCATTTCCACGGCTCTCCTCTCCTCCCCATTCTCTAAAGCGCGCAAATCGATTTTCTCGGATGATTTTTCTTGAGTTTAACTAAAAGTTTTTCTGGATTTGTACAACTATATATATTCAATATCTCAAAATAAAGTTAAATTTCCTAAGAGAATTATACAAAGTTAAGCCTATCTCTCTCAGAATTTCATTTACTTCACGCTTCTTATTAGAGATCGGCTCGATTCAACCTTTTTCTGTTGTTTTTTTATTTTTAAACGAAAAACGAGTGCCGACCTTCTCACTCTCTTTTGATATTTGAAGATATTTTAGTTAAAATTTTGATAGTTTTTAATTACGAATCCTAGCAAGTTGTTCTTAAATCTCTTTAAAATCTTTTAACATTCATGAGATGGGTGAAACTATTCGGCTGCCAACTGGCAGAAATTCAGAAACAATTCAAGGTGTTCAATTACAAGAAGTTTTTCAGCATGGGACGATAGGTAAAATTAATTTTAATTTATGATAATATCTTAAATTTTTTACCCATAAGTTAACAATCAAATTTATCCAAAACAAAAATTTTAAAAAAAATTTCATTTATTTATGCAACAAGTTTATTAAATTAAAGTTTTTCTATAATTCATATAATTTTTTATAATTTAAATTTTAAATATAATTTTAAATTTATTTATAAAATTAAGGCGATTTTATTGGCTCTTCTTTGGAAGGTTTTTAATTAAATTTATTCAAATTAAAATAGTGTCGAATCTCACTTGTATTTAAGTACCTAGTTAGCCTTAAATTTAGTATGTCATTAGGGGTCTGATATAACTTAAATTCCACCTTTCGGGGATCTAACATCAATGTAGGAGTTCTGCAAGTGAGATGTCGTACATACAAAATCTGTCTGTATTTACCTAGTTCTTTAAATAGGTGTAGATTCTGGATTTATTCGTTGTGTATATAATGCAAAGAATCAAAGTGGTAATACAGTTACCCTGCTCTGTGAGAAAATGGAAGGTTGTTGTGTAACAGGTTGCTGCCCTAAAGATCAATTTTGGTATTTGATAATTTAATGTTGAAATAAATAAGTGGGTAGACTAGGGTTGGAAATAGAAAGCCGAAAATTTTGATATTTCTTATCAAAAATTATTTTTATTAAATTTTAAAAACCGAAAATTATTGAAAATGAGTGATTTTTTAAAGAAATTCCTCCAAAATAAACCTGGCAATTTGCTTCTTGCGAATAAATAAAATGCCCCTTATACAAAAATAATTTTTCGGTTAACTTTAAATAAAATATTTTGAGGATTTTCCCACTCGTTTGTTTTCTCATCTTTGTACTTGTCGTTTTTTGTGTTGGAACTGTTTCAATTATAATATGCTTTCAACGTACAAAAGGCAAACAAAGACGAACGGAAAAAGAGATTTATTCACAAAATAGAGCTTCAGAGGTTAAATTTTTGAAAAATTATTCCTTGGGTTTTCCGAATATTCCCTAATTTTTCCTTAGAAGACAATAAACTAACTAATAAACATTAATAATAACCGCATTTAAGGTAGGAGCAGGTCCCCATGGCAGCAATCGACCAGTTGGGTCGAGTCAACCACCTCCGCAACAAAACAATTATGGCACAGGCCGATTCCCTAAAACAATTCCAAACAATCCCCCTCAACAACAGGATCAATTTCAGGAGGCCATTCATTATCAACAAAGGCATTTACCACCAAGAAGCCATCACCAAACACAATATTTTACATCACATAGATTTTAAAAGAATTTATTTTTTTGAATTTGAAGGATAAAATACTAAAAGCCTTATAATTTAGTTAAACTAAGACGACTTGATTTCGGTATCGACCGATTTTTTGGGTAAGACTGGTTTAAATCAACGTTGTTTTACTTTTTTAATTTTTTGTTTGGTAAACTTCTTATAATCCGGACTCCGCAGTATCATAAAATTAAAAAAATGAGGATTCGCTGAACAAGCCAAAATAGGTATATAAAATCACAATTGTTTGGAAATTTCAACTTTACTTTTCTAAATATTTAGTTGATATGTACATATTTATTAAGTTTTTTTCTGTCAGTTTTCACACTAACTATAAAATTGTGTAGAAATACTTATTCTATCACTATATGGTAGTTGCTGATGTAATTTTCCCACGACGGCACAGGTTGTCAGTTTATTTGCGAGAAAATCAGTTTTATTTAATTAAATGGCTCGTTAAAAAAGAGTGTCAGAAAGTAAAATTAACATGAGCTTCATAGGCCTTTATTAATTTCTCACGCTTTATTATTATGTCTTGCACATTTTACGGGTGACCAAAAATATGTGGCACTTTTCATTTCATCATAACTTTTTAATGATATGTATGTAAACATTTTTTATTTACATTTTTTATGTATCTCAAACAATTAACTTTTTCAATACAGTATACCGTATTTCCTCTAAAATAGCTCCCTCTCTTCTGAAATAACCCCTCCCTCTAAAATACCTCCTCACTCTAAAAATGCCTCAATAAAATGTTTGATTATTTTTGCAGTTGATTTTTCAAATAATTTCATTGTTGAATCCCTAAATTTCATTAAAATCAATAAGATGGATACCTGGGGATTTGGGGGTTTAAAGCGAATATCAGGGGATGGTAGCATAAAATCGAGGGATCAAGACGTAAATAGGTACATTTGGAGGGATTTTTAGGTATATAAAGGAATTCTGACTGAGTAAAGGTGATATTGTGTAATTACCAATATTAATTAGGATATTGGGGATTTGGGGGATTAAGAGGGGCATGGTAATTAAAAGGGATTTAGGGTGATTCGAAAAGATAAAGAGATTACATCAAATGCACGAATATTTCCGCTAGCACGTCTTGAATTATGCTTCTTACAGTGTTACCGACACTGAACTTTACCGAAGAACCTAAATAGGATTTTCCGTATCTGTTCTTCGTGTTGGTTCTGGAAATAACGATAATCAATCAAAATAAAACTTGATTGAGAAATAAAGCCATAGTCTCCATTTGAACCCCAGTCTCTAATATAACCACACAAAATGGGAGGGTTTAAAAATAGAACCACAGTTAATCTATTAGGATAAATATGGAAATAGTTAAAATTTAATTTAAAATTTAGAAGAATTTGAATATATAATGGAATATATTTTGTGGAATCGTAAGGATTTTGACATCGTATATAATTGTACAGGAATTAATGTTGATAATATTCCAAATGATCAAAGATTTCAAATTGCTGCAATCGTTTGCATTATATTAGGCTGCATATATTATGTATTTTTTAAAGATTAAGCAGAAAAATTTTAATTATTTAAGCCTTTATATTTCCCTTGTCTTTACTCTTTCTGGAAGAATCGAGCCAAAAATCCTTGTTATATACTTTTAATTTATCTTTCTATATTGGATATTGGAGTGCTTTGGGTGCCAACTTTTGTTTATGGATTTCTAAGCTTAAATGGTGTAGTCTATTGTTCTTCCCCTTCTTTTGTTTATTTTATCGGGTGTCTTGGATGTGAGTTTTCATCATATTCATGTTCTAATCCAAATACCTATAGCCTTAGGAATATAATTCATTAGTTGACCTTATTTAAATTTAACTAACGAATCGAGCCAGAAAGTCATAAATGAATAATATCGGGGCGGACATAACGTGACGGACACTTAAAAATCAAGAAATTCAATTTGATAAATCGAAAAAAAATCTTTGTGAAAATATAATTAAATTAATCGTAAATGCATTAATAAATGCATGAAAAACCAGCAAAAGCTTTCTCCAACCTAAAGATAAAACAATAATGAAGCGATCAGTCTGTTCGGTTTTTCTTAAATCACATTTTAATCTTTGCAATATTTTGAGATGGGTTTGGCCGCTTTATTTATAAAAAATACAGGAGATGCTCTCTAAAAGTCTCGAAAATTTTTTATACAAGAATTGAGAGGACCATTCATAAGAAAATTTAAAAATATTAATTAAAACTTTAAATTTGTTAATTTTATTAGTTCTTTGGATTGCTGAATGTGCTGCTGATTTGGTTTAATAAATAAATATATATTTATATTAAATAAAATATTTTTTTAGATTTTGGGAATAAATCGTTGTCTCGAAGTTGCATTTCCAGAGATTGCGAGAAAGCTTTTCCACAATAACCGTGTTTATATTTGGATAACTTTTTGTAGTTTATATGGAGTTTATTGGCTAATATTTTTACACCCGTGTATTTTTAATGGAAGACTTTTTGAAGTTTCATTAGATCCATTAAATGGATATAGACATGGAATTAGTTAATAAATTTAGATAATTTTATATATTTTAATATTTAGTTGAAGGAAGATTTAGTACCATTTACAACACACAATACAATATTGGCTTTAGGGTCTCCAATAATTTATTCAATTTTTTCAATTTGTGTTTTCATTAAAGGCCGTGAATTAATTAGCAGTGTTTCAAAAGAGGAAAAATTGGTTAAAATTAAATAATAATCATTTAAAAATCAAACACTCGAAGTACTATTAGACATCCTAAAAATCTTGGTTCCTGTCAAAATTTCATTTCACTTTTGGTTTCCACCAAAGGTCGATAGAAATTCCGATTACCGAAAAGTTTCTATAATGTCCGAGTTCCGACTTTTGAGCCATTTTTGATTTCCGATACCTTCGTCATTTCTATCACTTCTGGTTTTTACTGAGGCTTATTGGGGAATTTAATGTTAAAAATTCTTTAATAGGCAGAACTAATTTATTAAAAATTAAATTTTTAAGGTTTTTATTCAAGTATTTATCATTTCCCTAATAAATGCATCAACAGGTATTTTCGCATCTTACACTATGTACCTGTCAGAAGGATCTGGAACTTTAGCATTAATGATTGCACATTTCTCTTGGTAAAATATAAATATTTAAATTTACATAATTTATATTTTTAAGGTTACATATCCACGGTATTTTTCAATTATAAAATTTTATTTTTTAATTTATTAATAGTAAATAATAAGCAATCGTTTTTTAGAAAAAAACTGATAATAAATAACTAAATAGGTTATGAAAAAAGTTTAAATAAATATGTAAATAGGTTGAAAAAAATCAAAAAGTTGCAATATATGTAGGTACGAATTTTGGTACTCTTCACTTATAGCGGGTTTTTAATGCTTGGATGGGGTATCATTCGACTCAGCTCGATTAGATGACTCGAATGAGGTGTGAGATAAGTTTATTCAAGAACTATGGATCGAGTTATGACCAACTGAGTTTTCGCTGGAAAAAGTTTCTATGCTGCTATTACGGGGGATATATCGGCGTTTAAATGCTGAAAATCGGTAAAAGGAATGATTTATGTTACTGGTGTCAAATAACACCCTTACGTCCTCGCATTAAAAACCCGCTATAAATGAAAATTTTCAAATAATCAAAGGAAAGAATTTTTTATTTAAAGGATTACCTCCAGTTATTTACCTAACATTAAACAAAACTGTTCGTAACGACACAAAAGCCCTTTTAAAAAATATTTTTAACTCGTTAAAAACATATAAAATTTCAATTCATGGAGGGTTTATAAACAATCAACAGAATATGCATAATATGACTGGATAATTATTTAAATATACCTAATTTGTTGTGGTTCAGTTTGATTAACCCTATTTTAGAAAGTAAATAAATATATAATAATTAAGGTTGCAAATTTGATTTTAAACTACAATTTTGAAACATCTAGACCTGTCAAAATATTCACAAAAAATCTTTTCAATGTTCGATTGATCTCTTTTAATTATCAACATATTTTTAAAAGTTTAGAAAAATTAATTTAACGTTAAATAAATACTCATTGAATTTGTGTATTATATTAATTTGAGTAAATATTTTTTATCAAAATTTTATCAAAGTTAGAAAATATTTAAAAAATAAACTTTACTAAACAGTTTTTTAAATAATTTAACAAATACTAATAATGCCATGAATCTTGTATCTGACTTGTATGCAACTAATTGCTGTTAGGATTTAAAATAAAAAAAGTTGGGATATTCAATTCTTTCAGTAACTTTTTCATTTTTATCAATTTTTTAACTTGTTAAAAAATTGATAATTTATGTTGATGTATATTTGTATTTATTAGTGTTAAATCCACCCTCCGCTAAATCAGACTAAAGTTGGCGGTTCCTGGGAAATCTTCGGTTAACCGGAACCGATAACCAAACCGAAAATTTTCGGTTATCCGGTCTTTTTTCGGTTCCGGATAACCGGAACCGCCAACCTTAAATCAGACTCGTCTGTTTCCCTTATGTTTTTAGTTTAATTGATATTTTAAATGTTTTGCCTTTCTCTTCTTCCGTATTATTATGGTAACTCGTAGTTGCTCTTTAATTTATAAAAATGAACATCTTTTAGTTCCTTTTCTAGAAATAAGGTGTTTAATAAGGTTTCGCCGGAGGTTCCGGTTCCGGTCAAAATTTCGGTTCCGGTGAAACCCTAGTGTTTAAGTGTTGTATTTTTAAAAACATTTTTCTCCAAAACCTACAGTTTATAGACTTTACTTTAGTCTAGACTAACTTTCTCAGACAAAATTTAACCAAACAATTAAAATGTCACAATAAATTTTGAAATAAACAAAAAAATTTTCTCAGAGATATCTTTTGTATATAATTAAAAATTCTATGTTGGTGTGCGAAAAGGGCTCATTATTTATCTGACAACCCATTATATAAGTTTTTATTACTTTATCATTCAAAAAATTATTTTAAATTAAAAAAATTAACTAAAAATGTCAATAGATTTAACTGATATTTTATTTAAATTTGATTATTTTGTCTGTTTATTAATTGGGTTTCCTTTAAATATTATTCTGATTATTTTAATTATTTTTAAAACACCAAAAGAAATGAAAATACACAGCAGAATTCTGATACAAAATTGTGTTTTGGATATTTTATTGTTAATTGTTCAAATGTTTATTCAAGAGGTAATTAAATCAGAAAATATTCTAAAAACATTAAAAATTACAGTTTTATGTATTCGATACAGAAGGGAAAGCATATATTATTTTTCCCAATGGAATTTTGCTACTGTACGGAATTTTCATCTTTGGAACTTTCGCCTTGGAACTTACTTCTCCAAATTTTCGGAATTGTCGTCTCCAGCGGAATATTCGTCAACAAGTCAAAAAACGGAATACTCGTCACTAGAAAGTTGGGCGCGGGGATTTTACGGCATTTCAATGCTAAAATCAGTAAAAAGGATAGGTTTATGTTACTATTTTAGAACTCAGCGACCTATGACTCTCGCGAGGCGCGTGTCGCAAAATTTGCACAAGCGCCTTGCCGTCCTCCATAAGTTTAAGTTGTTTGAGTTTGTGGTATTTTTCGAATAAATCAAAAAATTACTCCAACGCCCTCAATTCCCCGCGCCTAAAATCCTGGAGACGAAAATTCCGATTTTTGACTTGATGATGAATATTCCGCTGAAGACGAGAATTCCGAAAATTTGGAGACGTAAGTTCCAAAGACGAAAATTCCATTACCATTTTGCCTAGTTTTATGAAAGAAAATTTTAACCCATTTATGTGTTATATTGTTTTAACAGCTTGGCAATATATTGGTTATCTAAATTTGAGTGGATTGACTGTTCAATTTGTTTATAGATATTTAGTTTTGAATAGGTAGTAATAATACTTGGTTGAAATAATAATAATAATACTATTGGTTGAAACCAGAGGTGGGTCGGAATTCCGATTTCCGACTTCCGATTTCCGACGTTTTTTTCCTTCCGATTTCCGATTTCCGATTTCCGAAATTTTGGAAAAATTTCCGATTTCCGAGAATTTTTGAAGCATATTTCCGACTAGAGTTTTTCCAAAAATTTCAAAATTTTTGCCTGCGGCGCAAAAATTGGAAGAAATCTAACTTAAGGATCTCCAAATTTCTCAAAATTTTCGCCTGCGGCGCAGAAAAAGGAAGAAATCTGGCTTAAGGACCTCAAAATTCTCAAAATTTTCGTCTGTGGCACCTCATACTTCCTTTTTCAAATCGCTTTATATCTCATCCCTCTATCAGTCCTCAATTTTAATCTCCAAATATCACTATTAATTCTATAAATTCTCTGATATCCCGTCTAATCAACCAAATCTCACAAAATCTCTTATAATCCTTTCGAATTTGCTTTTTGAGCTGCAAAAAGAACTTTTACTCCCATAAATTACACTCAAGAAGGCCAAAATTTGCCACAATACAATTTTAAATATTTTTTCATTATGAAAATAAAAATTTTATTTCCGATTTCCGCCTTCCGATTTCCGATTTCCGGCGTTTTTTTCCTTCCGATTTCCGATTTCCGAAAAATAATTTTGATTTCCGATTTCCGAGTTCCGACAGTTCCGATTTCCGACACCTCGGGCTGTTCCGACCCACCTCTGGTTGAAACTAGAGGTTGGCACGACTTTTCGCCAATAGAATTTCCGTCAATGGACTTTCCGTCAGTACTTTTGTCAATGAATTTGAAAAAAATTCTGCAATAACAGAAAATGTGGAGTTCTTCTGCGCCGCGACATTTGCGCCGCCTGACCTTAAAAATAAAAAAATAAATAGGTATTTAATTAACAAGTCGAATGCCAAAGCCAAATGCCAATCTTACAAAAATTAATTTACGCGATCCAGTTCAAATTTGAAAAAAAATAATTGGAGATCAGAAAATTGAGATATAAATTTTCAAACTTTAATGGTTAATTTATTAATGTTTCAACCAAAATAAATAAAAATAATATTAAAAATCTTTTCATAAATAAATATTATTAGGAATATGAAAATTAATATTCGTCGTTATTTATTTATGCTGTCCTTTGCCTTATTTGTGTCGCTATTATATCTTTTAAACTCAATTTTGTTCATCAGTCCATATTCTTTTGGAGGGATTAAATATTTTGATAATTTTAACAAAACTTGGCCGTTTATTGAGTATGGTGAAGTGGAAAAAGTATTTTCTAGAAATTAATTTTTTTTAAATTTTTTAACAAAAAGATGAGCGTCTTGGCACTTTATCCTATGGCTATAACACAAACCCTTCCTTATATAATAATAATTATTTGTGGATTCAAAATGGTTAGATATGTCAATTTAAACACTAATTTTGATGGAGAGCTAAAAAGACTGAATAAACTTTTAACAAAAGTTTTGATTCTTTTGGTAAATTTTTTTGATTGAAAATTTGTTTAAAAGAATATTTTTAGGCTTTTGTGCCATTTATCAATCAAGCGGGGATTTTATTTTTCCATCTTACTTTTAGAATAAATAACAATACAACCAATTTTATTCGAATATTAATTTTCATTTCCTTTCATTTAATACCCGTATTTAACCCAATTATTTGTATTTTAACAAACACCCCATATCGAAATGCCGTTTTTAATCGTTCACAAATAAATCCACAATAATTGAATAAATGTTATATAAAATATTTTGGTACTTTGGGAATATCTCCGTGCATGTCCGCAAATGTTTGTCTCCAACTTTTTATTCCCCTATTTTAGAGAGTAAATACCTATATAATTGTTAAGGTTGTCAATTTGATGTCAAGCTCCATTGTGAAATAACCTGTCAAAATATTTACAAAAAATCATTTCAATGTTCGATTGACCTCTTTTAATGATCAAAATACCGTATTTATTCTAACATAACGAGATGTCGTTTTAATTTTCAACCCTCTTTTTGGGTGTCGTTATATTGGAGAATGTCGTTATAATAGAGACTGTCTTTATATTAGGATAAATACGGTACATATTTTTAAAAGTTTAGCAAAATTAATTAAACATTAAATAAATATTCGTTAAAAATTAATGTATTATATTAATTTGAGTAAATATTTTTTATCAAAATTTTATCAAAGTTGGAAAATATTTAAAAAGAAGAACAAATAAAAAGTTAATGAGAGAAAGATATCGAAGTCTTTACTTTAATAAAGTTTTTTAAATAATTTAACAAATACTAATAATGCAATGAATCTTGTATCTGACTTTTATGCAACTAATTGCTTTTAGGATTTAAAATAAAAAAAAAGTTGGATAAATAAAATTCAATCCTTTCAATAACATCTTCATTGGTTAAAAAATTAACCAGTCCACAATTTCTGTTTTGATGTATATTTGTAATATTTAGGGTTAAATTCACCCTCCTCCAAATCAGACTCGTCTTCCTTCCTTTTGTTTTTAGGTTTTTCTTCTTTATTTTCAATTTTAGTTTTACCTTTCTCTGCTTCCGTGTTATTATGGCCACTAGCCCCTTAATTTATAAAATGTTTAAAAAAACATCTGTTAGTCCCTTCCCCCCCCCCCCGTTACCTTACCTCCCTTAATCCCCTGAACCGGAAAGTAAATCATGCGTTTATGAGACTTAAACTCACTATTTCAGACCGCAGTGGAAATTTTAGAATTATACTGAGTCGTATGTGAAGAAAATAAAAATTTAAAAGTTTTTAAAAAAATTTTTAGTAAATCCCGATTTCGAATCGGGATCTCCATTCCAAATCCCGATTTCGGCCAATCCCGATCCCGTGTCGGGTTCCGGGATCGGGATCACAATTCCAAAATCACGATCCCGGGTTTTTCTCTGAATCCCGATACCGCTGAACTCTATTCTAGACTTGAAGAATTTTTAACTGATAAAATTTTTAAATTCATTTATTATTAACCTGGGGGTGGTGTATATGTAGATTTTGGAAAGCTATTCTGTTTTCTATAAGTTTTTCTTCCAACTTCTTTTCCCCCCATACAACATAAATGAATAAAAACAACGGTAAAAACAACAAAAATAATAAAAATTTTAGCAGACATCTTAAGAAATATTTTTTTTATTTTGACTGTAAATGATTGATGAATAAAATATATTTTTAAAAATTTTATAAAGCCAGTCATATGAATTAAATGTAGAGAAAAATAATGGTGTACGGAATTTTGGTCACCGGAATTTTGGTCACCAAGGATTTTCGGAACTTTGGTCACCAACTTTTTTGGAATTTTGGTCACCAGCGGAATTTTGGTCACCAAGTCAAAAAACGGAATATTGGACACTGGAATTTTAGGCGCGGGGAATTTGGGCGTCGGAGTGAATTTTTTGATTTATTCAAAAATAACACAAAATCAAACAACGTAACTATAGATTACAAATAGATTTGGATAAAATATGTCATTCGAAACAGCTCGTCGAACTAGGTCAAACGACTCCAAAATCATCCCGGTTCAATCATTCTCAACAAAATTATGATTAATTGAATCTCGCTTGAATAAATAATTTTGTGCTGATACATAGCGGGTAGGTCGGCATTTCAATGCTGAAAATTAGTAAAAAAGGGATAGGTTTATGTTACTGTTGTAGAACCCAGCGACCGTTGACTCCCGCGAGGCGCGTGCCGCAAAACCCCGCGCGAAGCGCGGGGTTTTGCACAAGCGCCTCGCTGGTGCCCATAGGTTTACGTTGTTTGATTTTGTGTTATTTTTGAATAAATCAAAAAATTCACTCCGACGCCCAAGTTCCCCGCGCCTAAAATTCCAGTGTCCAATATTCCGTTTTTTTACTTGGTGACCAAAATTCCGTTGGTGACCAAAATTCCAAAAAAGTTGGTGACCAAAGTTCCGAAAATCCTTGGTGACCAAAATTCCGGTGACCAAAATTCCGGCACCCAAAAATAATTACATAATCATGAGTGATAGACAAATATTTAATTGATTACGCTAAAGAGGACGGCAAAATCTATTTATGTGAAAAAATATTTTTTATACATTTTTAATTGTGTATGTTAATTAGAGGTCGGCGCGGGACGGGATCCCGTCCCGGCATCGCTTAAGAAAAAAAATCCCGACGGGATCGAAGAAGTGCGATTTTGCCGACCTCTAATGTTAATTAAAGTTTTTGTTTATTAAACCAAATTCCATTCAAGATTTTCGTGAATCGTGAATTCACCTAGCCAAGAATCGTCGTGAATTCACGATTTTCGGGAATTTCAGGTATTTTGCTTTTTTGTTGGCGGATTAGAAGTAATTACAAGGGTTAAATGTACGAGAGATTAGAAATACGGGGATTGAATTGAGGGGTTCTTAATTAAGGGATATTTAAGTGATATCAGTGTATCAAGGTAAAGGGATTTGAGGTAATAAAGAAGGATTGAGGGAGGAAATTAGGGCGTTTTGTAGGAGCAAGAGGATTTGAAGATTTACTCATAATGTTGGTGGTCCATACCATAGAGTTCTGACATAAGTGGATTTCTTCATTTTTCAGCGCCGATTTTTTGAAGACCAAGTTACCAGATTTCATTTTTTAGCTCCAATAATTAATAAAAATTCCCTATTTTTTTCCGATTTTTAGAAAAAATGTCGTGAATCGGGAACGTGAATCCACGAAAATTTTGAATTCATTTTTAGTGAATCGTGAATTCATGAGCCAAAAATCGTGGGAACTCACGATTTTCGTGAATCGGGTCGGCGCAATCCCTGCTACTATGGAATAACGCCTATAAATAATTAAAAATAAAATTGGACAAGAAGGGTAAAGTTGGACATTTTAAAAAAATTACAGCCCGGCCTCTATTCTACGCAAACATTAAGGATTGAAAAAAATTTTGAATAAAAGTTTAAGTAAAATAAGAAACAAAAAAATGAAGAGATTTAAATTAAAATTTATTTTAAATTATTTAAAAAGAATTCCAAAGTAATAAAAAACATTTCATGTCCTCAAATTTATTTATCCAGCAATAAAATCAAAAAAAAACAGTTTTCTAATTCAATCATTATCAAATCCTTTCTTCTCATTTTTTGTTTTGATTTTTAATATTTATTTGTTCAGAATTATTTAAATTGTTTTTATCTTCAATATCGGCATAACCAAGTCTTTCCCACTCTTCAGAATCCATTAAACCTTTATCCATCCGACATTTGAAATAATCTCTAGCAAATATACGACAAGGGCCGTTTTGACTTTTTTCTTTCTAAAATTTAAAATTTTAGTAATTTTAATGCTCTCGTTAACCAACAGAAGATTTAAAAAAAACACTGGCCGAAAATCAACTTTTTATTTATGAAATTAACGAGATTTTGACATTTTCCTAATCTCGAATCCGGTAAATGTCCAGCTCGGGGCCTACAAAAAGGCCTACATCTACTCCTCTGCCTTTCTTTCCCTTAGTTTCCCTTAGGTAATTTAATGATAGTTTTCGGTACTCCCGATACCGGAACCGTCCCGAACAAATTTTGGAATTTTCGGTACCAATTCGGTATCGGGACTTTTCGGTACTCCCTGTGCCGAAAAATCCCGAACACTAGTTCAGAAACAACGCCGTCAAACTGTTACCTATCATTTGATTACCTGACGGAAACTAAAAGAAAGAGGCATTGTGCAAAAAATTCCTTTTGGAGAATGCCTTTTGCGGACATGTATTCCGCGAGCTGGCTCCCAAAACCTTCTACTATTTATTTAAAATTTACATTTAAACAAGCCATATATTTAAGCATTTGTAAATGACATTCTTTTTCATAATCTAAAGGAAACGATCCTTTAAGTGGTGGGGTTGTTTGTTGTATACGGCCATAAGGACCGAACATGGCAGATGGAGAAGGTTGACTTCCAACAGGCATTTTTACTAGAAAATAAATTAAATTTAATATTTTGAAAAATAAAATAAATAAATTTTCAAAAAAAAAATATTTTTTAAATAAATTTTTTTCATCTTTAAAAAATAAATTTATTAAATTGAACAAAATGTGGGTAATAAAATTAAGTAAAAATTTACAAAAAAATTATTATAGAAAGAACAACATTTAAGTAAACATCAGATAATTTCAAAAAAATAGCTTAAGTACCCAATATTGACAGTTAAGTATTGTTAAGGATAATTGTCAAAACAAAACGTTATATTATGTTTTCGAGAAAGGTACGATCCCTAATATACACACAGAAAACAATCAAAAAAATTAAAAGTTTACAACAAAATTAAATATAAATTTCTATCAAATCCATTTAATTCCTCATTTATTTTCTTCTTCTTCTTCCTCTTTTAAATAAAAAAATTCAAGTCTATACGCATCAGGCTTTACAATTCTCCAAATTAAATAATAACTAGCAATAAATTCGGTCTGTACAAATCCAAGTTTTTGATAAAAAGCTAAGGCAGGTTCATTACATGATTGGCAATGTAAGGCAATTTGCTTAATATTAAAAATTTTATTTTTTATAAAGAAAATTTATTTCAAATAATTTAATTAAAATTTAGAATTTTTGGAAGAAAACAAATTTTTAGGGAGAAAATGAGGAAAATACCCTATATCCTTTTAATAACTACCCTGGTAATTATTCTTTCGACCTGACACTGGAGGGAGTAATTAATCGAGGGAGGGTAATTATATGAGGTTTGAAATTTGAACATGTTTTAGGGCATTTATTGGGGGTAATTATTGTTTTAATCCATCGCTGGATGGGGTAATTAATGGAAGTGGGGGTAATTATTTGAGGGAGGGCAATTAATGCAGGTTATACGGGAAAAAAGAAATTTTTTTTCTTTTTTTTTAATCAAAAAAGTCCCAAAAACTACTTTAATATTTTTCCATTTGTGTTTGAAATAATTAATTGTATCCAAAACAAGTATACTTGCTACACCACGACGGCGAAAAGAAGGAATAACACTGAAAATTATTTAAAATTTTAAATAATTTTTATAAAGAATTTCCTTACGCTAATGTAAGAATATATAAACATTTTTTGGAATTATTTTCTTTTTGAGAATAAATTGTTTCTATACAAACAGTAATTGCACCAACTAAAGCATTTTTATAATAAGCCATTATTGTCCAATATTTTGTCTTAACTTTGAAAAAAAAGAAAATTTTTAATCAAATGAATTTTTTTTGGGCAGATAAATAAAAATTAATTTTCAAAAACCTTTCTACATCAAGAAACACCAAAAAAGGGTATTCCTGGAAACTAAAATTTTCAAAAAACAAAAAGCCAGATCTTAAAATTAAAAGATCTTTGACGGTCTTCCCCCCAAAAATATATACTAAATTAATCTTTTAATTAGGGTTACCAATTTTCGAGTCTGGCCGTTATGAGTCTTTTTCGGGCTTGTTTTTATCGAGTCGGGCCGTACAAATCTTTTTACGGTAAAATATCTTACCGACTCGATCTTTCGGTCCGAATCGGTCCATTTTTGGCAACCCTACTTTTAACCCAAAATTTTTTAAGAAAAAAATCCCTCTCAAAAAAAAAACAATTTCCCTACGTTCATCTTCATCATCTTCATTTTCCACCCCTTCAATTACCAATTCATTTTTAAGTACTTGTTTATAATGCAAGGAATTTATATCCCCAAAATTGATTGGTAAAGCAATAGAATTTAATAAAATTAATTGTTTAATAATTTGTTTGTTTGGTGCAATTAATTCCAAATCTTGTATTGATATTTTTCTTCTTTCCGTCTTAAAATTTAAAAAAATAAAATTTTTAAATTTTGAGGCTAAGAAAGTATTGGAAATTAAAATTTGGAATGTGTCTTGCTCATAAATTGAGGGGTTTTCCTAGTCATCTAATGTGAATACCGTAAATGCTCGAATAATTACCCTCTCTCAAATAACTACCCCTTTTTCTATATAAATTTTAATTGAAAAAATCATTGTCGCTTTTAACTATTGAAACATTTTAAGACATAATATCAAAAAATAAATCGATTTCCTCCTCGATCTATTAAGATGTACTCCAAATTTAGCACCTCTTCTTAATTAATTACACCCTCCAGCGAAAGGTCGAAACATTAATGACCCACGGTCATTAATTAAAAAATGGTATTCGAGCATTTTAGGTACTTGATATTGACCAATTTAAAATTTTAATGTAAAAATTTTCCCAATAAAATTTTTTTGTCACATAATATGAATTTTATGGGAAAAAATTAATATTTTTTAATCAAATTTAAAATCATACCCCATCATTTTCTGTGTCATTTTCATTTAAATTCTCCATTTTAATTAAACTTTCAATTAAAAATTAAATTAAAAATTTGTATAAAATATTTTTCCGAATAATTAAATCGGTAATCCCAGGAAAAAATTTTTTTAATCCAAAAAATTTATTAATCTAAAACAAAAATTCTAAACAAATTTGTAAAATTATTTTAAGGTTCTTTCCCCATTTTTTTCATAATTTCAACATAAGATTTCCAGGAAGCAGCTGGAATAGGGTCTGTTTCTATACTTTTATTGTCTAATTTAATTAAATAATTGACTGTGTAGATAAAGCCGCATGCAGCAAGAAGACTAGAAAACATTCGCATGTGGCCTTCAGTTACCATTTTTTGACTCTGAAAGTATTAAAAATTGTAATGGAGTTCTTATTAAACAAAAATAAAGAGCAGACACTAAATGTTGGGTATGTGCTTAGTATAAAAGGCTGCGGCTTTGGCCATTCGTGTGTTAGTGTCCGTTAGTTAATTCTTAGTCTTTCTATTCGGTTAGTCTTATTCTAGTGCTCCACATATTCGACGTTAGCCGTATTCCTATTGTTCACTACTATTGTATTTAGACTTGTAGATAAAGCAAAGTTGTTAGTTACTGTCTTATCTTGTTATTCTTGTTAGTACGTAGACATAGAAGTCTCGTACACGACACTAAATCTCTCCTTCCATTCCTAGCCTATTCTTAAACCAGTAACTGACTTTTGAAAAAGAATTCTGGGTTCCAATAAAAAAAAGTATTCCAACCTCCAACTTTAAACATAAAAAGTAGGTCAACTTCTTCTAGACAATCTTTCACCTTGATTTTAGATAAAACTTTTGAAAATAAAATCTAAATGAATTAAAAATTAAAAAAATATTTTTTAGGACGTAACCCTCAAAAAATTAATTAAATTATTATTTAACATAAGATTTAAATTAAACATAAACTAAAAAATGTAAACAAAATATAGCTAAATATTTTCGAATGAAAATTAAATAAATTTATCTTTTCAGTCTTGGCCTTTTAACTTTCTCAACAGGTTTTTCATTTTCTTCTTCCCATATATCAGATAAAAGTGTTCCAGCTAAAAAATTTAAAATAAAAATATTAGAAAGTATGTAAGTTTGTTGGAACTCGGAGATAAAAATTGAATAGAAAATCTCACTTAAGCTTAGTTTTGAGGAATTTAATACAATAGGGGAAAATTGGAAAAAAATAATACTAAAAGGACTAAAAACAGACCTTTTCCCTAAGATCTTTTTTTCTAAATTTTTATTTAAATTTCTAACTTAAGATCACAAAACGAAAATTTCATTATTATAACTGGAATAAATTTTAAAAAATATTTCAATAATACTGCGAGCCCCCACGGAACCAAAATATTTTATGTATTGAGTCAAAACTAAATATAAAATATACATATTCTACAAATTTAACCCAAAAATAATTTTGTTAATAGTGTAAAGCCTACAGCTATTTAATTCCTAAGGCTGTGCAGTAGGCGGCGTGGGTGTAATGGATAACACATCGGTCTGGTCTACTGAAGATCTCGTTCGCACCCAGCCGCCGATTAAACTTTTGCACTAGCTAAAGGACAGAAATAGTTATAGCCCAGTTGCTTTACTATAGCAATAATTGGAGATATTTTATTCTAAAAATTTTAACTTTTCCATCTTGTACATCTCTATAAATCCACTTTGCAATATCATAGTCTTGTTGTTTATCACCCAAACGCTCTCCAAACGAAAGGACATTTAAACCCCAATAATAAACTCCCAAAACTCTAGGATAATTTTCAAAACAATAAAAACGATTTTCTTCATTATGGCGCAATTGTTTCCAAATCCAATAACCTCCAGCTAAAGCAGAAACATCAAAAATCGCTGCAAAAGTTAATTGTTTAAAAAGGAGAAAATTACAAAAATTAAAAACCTGCAAAAGTAAAAAGTTTAGGTTTTTTTAAATGTTGTGATTTAATTGTTTGCCATACTTGATACACAACCATTCTCTTTTCTAAAAAGCTAAATATGTGGATATTAATTAGAAAATATTTAAATTTGTAAAATTACAAACGAATGAAATAAAGAAAATTTATAAAAAAATACAAATTTAACAAAAAAATAAATTTAAACAAAAAAATCAAATAGAGATCAAAAGAAATTTTTAGAGAACTTTCAAGGTTAGCTTCTTAATTTTCCATGGTTATTTGTTCATTTAATAAAGGCTTATCTTCTTCCATTGAAATTTCTTTTTCTTCTGTTGATTTTAATTTATCAATAACAGAAGTGGGAATATCAACATTTATTTCAGGTTGTAATGATGTTAGGTGGGGAAAACGCTAAAAATTAAATTGTTAATTTTCTGAATTAATTAAGATAAAAATTGATATAAATTTTTAATTAACAAGGTAAAAATTCAAATTAGTAGGTGGAATCAAAAATAGTAATTTTAACTTATAGAATGTTTATGAGTCGGAAAGTAATGAATAAAGAATAACTCAAAATTTGAGAAGCATAAAGACAAAAGAAACAAATATAAATTGATACAGTAAGGCTAAAATTAGAGGTCGGCACTGGACAGGATCCCGTACGGGATTTTACGGGATTCTGTCCCGAAATCCCGTATTTTAAGCGACGAACGGGATAAATCCCGCGGGATCCTGTAACAAAAAATTCTTGAAAAGAATTCCGTTACAGGATCCTAGAAATGCGATTTTACCGACCTCTAGCTAAAATAAAATTTTCTAAAAAAAAATCAATCTCACAGTGTGCACATTTGATCCTAAAGCTTTTGAACAAATTTCAAATTTATGCCAAATAGTTTCTCTAGCAGTATCATCCCCCTCAATCTCAGTCCACGGCTTTCGCTGTGCAATCTTTTCTAATAAACCAGTTAAAAATCCATTTAAAGTAGGCTGTGCTTCGTTCACTTTTTGAATTGTATAGAAGAGAATAACAGGGAAAACTTTGTCGTTTATAAGTGTTTCTATTGCAATAGCCAAAACATCTTTACCAAAAGAAAACTCACGGGCAGTGTCAACTAATAGAATATCAAGATCTAAAATTCAAATGAGTAACTTTCGAAATCCAAAAAACTCCAAACTTTGCATAAGAAATCCTTGTTCCTTTCTATTTGCCTTAAGTCTGTGTAATTCAAGCAATAACTCAAACGGGCTCAAAACAGCTTGATTTGTATCTGTATGTCGTCCAAAAAGAAGTTTTTTGAAAAATATAGGAACAGAATTGCTATTTTTAGCAGAGAGAACAAAACTTGGGATCAATTCTATAAGTTCTTCCTAAAAATTTTTTCAAAATTAGCCCCTCATTCTTAACAAAGAAACCTTTTTTAAACTATTCAAAATTGGAATTAATGATCTGACATCAGTATTCCTTGCCTGGTGTAATTTTCGAACACGATCAACAAGTGCTGGTGTTGGGGCATTTCTTTCAGTTAACTTTAAAAAATTTTTAAAATTCCTTTATCAAATTTTTTAAAAAACCAAGTGAACAATTCGAGCAACCAAAGTTTCAGCATCAGGCTGACAATTTTCAATCATATCTAAAAGATCTTCTGAATGCATACCTATTGCTTTGATGGCTTGTTCTATGCTGCGAAAAGTTACCTTAATAATTAAAAGATCAAAACTTTCACAGAATCTCAATGTCATAATTAAGAATAATTATTTACGCCCATTTTCAATAGCGAACGAGAACCTGCCAAATAGATTCATTCAATCTCAAGTTTTCACATCGACCCAAAAGTTGGCCGGTTCTCTCTCCCTTTTATTTTAATAAATTTATTTGTTGGATAAACCCTTAAAAAGAAAGCTTTCTATTTATTTGGTGGTTCGGGCGCAAGAGTGGGTTGCACCCTTGGAGCCCAACACCGACTAGTTCTTGTAACTAGGATATAATAAATACTTAATTTATTATTTTTATAGATCGAAAAATTATAGCATTTTGATAAACAAATTGTAAATATACCCGTTTAATCTCCGTTCCTGCTCTAGCATAAACCGAAGCCAATTGCTTCAATAAAGAAGGCTCTTGTGGCAACAATGACAAAAATAGGAAAAGTCCAGCCCTAATAAGGGATTCATCCCATGGCATTTCATCAATTATTTCCTCAAGTTCTCTAGCCAAACGTCCATTTGCGTGCCAAATAACCCTGGGAGCCGTTGGTGCAACAAGTAATTCTGACATTTCAACTAAAAATCCACGGACATCAGAACGGAGAAAATCAAGCTGATAAAGTTCTTTGATTGTTTTTACACACTAAAAAAGTTCAAAATATATAAAGAATTCTTTTTAAATATTTATATTAGGGGAGGAAATTTGTAAATCCCATTGGCACGATTTAAGATCGAAATAACCAAAAGAAAGTTTTATGGTCATAAGAGAATTTTAAAAAACTTATAAAATTTTTTACATGCTCTCGAATATCAACGCGTTCAAAATAACTAAATTCTATGAGTAATCGGAGTAATTCCTGTCGTTGTCTTGCTCGAGTCAAAATTAGCTCACGAAGAGTAGTAATTGCAAAAGCGCCGTATACTTTGTCGAGGCAAGCCTTCCTGAGGATTTTCAATGAACCAGATGTTAAAAAAGGTGCCTCGAGGAAAATTCGGTGGAAAAGACTGAAATAAAAAGAAAATTAATGGAACAAAAAATTATATGATCCACAAGAAATCATAATGGCTCCCATTGTCAAGGAAAGAATAATTATGAGTTCCACAAAATTCACATATTAAAAATAAATCCAATTATCCCCAAAACTTTTATTTCTCTTTAGTTCTTAAAAGAATCTTCTTAAATAAACATAACATTATAAGTAGAGTAAGGGAATGGTCAGAAAATACCAAATAAACTAACGTTTCCTTGTGTTCTCCTCTCTCATGAAGTGTCGAAAGTAAGGTACACAAATACGTATCATAGCGTTGCTTTTTTTCTTCATTCGTCAATTGATTAAAAGCTTTGGGAGAAACCAAAGTGGAATATCTTGAAAAATAAGTTTAAAATTTAAAAAATATTAACCCCATCATTTGAGCATATAATTCGGCTAAATGAAGAAGTGCCAAATCAACACGTGTTTTTTGTTCTTCAATAACATAATTAAGTAGAGTAGCTTCCAATTCAGAAGTTAAGGCGGATCGAAAGCGTGTACACAATCTAATTAGTAATTTTTGTTGAGCTAAACCAGCCCCGCCTTGTACAGCTCTTTTCTCATTTCCAAGTATCCTTTGAAAAATATCAAGTTGTAGTTGCTCCGATTCTTTGTGGAAAAGTTCCCTTGTAGCGTTGAAAAGAGTCCAGTTTTGAATTCGAGTTTTTTGGGTTGTTGGTGGCTGAAAAATATTTTCGAGTTTTAGTTAACAATAAGTAGGGAATTCTCAAAAAATCTCAAACAACAGAAAATAATGTAAAGAAAGTCAGAGATGTAATTTTACGCAAGGTTCATGATTCTCTTGTATTCTCATTAAGGTGGGGCCCGAAAAATCGAGTCGGGCATCGAATTTTGGCCTAACTTGATCGGGTCGGCCCGAAAAATGACAGAAACGACGGCCCGCCTCGAAAACCACAACCCCAATTCTCACAAAAACGAGGTATAGTTGAATAAAATCCAAAACCTGAGCAGTTTGTACGAGTGAAGATGTAGTTCCCTCATCGATAACCTTTTTAGTTTCATCATTAGACTTTTCCTTATCACTAACTTCAGATGACCTAGCAGCTGATTGTTTCTCAACAAATTGTTTTTGTTTTTCTGCTTTAATATATTCAACACCCGGCCCCTCTCCTTCTCTAGTCATCTGAATAGCCATCATCCTTGCAAGATGACGCTTTTGTGCCTCACTTCCAACTTCATCTATTGGGGTATAGCTGCTAGCAAAAGCTGGAGGCATCTCGTCAGGGAGGGTGTAAAGGCTAATTATCACAAGCTTGGAGACCTTTATGAGTACAAAAAATTAATTGAGTAAAAATCCTAGACTAATCGAAAAATAAAGGATTAGAAGTCTATCCTGCACTTAAACTTATGATACCCACAAACAGGAAAAGAGCCGAAATTTTGTTAAAAATTGAGAATCCCAATTAAAAAAATATTTTTTTTTCAATTTTTTAAGTAACTCTTTAAAATAACTAACAACAGAAATCGACAGCCTTTCCAATACAAATTCTGTAGTTATGTCAATAGCCTTTTGAGTAGCAGCACTGGCAGAATCAGGGTCATCCAATTGTCTATAAAGATCAATAGTTCCATCATCATAATCTTCATCTTCTCCCAACTAAAAAACTTTCAAAATAAATCATAAAAATTTAAAAACCTTCAGTCTCTTTGTATCCCTCAAATCCAAATCCTCATCTTGCAACGAATCTGACAGCTTTTCACCGCTATGAGGCTTTTTTCTAGATGGTTTCTCGTCTGTTCCAGATTCAGTTTGTTGTAGTTTCCTAGCTGCTGTTGCAGCTGCAAGTCTTCTTTTTAGAGCTGCATCAATTTCGTTTGGGCCAGGCATTGCTTTTTGAATTTCTGATGGGGTTGCGCCCAATTCTATAAAAAGAATAAAAAACTTTATAATGCAAAAAAATTAACAATAAAATTCAAGCTAAATATGTAGATAATAGCCAAAAATTTTAGTTATACATAGTTTTTTGTTCCGGACGCTGACACAATGCCTAAAGCGAGAATGGCAGAAATGAATCCGCTCGAAAAGCTTCTCTATACCCCAACAAGAAATAAAAAATTGTAAGCCGCATCATAATTAACTATAACCGTATCAAGGAAAGAAAATGGAAACCCCAAATCCAATACTAAATTTCAATATTTAAATAAACCTATCAAAAGTTGCTTCATTCTTGCATGTAAATTATGTAAAGTAAAACTTCCAGGATGCTTCATCATTCTCAATAAATGCATTTTAAGTTCTTTTCTCACACTTTTAACTTGACTGGTTCCCAATGTTGGAGGTAAATTTAGATGAAGTTGTTCTAAGGCGCTGACAACCTAAAAATAATTTTGATAAAATTAAGAAAGAAAAATTTACATCAGCCATTTTTTCGGGTCTTTGCCTTGCTATATTACAAGTTGAGGATATTGCTGTAACTAAATTAAGTGAAGTAATGTGAGTAGAGGCCATATGTTCAATTAATGAATTAAAACTTTTAATTGCTTCTGATTGTAATTGACGCCAAGAAATAAAAGAATCACGTCCAATTTCGTCCAAACTAATTTGGTGATTAGATGTTCTTGGAGTTTCACTGAACTAAAATTAATTAAAGTTAGCAATTTCTAATTTTTGTTGATCAAAAAAAAACAATTTAAAGAGGATGTACTTATGTAAGGATAGTTATTTTAGTGTGTCTCAATGGACGAAAATAAAATATTTTCGAACATAATATGTTTCATTACTAGAGGTTAAGGCATTCTAGGAAAAAACTAAAGAAAAATTTTCGGTTTAGACAAACATTCTCTTCCTGACCCCTGACCATTTTGAGCTATTTTGCTTCATCTACTATATAATTTATCACATATCATTCGATACAGCTGTTTGAGCTGTGTCAAATGATATCAATATGGATAATTTGGTAAATCTAAATAAATTATGAAGCTGGAACCAAGCTGGGAAACCTTTTGTGCAGTTTGAGAGAGATTAAATCAATAGGGTATAACTTTGTTCTTCTAACAATAAGATTCAAAAATAAATTTAAGTGCCATCTACCAGATTTAATTAAAATAAAACCCCTCAACATACCTCAGTTTTCGGTAATTGACAAATTATGAGCATTTCAAGAAATTTAAAGGCCATAGTTTTTATTCCCTCATTTTCAGAGTCAACAGTTTGCATTATTTTATTTTTAAGCATCGAAAATGTTTCCCAACAATTTTTTGCTTCATCATCTGTTGAACGTTTTTGTGAGGCCCAGCGGAGAAGAACAGGATAAAGTTGGGTACAAGTATTTATTGCCTAAAAATTAATTTTTTTGAGTTGTTTTTAAATAAATCCAAACCTTTTTCTGTATAATAACACCTCCAGACTGATCAGTCAATGCCCAACTAAGTGTTGCTATTGCTCTTTTAAAAACTTCAGGGTCTTTTTTACTTAAATTTGAATTTAATTTATTTAATTTAGTGAAGAAAGTCGAAGCTAACTTAACAAAAATGTGGAAAAATACTAGAGAAAATGAAGAACCACAAATTAATTTTGCTACTAATTTATATATACGAGAACATAATTGTTTAAACAATACTAGACTAAAGTGCTAAACCGCTTAAACACATTATTTACGATGTCAAAATTTAAATAGTAAAATAAAAAAAAGCAAAAGAGATAACCCAATAAAATTATAAAAAAATGACAAATGAATATAGTGAAGATAGAGGAAGAAAAAAGCTGACCATGTGAATATTCTTAAGGAAAAGAAGGAAAAGGGAGAGACAAAGCCCGGAATTATCGAAAATCGAGGAAATTAAAAAAGCAAAAGAAATATACCAATAAAATTAAAGACAAATCATAAAAAAATAAAGAAACATACCAAGCCTTTTCAATAAAATTAATAGCAAAACAGCGAATTTTCTGTTCCCTTTCATGAATAAATTGAACCATTTCATCCAAAAAGTTGTCAAGAACTGAGGAATTGTCTTGTTTCAAAATCATTTCTTCGGCTCTAGCCAAATGCATATAACGCTCTTCCAAAGATTTTCCCGACATTTGGAGAGCTTCATTAATTTCGGAGCCAATCTAAATTTTATATTTTTTAAGGAATAATTTCGGAATACTAAACAGACTCCGATTGGGACATATTATATGTCATTCGACTCAGCTCGCCGAGCTGAGTCGAATGACATACAATTTGTCCCAATCGGAATCTATTTAGTATTCCGAAATTATACCTTTTTTAAATAAATATTAGATTAAAAAATACCTCGTCGTATAAAGAATTTCCTTCTGCCATTTAATTTACTAGAACACTTAAAAATCAAAAAGATTAAAAGTTAGGAATTTAAAAGAGAAAAAAAAATAAATTTTTACGAAAAATTAATTTGACAAAAAATTTGGGACATTTTGTCGCGAGCCACTTTGTCGCAAAGTATCAAAATATATAAAAGAAAAATGTGAACAATTTTGTCTATTTAGTTGAAGAATTTCACTTGTTGAAACAAGCGGTTTTGGTGGATTTTTATGGGTGTTTTTCGATCTTATTATTAAATGGAGTCTGTTGGAAACAAGGACTTCCCACTTGTTTAAACAACACGTCTTATTGTTGGTAAATGAAGAATGTACAAAATTTGGGGAAAATTTAAAGCCTTTGTGACAAATACTGGATCTGCATTACATTTATTTTAATGTTACAGATACATAATTATTTTCAAGAACAATTACTTTATTTATTTATTTCCTCAACAAAAATTATGCAAATTCAATTAGTAAAAAATGAGTAAATTAAACAAAAATTTCTCAAAATTTCAACAAAAATCACTTTAAGGAAAGGAATTACAGAGTGGATAATGATGGAATTACCGGGAACTCTTACAATTAATGACCAAGTTGATGGTCAGAATTTTGGAAAATTATTGTGGGAAAAGAAAGATGACGGGAAGGAATATGTCAAAACAATTATTGGCCGTCAATTACTGCAAGGAGAATGTGTGGAATTAGAAAAACCTTTTTTAGTAATTAATCGAGCTTCTCAACGAAAAGAAAAAGTATAGGATTAATTTTTAAAGAATTTTCTCCCTTAGATAGTGAAATAAAATGGGAGGGAGATACGTAGCAGGGAGATATAAAAATTTTATTTTTTAAGCCTGGAAATGCTTCAAAAGGAGAGAAAAAGTCTTGTGATGTTGTTGCAATCATTAGAAGGAAGATTTATTTTAGTGGAAGACCGAAACCTATAATTGACAGTTTTTGATTTGAATTAAATTTATACACTTATTAATTTAGGAATAAAATAAAAATTATTATTATCTTCAAAATTTTTAATTTAGAATTCTTTATTAAATTTGGAATTCTTATTTGAACTTTTTTTTTTATTTATCTAGTGGACACTATACCTGTGATGGTTATAATTCATTTTGTTTAAGCCAAAATCTATTTTTCTTATTTCCATTAGTCTGACAGTCGTTTTATTATTATTAACTGACAGCAGTTTTTTAGGTAATACTAGTTATATCCCCCACTACCTATAATTTATATATGATTTTTTTCTTTCGAATATTAGAATTAAATAAAAATTCATAAAAATTTCATAGACCTTATTTCCATTAGTCTGAGTTCCTTAACTATTAGGAACTCAGACTAATGGAATTTTTTTCTGATTTTTAAAAGAAAATTTTCTAATATTTATAAAGATATAGTAAATGGACAAATATTTAAAAGTTTAATTCCTTCAAATCTTTTTTCAATCTCTTCTTCCCCTCCATTATCCTCAACAATTTCAGCACGCAAAAATGAGCTTATTAAATCAGCAGCAATAAAAATCTGATTTTTAAAGGAAAATTTTCTTTTATTTTTAAAAAATCTTCCAACTTGTGCAATAGCAAATACCCAAACAATGGCAAAGAAAAAATTGGCATTTCCAGATCCGATATGTACCCACATACTCCACATAATAGGGGAAAGTATAAATGTTGCCAAAACTGTACAGCCAGTTACTAAACTTTGGCGAAGATCTGTGGGGGGAATTTTTTATTTTTTAAATTAATTATAGGAAAGTTTGGTTCAAAATTTTTAAATTTTAATAATTAACAGAGCCAAAATTAACCAATTGAGCCAAAATTAACCTAACAACCATAGCTTATACCTTGTACCAAAATTCGTACTCGTACTATGGTACCAAATACTAGTGCTAGCAGTGTGGTTCTTTTGCCTCATTTGGGTGGCATTTGCCCCGTTTTTGGCCGATTTCGCCCCTTTTTGGGAAGCTGTGCCTCCTTTTGGTGATTTGGAAAAGGCCATCCTGAGTGCGAGACCAAAATTAAAATTTATAAGCACTGCTAACAACTTATTATTCAAGAAACTTCTAAACATAATTTCCAAATCCAGAAAGTGTTTTATAATTTTCAAATTCCTTAAGGGGAGTAAATTGGGAGATTCTGGGTGCCAATCCTAGCTTTTAAATATTTTTCTGAAAATCTCAATTATATCAAAATTACAAACATTTATGTAAGTCAATAAATGCAACAAGTACAGGCAAATAAAGTGCAGTCTCCGCATATGAAGGATATGGGGAAAATATAGCAACAACAATTAATAAAATTGAAAATAATAAATTAAGATTATTTCTAAAAATAATTATTTCTTTTTTTCAAAATTATTTTAACTAAAAATTACCTTAACAAAACAGTTATAGGTACAACATATAAAATTGTATTTAATTGAAATACACAAAGGAATAATGAACGATAATGGTCGAAAACCTTTAAAAATATTTTTAAAAAATTTTAAATTTATTTTTTAATATTTTCATTAGGGTTAGACAAAACCGTTTAACTTTACCAAAAAACCCGTTTATCGTATACCGTCTACCGTTTAGCTAAACGGTTTTGTCCAACCCTACTTTATATAAATAAAAATAAAATTTAAAATATCTCCACAAAAATATTAAAATTAATTTTGGCTGTCATTTAAGATTATTTTTCAACCTGAGTGAAGAAATACCAAAAAATTCCAACATTTGGTGTCAAATCGGGAACAGTTAAACTGAAAATAATTGTTTATTTTAAATATTTAGATTAAAAAAATTTTTTGAAGTCTTTTGAAAATTGAAAGTTTTTAGCCTACTTTTTAACAAATTTTCCCATTTTGCAAATAATTTAATATACAAAATCAAAAATAGAAAAAAATTTCCCCAAAAATTCTAGAACGGGATAATAAAAAATTAATAAAATAAATAAACTAACAAAAATCCAAAAGTATTTCTAAACATATCTTTCCAATTCTCTTCCAAATATAAATTTAAACATAAAAATAAAATTGAAGATGTAACAAAAATAAAAATTAGAGAAAATTTTCGTTGATTAAAATGCAGAATTAAAGGTGCCAATAAAAGTAAATAATAAGGATTTAATTGGATTGTTAAACAAATTGTGAAAATTGAAATAAATAAATAATCTTTAAAGGTTAATTAATTTTAAATTTAAATAAAATAAACCTTTATTAAAATAATAAAGAATTAATGAAACAAATAAATTAATCAAAGAAGAAAGATTCGAAATTGTCCAACATCCTATGGTCATTGGATTTAATAAATAACTTTAAAAAAATAAATTTTAATTTTATTTTGAGAGAATTACAAATGCAAATAATTTTAGTAAAGCCCCTTTTGTTTTTGGCATAACTTTCTTCAAATTTAAAGGAAACTGATAATTCTTTTTTTTTGATTCCCAACACTATAAGAAAATTTTTGGTCAAAAATTTTCTCTAAATTTTATAAATTAATTTGAGTATTTTTCCCAAATTTCAGACAACATTTTTTTGACCAAAAGTCGTCTGAATTAAGCGATATATGTCTGACATGGGAGAAGTTTATATCAAACGAATAAGCTCTTTTAGCTCAAAAATTTTCTTATTTGTTAGTGTTGTGTATATAATAAAGAATTATCCGTTTTGGTTATTTTTCTATTTCGAAATCGGAGTTATTTTATTTTACGCACAGAAAAATTTTTTAACTTTAATTTTTTAGTTAAATAAAAATGAAATTTTTATTTAAAACAATTTCACCAAATTAAAATTAAATTTTTCTTAGATTTAAAAAATAAAACCTCGAAAATGCAATTAAACCAAAGGATTGAGATTTTTCCAAAGAATTTTCTATTGAATACCCCAAATAAATACATTTCTTCAAAATATATTCTTCAACAAATTTCCCAATAAAATAAGCGCAAAAAATATCAAAAATCTTTTTTTAAATTAATTTTTAAATTTTAATTAAATTTTAAGAAAACCGTCCATTGAAGTTTTAGCAAAAATGGATGTTCAAGAGAAGTTTTGAAAGTGTAAATAATTATTGGTAACTAGTTTTTAAAACAATTTTATTAAAATTTTAATAAAAAATAATTTTTTCCCCTTTACATAAAACCGATTTAAAAATAATTTTTTTATTTTTAATTAAGCTTAAAAATCCAGTCGGGATTATTTGAAATTAAATTGTCGAGTAGTTTTTAATGGGATAGTTTTACAAGGAGGGGTCTTTCCTGCTTTAAAAAATTATTTTTATTTATGAGAAAGCTTAATTAAATGTCAAAATAATTTTTTAAAATTTTCACAAAACTGTAAATAATTTTAAAAAATTCAAATAAAATTTCAGCAAAAAATTACCCAGATTCAATAAAAAAATTCGTTTAAATTAAAAAATCACCACATGAACTAAATCTCCATCATAAATATTATTTCCATATTTTTGAAGGAAGACAGCTTCCTTTAATCTTTTTAAATTATTCCACGGAGTTGAGAATGTTGGTAATTGTTCAATAAATTCATTTAAATATTTAAATGAAAATAATCGAAGAAATAAAGCCAAAAATATTATCCTTTTTTAATTTTAAATTTTAATTTAATTAATTTTTAAATTACCATATTTTTTTATTATTAAATATTTTATTATTATTTTTAATTTTTAAATTAGTTGTAGTCATTGATGAGTCATTATTATTAAATTTTATAGTTGTTTTTAATTAATTAATTTGAGGATTTATAAATATTTTTAGGTAGGTAAATATTTATGTATTAAGGTAAATAAATTTTTATTTTTCTTCTTATAATTTTTTAAATTAAAAATATTTTTTCCAAATTTAAATAAAAATTGGAATTTTTCGTAATTTCTGAAAATTTTAAAATTTAATCTTTGATTTAAAAAAATTAATTTTCGTAAAAACTTTCATTAAATTATGATTTTAATTTTTATGAATTCTTATAAATGGGATATATTTATTTTGTGTAAGGCCGGCCTAGACTCATCCCGTATGTATTTATTCACTAACGTTACTCAACAGTTCTGATTTAAGGAACAATAAAAAATTGAGTGAATCATCTTCTTCGATTAATTAAAAAATAAAATTAAATTAGCAATCTAATTAAAAATCTTTTAAAAACACCAAAATATTAAATGTGTTCTATCCTTAAAATTATTTTCCTTAAATTTAAATTAAATCTAAATAATTTAAAAAAATAAAATAAAATTATCGTTGATCTATAATTTTACATATTTACATTGTACCTACATATATTTTTAATTATAATTTAAAAAATTAAAAAAATAATTTTAAGGGGTTTAATTTAAAAAAATTTTCTGAAAAAATGTTAAGCAACACTAAAAACCAATTTGAACAAAAAATCTATGTTGTAATTTGTAATTTTTCGTCACCCTCCACATCTTTGGAAGACAACAAAAATTTAAAAGAAAATTTAAAAAATGCAATAAAAATTCAACAAAATTCTTCCAAAATAAATTTTTTAAATTTATTTATTGGTGATTTAATCAAAATAATTTCGTTTAATGGAGAATGGTGTTTTGGCTATCGATTGGAAGAACCTGAACAACGTGGAATTTTTCCATCAATTTTTGTACAGGAAATAATGATTAATAATAATAATAAAATACAAACATTTTTTAATGTTGGGGAAGGAAAAAATAATAAAAATTTGACTGATGAAAAGGAGGTTGGAAGGTTGGCTTGTGATATTAGCGAGGCATTAAAGGTGTTTTTTGTGAAAGAAATTTTAAAAATAAAATTTTAATTTGAGAAGAGGGAGTAGTAGTTAAGGGTTAATAAACCCTGTAATTAATAAAACTTTATAACTAATAAACTAATAATTAATAAAATTAATAAACCCTGCTCATATAAGGAGCCTAAGAAGGCTCATGTAAGGACAAAAACAATGGAAAATTCAAAAAAAAATTCCAAAAATTTTTTTTAAAAACTAAAGGAATGGATAGAAAGAACTAAATTCGATTATGGAGAAGGTATTTCAACTATATGCCAATTCGAACAACAAATAGCTTTAATTAAACAATTATTGGTTGTTAGAAGGCATTTGTGTTCTGTTACTATTACGGCTGAAGAAATTAAAGAAATTAATTTGGTTTGGTTTTAATTAAAAAAATAATTAATTAGGAAAAGTTGGGGAATAGTCGGAGATTTTGGATAAGTATTTAGATAATTTTAAATAATTTTATAAATTTGTTTTTTTTTTGAATTTTATTTAAAACCCCACAAATTATGTTGGCAACCTAAAAGAGAGGAAACCCCTCAGGAAGGGGGCAATTCACACTAGAAAGATAAATAGATAAGATAAATTAAGATAAGATAAATTAAAAAAACGTTTGCTATTTGCTAAATATATTTTTTAAATATTTATCAAATATGCTTTGTAGGCTTTACATATTTACGTAAATGGAATGAAACATTTTTAAAAAAATATTTAAAAAAATCATTTTTTTTATTTTATTCAGTTAATGATGATTAATAGATAAAAATTATTTAGCCTTTTTTAAATATAAAAAAATATTTTTTAGGTATTAGCGGATGTAATAGACGCTGGAAATAATTTATTAAAATTAAATATGAATATAAGGGATGATTCGGGAATTTATGCAAATTTAGATGGTAATTTTGATTAAAAATTAAAAAATTATTTTTTCAGATTTTTCAATAATAACTTCATATAAAAAACACGAACAAATGTCGGAACGTTTAAATAAAAATTCTAAACAAATAATTGACTCATTTTTGGAGGATAATTTTTTAACAAAAATTTCAACAAAATTAAAAAATAATTTAAATAAATATTCTTTATTAATTAATATTAATTTGAATGAATTAATTGAACAACATTTAAATAATGAAGAAATTAATAATAATTTTGAATTAATTTTTGGATTGGGGAAAACATCTAGTAAATTAAATAAAAATACTGGAAATACTAAAGTTTGTGATAAGATTTTAATAAAAAATATGGGAAATCTTCTTTATTCAAACAGAAAATTAGGATAACCGGACTATTTTCGGTTCCATATTTCAACCTTAACCGCCAACCTTAATTACCAAGTAGTATAGTCAGAGTAGTTAATTTGAGGGATTTTATATCTGAATTGAGGGTGACCTTCTATAGGCAGTGACGATGAACAGTGATGGGAGAGTTTCAGTTTCTGAACTGATCGGTTCCAGTTCCGGAACTGCAACTGAAGAAATTCAAAAGGCAGCTCCAGAACTGGAAGCGGTTCCAAAGAAATTTTTAACTTTCCCATCACTTATGATGTATCGGTTATATCTTCGACTTTTATTTTTTACAATAATTTTTTTTCTTATTTTGGATTGTCTAGTAAGATGTCTAAATTATAGTTGGTACGTCGAGGTTTAACCCAAACTCTTGATTTTTTATAATCATAATCAATCTCCCCTCCCTTAAACTCTTCAATAAACATTTCCAAAATAAAATTCTCATTAACAGGCCACCACCCAACCAATAACAGAACCTTTTACCATTCGTTTATCTAAAATAAATAAAAATAAACAACAAAATAAAGTTTTATTTATTGGAATATCAGAATCTGATTTAGAAAATATTTCTTTATGGATGACTTGTTTAATTATTGGACCTATTGGAAGTACTCTTTTTTTGTTATAAAATAATTTATATTTATTCTCTCCCTTATTTTTCCTTTAGTTTCTGTCCGTGGTGGAGATGACGTTCGCCAATATTATGCGAATGGTCATACTTTGTTGGGCGAATTAATTAAGGAAATGGTTGATAAAGAACAACGTGAACAAACTTTGATACTTCAAAGGAAGGTTGGAAGCAAATAAATTAGTTATAATCGTGGCTGTAAGGGTTACATTTTTGTCTGTACTGTTGAAAAGATTGAATAGATTCTTATGGGAAGTGACCATCTAACCCAGTGATTGGATTCGCTCATATTCCTCTTGTATACATAGTTTTCCCATCCAAGGACCCAAAACTAATTTTTTAATTTTTTACCTTAGAAATTTCTCCAAAAAAGCTACTCCATGTTTTGGTCCCAATTTATGTTTAAAAGAAATTTTTAACAAATTTTAGTTTCTTCCCCTTTAGACAACATCTCAAATTTTTCTTTAAAATTAACTACTAGTAATTATTATTCCTCTTATCTTTTAGGAAACAGATTTAGCTTTACCTTCTAATAATTATCAAAATAATTCTTCCTTAATTACTAATACAATTAAAAATGAAAAAATACCAATTAAATTAAATATACAAATTTTTAATGAATTTAATTCTTTAATAACAACATCAACAAACATCCAAATCCTTAGACCCCTAAAACTTGAAAATGAACATTTTTGTAGAAATGAATTATTTATTTGGTTAAGGGATGCTGATTTTCATGGAATTGCTAGATCTGAAAAAAGTATTGAGGTATGGTGGGGATGAATTAAAAAGATTTTTTATTACAAAGTTGACATAAATCAAAAGTTTTGTCCCCACAAAAAGTGCCCAAGCGATAGACGGGGGGGGGGACTCTATTCTTTTAAAAATGGAGGGTATTTATTTATTTATTTATTTATTTATCAGCAAACCACAGGTATTTTAAAATACATTAAAGTGGTGCATAAAAAAAACATAAAAATACAAATTAAAGAAAATATGTGAGACAACAACAAAAAAAAAATGAAATGAAAAAAAAATATATAAATAGTAAACAAACACTCTAAAAACCACACACGCCAGGGCTCAATGTCTTTATTATTTAACTTTAATTATTAGATTTTAATGAGCTTCTAAATTTTTTCGGATCATTTATTTTATATGGCTCATTTGGAAGATTATTCCAGTTATTCACCACTCTGTGAAAAAAATTATTTTTTGTTTTATTTGTATATTTTTTTGTCCTAAGAAGTAGAGGCCTGCGAAGAGATCTATTTGATAAATTAAAATATTTTTGGGAATTAAGGGATGTAAAACCTTTTATAATTTTAAAAGCGGTGGAAAGATCGGCAATTTTTCTTCTATCTATTAACTTTTCGAGTTTACAAGTATTTAATCTTTCTTCATATGGGACCTTGATTAAACCACATTTTTTGTAAATATTTTTAGTGAATAGTTTTTGAATTTTTTCAATTTTCTCTATTTGATATTTCATCTGTGGATTCCATACTTCAGTTGCGTATTCTAGTTGGGGTCTTATATATGTCTTATATATATTAACGAGGAGATTTAAATTTCTAGATTTAATGATTCTTATTATTTGGGAGCTTTTTAAATATGCGTTTTTTATGATCATGTTTATATGATTGTTAAATGTTATTTTTGAATAACATTTAACATTATATAACATTTTATTATAAAATATTTTGGCATCTTGGCTAGATTTTAGTTTTTACTGGAACCGAAATTTTTACCGGAACCGGATCCTAAAAAACGCAAAAAACCAAAAGAACCAAACCAAAATTTCCGGAACCGGAACTTCCGGTGAAACTCTACTAGAAATTTTTTATGTTGACTTAATTATCCTCTTATTAATATTTAATTATTTATTAAAGGCGGTTGTTTCTGTGGTTGATGACGAGGGTATTTTCCTTCCCGAAGCAATTGAGGTATAGAAAGTTATTACACAAAATCAATCTCTATGTTCTTTCCAAATCAAAAAATATCAGGTCATAACCCCCGAAGGAGCTATCCGAGAAAGCAGTTTCCGTTGTCGTGTTTGGCCTTCAACTGATCGCCCACGATTTAATGAATTAATTAAAGTTTTATTACCCGATCAAGAAGCAAAGAATTTACATTTACAAGTAAAAAACTAATTTTAAAAATTCCTTTTAATTTTCCATAATTTTAAGATTTTATTCTACAATAAATCATTTATCGATAGAAAATCATTATACAGTACCGGAGGAAGTTATTCTACAAACTCCTTAAATCCCAAAAAGGAAAATAATACTAATGGCCCTTTTGCTCTAGCATTTCTTCACCTTATCCGTAATTATGTTCTTTGTAATGATGATGAAGATGAATTATTTATTTACCGGATAGACCGAACAAAAGGAGGAAATTCTGATGGAACTAAAATTCTACCTCTTAGTGTTGCTTATTTAAGTAATCAGTCGAGGAGAAAGGAGGCTCAAGGCATTACTAGCAATGTTAGGTAGGACTAGGAGATATTTTTAAATGTTAGACTGTTCGGGCCATCTATCTGGACGAATTTCGGAATTCATCCATAAAACGATTGATAGCATAACTTAAAAATATTCTTCATTCCCTTTTATTCCCCCAATTTTTTGCAGTGATGACCAATCATTATTCTCTTCCAAATCTCGTTCAAGTTCAGTTGCTACATTACCTTCAGCTTTGGATTTAACATTAATTCAACAACAATTAAATCAAAATTCGTTTTCTAATGGTTATATACTTTGTGAAAGAAATACTTTACATTTTCAATCTTTTATTTGTTCACAATTACATTGTAACAATAAATTGTTAATTCAGGTATTTAATGACTTAAATTTATTTAAGTTCAAGGTTGGGAATAAATTTTAAGCTTTTGCTTAAGAAATTTTCTTTATATAGGTATCTATTTATCAAAGGAAGATCCATATTTATAAATTCAGTTCATTAAACAATTTAACCCTTATATTTAAATTAATACATAGTTTAATTAAATGGGGACATGTACTACTATGTATAATCAAGATTTATTAAAGCCTTATGGGCAAGATAAAAATTTTTTAGAAATTTTTCTCTGTTCACCTAATAAAAATATAAATTAAAGATTCTTCGTTGGCGTGATTATTGTAACAAAGAAAACCAACAAATTAATGTTCTAAAACAATATTTGTTAGAATTTTCCCGTTCAGATTTAAATTCAAAAAATTATTTGAACGAAATTACAAAGTTTTGTCATAATTTTTTGGATTCTTTATTTCAAATTGCTGATGAATATTTTCAATTACAAGTACCTGTTTTTGAGGCTTTAATCCATTTATTTTCTTATAATGGGGATTGCCCTCTAATAAAAGAAAAATTGGAAGAATATATTCAAAGAATGTTTTGGCCTAGAGCACATGAATTTCTTTTGGAAAATTTTATTAGGTGAATGTTTATAGTAAATATTTTAATGTGATTTTAACTTGGTCAGCAACATAGGTTGATCGGAATTCCGATTTTCGACTTCGGATTCCTATTTCCGACACCTTCTTCATTTCCGATCGACCATTTCCGATTACCTCTGTTCAGTAAGGGTTAGTTAATAAGGAGGGTTTTGTCATGTTTGATAAAAACGACGATAAACTTTACCTGATATATGTAGTTAGTATAAATGGGGGCGGGGGGGGGGGGGGGGGGGAGTGAAGGGGGTAGAGCAAACGAAGTAGATTACCGGTCAGGAAAACCCAATATGCTCTCATACCTGCCTATTAATAGTACCCAATCCTCGTCCCGGAAATGTGATATTTTTATGAATTTCGAGGAAACACTAAAATTATAAAGTCAGACGTGTATAAGACAATTCTTTAATCTAAAATAACTATAATTTAAATATTCGAAGATGTCTAAAAAACGAAGCAAACTTCAATAATTTAAATAATAAATCTTCAACTTCCTCAATTTCTAATTTATCTTCTCATCTTTCTTTTCATTCCAACACTACATTAAAAACAACATCTTTTACTTCTTTTGTAAAGCCTGAAACAACAGAAGAAGAAAAACAAACAAATAAACAACAAGATGAACATTTAATTTGTTTGTTTCGTTCAATGGAATTTATTGTAAAATTAGCTATTGCTTCTAAAAACTCAAAATTATTATACTATGTCCTTCCTGTGGATAATTCTGGTAAAAATATATAAGTTAATTTTAATTCAGAAAATATGTATGTCGAATTTCAAATATTTATTCCATCTGTATTATAATTACCCCTTGCAGCATTTCTCCTTTAACTATTTTAAAATTAAATGTAAAAAATAAAAACAGTAATTAAATAAAAATTTAATTTTTATAACGGGATCATAAGAACGTGGTTGGTGGTTAGGTGACCTTACGACAGTGGTTACCACGTGGTTTTCATATGATATCGGGTTAAAACTACCTTGTGGTTACTTGAAAATTTAATTTTTTATTTAACGATGGACCATGGACCATCGTCAGGTGACCGAGTTCTTGTGATACGGGCCCAGATGTTGAAAAATTTGAAAAAAACCTAGAGTAATTATTCAGGGAAATACTTCTATCATTAAAATAAATTTTTTTATTAAAAATTAGATGAATCCATCGATAACTCAAACGATCAACAAAAATTTATTAATTATATCAATTCAATTCTCAAAACACTCATTCAATTTTTTGGCGGTGATGAAAATACAGATTTAAATTCAATAATAGAAACCTATCAAAATCCTCAAGTTTCATCTAATTTTAATGTTATAACAACAACAAAGATGAAACAGCATCGAAATGTTTTGTTAAAATATTTACCTCCATTGATCTCCACACTCCTTGAGAATTTCATTTGTGCATCTATTAATTTAGCAAAGTGAGATTCCTTTGAATAGAGATATTTTATAGTTTTAAGGGGGATTACCGTCTTTTAGTAATTTTAATATTATAACGACTAAAATGAGATTATTTTTGTGCTTACAAGAAATAGAAATTACGAACATACCGTATTTTCTTGATTAATTCCCCTCTCTCGATTAATTTCCCATGTCACGGAGGATTGGAACATTAATTCTCCACTCCCAAATACCCTAATTCACGTTCAAATGTCAAAACTCGAATAAATCCCCATCCCATCCACAGGGAATTAACCGAGAAAATACTTATAAGAATTTTGAATTTCTTCAAGCATTTTATCTTTTCCCTTATAAAAATATTATTCAGTTTTGATCAAATATGTAATTTATCAATTATAAATTTTGTAGTTTTGTCAAAATAATAGTCTCAAACGTCTCTGCAAGCATTACTTCCCATTATGAAGAGTTGATACCTTTCTTGGGTACAATTATTAATTCGGAGGTGAACTTTATGATTTTTCACAAAATTTCATTTAAATTATCTTAAACAATTTTTTTATTTTTAGCTTTTTAGTGATTTTAAAAGCCGTTCTTTGCTTTTGGAACAATTTGTAGACCAATTATTATCTCAAATGCAACCCCTTTCAATTAATCGAGAAAATAACCAAAAAAATATTTTACAAAGACGTGCTTCAATCACTGCTGTTTTTGTAGAAGAAAATAGCCAGTCTTTAGGGTTAATAATTTAAATTGGTTGAAAAATCTAAAAATTATTTTGTATACGAAATCGAAAACTGAAAATGGGAGAGAGGGAGAAAAAATAATCCTCTCAACTCTCAAATAGGTTAAAAAAACCCTTAAAAACCCAAAATAAAATTCTCAGATAGGGGGTTTTTGTAGGGTGTACGGAATTCTGGTCACTGGAATTTTGGTCACCACGATTTTTCGGAACTTTGGTCACCAATTTTTTTGGAATTTTGGTCACCAGCGGAATTTTGGTCACCAAATCAAATAACGGAATATTGGACACTGAAATTTTGGTCACCAAGAGGAATTTTGGTCACCAAACGGAAAAAAATAATCTTATCTAAAACTGATAAAAAATGATTTTTCAACCCCCATTTGATCAATTTCAATGTTGATCACTCTCACAGCTGATCACTCTCTCGGTTGATCACTCTCGATCACTCTCCTGATGATTGATCAGCTGTGAGAGTGATCAACATTGAAATTGATCAAATGGGGGTTGAAAAATCATTTTTTTATCACTTTGATATCAGTTTTATATAAGATTATTTTTTTCCGTTTGGTGACCAAAATTCCTCTTGGTGACCAAAATTTCAGTGTCCAATATTCCGTTATTTGATTTGGTGACCAAAATTCCGGTGACCAAAATTCCGGCACCCTTTTGTAGCATTTGTTTGATTTTGTAATTTACAATATTACGGTACCTATACTCTATTGTAGATGTATAAGTTATACCCTATCATATTTTACTTTAAATTAATATTTAATTAAAAATTTTCTTTTTAGCAATCAACCTGAAGCTGTTGAAATCTCTGCAAAAATTCTTACAGAGCTAATCGAACGTTTATTTCCACATCAAAAAGGCGCCAATTTTGGACAGATGGGAACTAGTTCTGAATTAGAATTAATTTTACAAAAAACACTTCGTCCGGTTATTCAAACAATGTAGGGAGTATTTCATATTTACTCGATTAATTAACCCGAGTCAGTCTACTCTCCCAATTTTGATTTAATTTTTGAATTAATTAACAAGAAATAGTTCTATATAATTATTCTAGTTGAAACCTAATTAATTAGCCCACTTTAGTTATATCTCCCTCAGATTCACCTTTATCTTTAACTCCTGTTACTCCATCTTTAACTCCTTTGCTTTTAACTCCCGCTAACTTAATTCTATGATTCTGATTTCTTAGCGAAAAATAGGCAACTCTCTTATGATCATAAAGAAAAACCATTTGAAGTCCGATAATATTCTGTTGAATTTTAATAATTAGTTAATCCGTTAAACTCTAGCAGGGCTCATTATTTATGTTTCAACTTAATTAATTTTTAATATATTTTTAGGGTCACTTTATTAGGCGATCCTCAATTACAACGACCTCTACATTCTCTTTTACTCGCTATTTTGGATAAATTATCTGCACAACATTTTTCAAAATATTTTTCAAAATTGGAACATACTTTGAATAAGTATGATAATAATAAAATAACACGTTTTGAAAAAACAATGAATTTATACTATAGTTAATTCCTAATTTTAATCAGGATTGACGCTCTTTCCGAAATGCTTCATATGTTTCGAGATCTTCTATCTCGATGCCCTGCACCTAAAGAATGGTCACAAATTCGTTTAACTCAAACAAAAATTTTTCTAAAAATTCTTCGCTTCTCGAGTGCTTATTTACAACACAAATTCTCTTCTGAAATTAATTTTTCTGGCCAATTATGGTTAGAATGTATGTATAGCTGTGTTGCTGTAATTAAATGGGCATGTTTAGAGAAAGGTGGAAAAATTGTTTTTATGTTTTCTTTGATTAGAAATTTTTTAGTTTTCTCCCGACAAAAAAGGGATAATAGACGAAGCTATTTGAACAGAGATTATTACAATATATGTAAAATTTCTGTTAGAATTTTATTGTGAGTTTATTTAAATCCTTTTTACAAAAATTTATTAAAGAATATTTTTCAAAAATCGTATACCTTAAATGATCCAATAGAAGCTATTTTTCAAATGGGTCCCATTGGGTGGCTTCTAATTAGACATGGGCTTCTATAAGAGCATGGGCATTTATTCTTCAATACCCCTCATCGGATGGGCTTTTAATACATAGGTCAAGGATTTCTATTGGAGCCAGGCTTCTATTAGAACATTTACGGTAATCTTGTCTTGATTCAAATTCATTATTAACGATAAATAAATTATTTAATATCTATTTAATAATTAGGTCCTTGTGGCACTCACTTAGTCCAGACCAGAAAATTCAGTTAATGCCTGAAATGATTAGTCCTTTACTTGAGGTAAAAACTAAATAAATATTTAGTTAAAATTTTAATTTTAGTTATCTCTTTGTAATAATTCACATATACGTCTTTTAATTACTCCAATATTTTTTGATATTTTATATACAGAATATTTTATACAAAATACAAAAACATTAATTACCCCTTCAGAAGTTGTTTTAAGAAAAACTTTTTTCCAAAAACAAACTCAACAACAAAATTTAAATAAAAGTTTATTTTTTGAAGAATTTGTTAAGAGATTGGATATTGCTTTAGATGAAGCTAAAGATGATTTTTTGTTTGGGGAATTTAAGGTGGTTTTAAATTCTCTTGATTTTTAAAATATTTTTTGGGGCCGTTTGGTGGCAAGGGCTCCTCCTCTTTAATTTTAGATTTTCGAAATTTCTCAAATCGTTTTGATTTTTATTTCTATATTTTAATTTTCGGCACAGTTCTGACGATTGAGAGTGAAAATATAGAGACTTCTTTTAAAAATTAAAATTTTTAATTAAAATTTTAAGAAAACCTTAAATGAAATATTTGATGAAAAAATAATTACTCTAGAAAGTGAAGAAATTAATGCTGTAAATGTTGTTGACTCCTTGGCGAGTATAACTAGATTTTTTGTTAAGGTAAAATATTTTAATTGATATTTAACTGTTTAAATCTGTGCTCCGATCGTGAAAATGTTAAGTGTAATTATAAAAAGTTCAATTTGGAAGTACTATGAAGGGGGGGGGGGGGATTTTCAAAATATAAGTACGCTACAAAAACACGGTCTAAAAATTTATTCTCGCTTATATTTTTATATCTTCCAAATCAGCCTTTCTCTGAGCTGCGGGTGAAAATTTTGAGAATTTTAAGGTTAAATTTTAAGGTTTGTAAGTACTGTACTTCCAAAATAAGCACGGATCGGAGCCCTGGTTTAAATTAAGGGATATATGCTAAAAACTGGATCGAGACGAGATCTTGATAAAAAATCTCGGTTATGGAGATCTCGAATTTTTCGAGATCTCGATTTTCGTACGACACGTCAAGTCCGGTCTCTAATATTTACTTGATTAAATAAAATCTTTGGATGTTCACTTGTTTAAAAAACACATTTATTTGTTAATAATTAATTTTTAGAATATAAATAAATTACTTGATCTCTACTCTTCATATTTATCTGTGTTAAATATTCAATCACAAACTCAAATTGAAACAGGACTTTTTTGTACAGTTCAATTAATTGAATTCTATCTAGAAATGGGGCAAAACAGTCTTTACCTTATTTATTTGTTTGTTTTTGATTTTTCTTTTTTTCGTTTAACAAAAATGAGATTGATGATAGGAAAAATAAAAGTTGAGTAATCCGTCGCCTCAAGGGTTACTTTGATTCTCAATGGATTGCTTGATTTTTAACATTCCTTTGAGAATTTTGATTGAATGTCTTTTTCAAATTTTCCTCCAAATTTTCATTCATTTTTAAAGATATAAATTATATGATCTAAATATTTCTGCTGGAAATTGGGTGGAAGCAGCAATTACCCTTCAAAGACATTCTTCTCTTTTAAACTGGACAAACGAACGTCCCTCCAAATATCTTTATGGGGCTCGCAAACAAAATTTAGTTTTTACTACACAAATGGCTCTAAAAGAATATATTTGTGTTGAAATGGCTAAATTATTTGAAAAAGGTGATTTTAAATTTGGGAGATCACTCCCTAACTAGGGCTGGCAGATACTGGGAAACCCCAGCTATCTGAACTCTTACAAATGGCTTAGCAGATATTTGAGAAATTGAGGCTACATTCTTTAATTATTCTTGAAAATTTTTTCTACTTTCCACCTTATTATTTACCTCAATTCGCCTTCTAAAAATTCGTCTTCTAAAAATTAAAATAATTAAGGAATTAAATTTGGGAGCTATCTGAACTCTTACAAATGGCACTCCCTTACAGAGGTGGGTCGGAATTCCGATTTCCGACTTCCGATTTCCGACGTTTTTTTCCTTCCGATTTCCGATTTCCGAAATTTTGGAAAAATTTCCGATTTCCGAGAATTTTTGAAGCATATTTCCGACTAGAGATTTTTCCAAAATTCTCAAAATTTTCGCCTGCGGCGCAAAAATTTGAAGAAATCTAACTTAAGGACCTCCAAAATTCTCAAAATTTTCGCCTGCGGCGCAAAAAATGGAAAATTTTTGGCTTAAGGCTCTCAAAAATCCCAAAATTTTTGCCTGCGGCGCTGTAAATGGAAGTTGAATAGTATATCGGAGGATTAGGTTAGATTAATGTGGACTTTGAGTTATATCGTGTGATTACGAGGGGTCATAGGCTCTATCAGTCCTCAATTTTAACTCCAAATATCCCTATTGATTCTATAAATTCTCTGATATCCCGTCTAATCTACCAAATCCCACAATATCTCTTTTAATCCCTTCGAATTTGACTTTTGAGTTGCAAAAAGAACTTTTACACCCTCAAATTACACTTAAGAAGGCCCATAATTTACCACCTTACAATTTTAAATAAATTTCAGTTATGAAATAAAAATTTTATTTCCGATTTCCGCCTTCCGATTTCCGATTTCCGGCGTTTTTTTCCTTCCGATTTCCGATTTCCGAAAAAAAATTTTGATTTCCGATTTCCGAGTTCCGACTTTTGAGCCATTTCCGATTTCCGACAGTTCCGATTTCCGACATCTCTGACTGTTCCGACCCACCTCTGCTCCCTTACTAGGGTTGATTTTAAATTATTGTAATATTGTTGTAATTTATTGAGTCAATGGAATTTTGTTTTTAATTTGCTAACTCAATTCGTCTTTTAATCCCTCCCGTTCTCCACTTAATAAAAACTTATTTTTAATTTAATTATTTAGGCCAACATTGGGAATTAGCAATAGAAACAAATAGAGAGTTAATTAATGTTTACGAGACAATTTTGTAAGGAAATATTTTCAATATTTTATTTTATTTTTATTTTTATATTTTTAGTTTTGATTATTCAAAATTATCAGAATTGTTGAAAAAGAATGCTTCTTTATATGAAAAAATAATTAAAGAATTAAGGTTTGAATGTAATTATTTTTTGATTGCTTTTTATGGAAAAAGTAAGAGAAAATTAGGGATTTTAATGTGAATGTTCCCAAATATTTATTTTAGAATGCCCTTCTTATTTGGCAAACAAAAAATTTATTTTTCGTGGTCAACCATTAGAATCTTGGGCTACTTTCAAGCAACGTTTCCTTGCGTCATTTTCGGATTTTAAATTTATTGAGTCAATGGAAATTACTAGTGAGGAGTTGGAAAAATCAGAAGATAAACTTGTACAGGTTGGTTAATAATAGATAATTATTTTTTGATATAATAATTAAAAATGTTTTTTAAATTTAATTTAAAAATTCTCTTCATCATTTAAATTTTTTCTTCTTCCTCATTTCATTTCTATTCCTTTATTTCTGGCACGGCACTTCCCTCAATTGCCGCAATGCCTTCAAATCTTTTCCGAACTTTTTCAATTAACTGATTTAGTTCCTTTTAGTAAGAAATAAAATTTTTTGGAGAATTTTTAATCTCAAAAACCTCAGAATTTAAACGATTTTTATTTTCTCCATAATTTAATCCCTCATTCTCCAATTCTCTTAAAATACTAACAGCCTCTTTATAATTTGACCGACGAGATTCGAAAATAGCCAAATTGTAGCGAGCTATCCATAATTTTGGTTCTAGTTTTATAGCTTTTTTATATACAGCATATGCATTTCGAAAATCTTGTAGTTCAGTTAAAATAACTTAATTGGGTGTAAATAGTAAATAATAAATTAAATTTACCTTAAAATAAAGGCATAGGACTAACTTAGGAAAATTCTCTCTATACATATTTTAAAATAACACATACTTCATAATTAGGGTTATTTCCCGACGGGTGGGGGCGGGAGGCCACGGGGATAAATTTTCGGGTTTTCAGGGAGGCAGTGCCACGGGGACGGGGAATTTGCAAAAATCTCTCAAATTCCCCGACTTTCGGGGGCAGGGAATAACCCTAATACTAATTTTAGAATTAATTAGTCTTCTTATTTAGATTTCCTTAATTCCAAATTTAACACCCCAAATTATTTTAATTCACTTATTTTTATTCAAAAACATACGAGACATAACGCATAGAATACTTGCATTATTTGAATTAACCGCATAGGCAGCAGCTGCAAAATGATAAGCTGACGCAAATTGCCTTAACGCGCAATAAACAAGAGCCATATTTATTAAAACCTTTTTTAAAAAATAATTTTTAAAAATTAATTTTCTGTTAAACTTTCCAATCCAACGGACACAAATAATTAGCGCGGTGTAAACAAGAAAGTGCAGCAATTAATTTACTTTTACCAAAAAAGCACATTCCAATATTATTCCAAATAGCACAGGAATGATCAAAATCAGCAGCAACAATTCTAATTTAATTTTTAAAAATTTAAATTACCCTTTATCCCACTAAACTTATTAAAAAAGTTCATTTTTGAGAAGTGAGGATTGCCGTCTGAGGATAGGATCTTATGGGTAGACTAGGAGTTAGGCAGAAATTTAGTCGCCGGGTACTAATCAAGCATGTTTCGCTTATTCGTGAATATAGCTAACTCTCTAAGCGTTTTCAATGCTAGCTGGATTACATTAAGAACCTGAACCTGTTTAAGGTTTACAAACAGAAAATAACTTTCTGGAGTTTACTTAATTTGTGAATAATAAAAATTCACTTCTCATATTTACAAAAATATCGGTTATCGAGAACTACCTACTAATCTATACTACCTACTAACTTATATTTTGAAAGAGCCACATCCCAATCATTATTCATTTGCAAAATTGAAGCAATAGCTAGCACAGATGGTACATAATTAGCATCATAACTTAAAGCTTTTCCAAAAGTTGTGAAAGCATTTGACTGATCCTCCATCTATTTATTTATTTTAAAATATATTTTATTTAAAAAAACTTTTAAATATAACATTCCAAGTGAATGTATTAAATCAACATTTTCTGGTTCCATTTCTATGCTGCGCTTATAAGCTTCAACTGCAGCGCCGGTTTCGTTTTGTTCATCTAATATTTTTGCCAGAAACATTAACTAACAATTTTATTTATTAATTATTAGACATTTAATTCTATATCCCTAATGATCTTACCCTTATCTATTCTTATTTGTGTCAGCGCTTTAATTATACCGGGGTTAATGCCATTCCGATTTCCGAAAATCGGAAATTTTTATACTGCCAGGATTCCTGATCCAAACTTGGCAGGATTCTAACTTACTTACCTAATCCCCTTATCTTACAGAAATATCTCGAAAATACAGTTCAAAACTATTTTACCATATCTGCACTCGAGTTAATTTTTGGACATGCCAACATTACATCCTGAGACTAAAAATAACAAAATTATTTTTTAACCTCTCTAGCTTAAATTTTTTTAACCTTTTTAACTCGTTCCGGTGATTTATAGACATGATATACAGCAAGAGATTGCCAATAAAATAATCTCTAAAATATTTTTATTTACTTTAATAAACAATTTTTTGTACCCAATCAAGCAACCCACGACCTTTTTCCTCATTCCTCTTTTGTTGTGCTTCCAAAGCAAGTTTAAATAATTCAATCGCTCGTTGGTGTTCACCCAACAAGTAATGACTTTTTCCCATTTCGAATAAAACCCTAAATATTTAGAAAATATTTCTAATATGTAGGAAGTCAGATCCTATCAAAACCCACGATTTTTAATAAAAGGAAAAATTTTAAAATTTTTAATTTAATTAATACTTGGGTGAGCGATGATTGTCTTTCAATGCTTTGCTTATCCATTCTACCTAAATAATTTTTTTAACTAGCAATTTAACTTCCCAAAATTTTTTACCGATTCGCATATTTCCCCCTCTTCCCTCGCAATTTGACCTCTTAGTAAAAGAGGGTATTCACAAAGCATTTCGGGTGTATCATCAAGGATTTCCTTTTTTCATTAAAAAATAATTGAAACAATATCAAATTTAATTTTAACCTTTATTTTTTGTTTACATTGAGAGAATTTTTGTTGAATAAAAAGTCTGTAAATTGTTGGATTTAATCTATCTGGGGGTTTATAACGAGTAAATCTTTGTTTTATTTCAAATAAGCGACGAGTTTCTGACTCATCTTCAGCTGGGTGTATAGTTAAATCTGTGGTTGACATTTTTCTATAAAATATTGAAGTGGGGAATTTAATAATTAATTATTTTTATTTATGTATGTTTAAACGATATCAAAATTATTAAACATTTATTAAACTGCTGACCTGTATAAAACCCCTAATATAAAACCCCTAAATAACCTAAATATTTGTTGATAAAAGGAAATATATGTAGGTAAGTGGAAGGGAGTTATATCTGCGATTTGGGATTTCTTGTGATAATTTAGAAGCTAAAGCTATCAGTACATAAATACATAGAAAGCTTCTTGATATTTGGAGCTTGTTCATTTCAATTAATAATTTAAGAAACCGATATAAAAATATAATATAAAGCCTAAATAAAATAAATTTGGGGAATATTTTTTATGTTGCTATGACAACTTTTCTCTTTATATTTTCTTTCTTCTCTAAAAAATAAAATAAATTTTAATTAAAATATTTTTAAAAATTATTTTCAGTTCTAAATTTACAATTTCAGATAATTACTGTAACTCCAATCCCTTCTCCCTTTTATTCAGAATTATTGCTGTCCCCTTCTCGTTTAACTTCTTGGTATTATAAACATCACAAAATCCAGCGTTTCCAACTTATTCGGAGAGAATTTAAAACAAACACAAAATGGACAGAATTGGAGGATAATGAAACTATGAGGTTATGGTTACACAAGAAAATATTTACAACACAACGGTGCGACTTTCTAAAACAATAAAAAATTTTATAAAAAAAATAAAGATGAATTAAATTTATTTTTTATAGACCATTACCGAATTTACTAAATTTTGCCCAAATAATTAATGAACAAGAATTATTACCTTCACACCCAATAGAAGTAGCAATTGAAAGAGTTAAAGAAGCAAATGATAAACTTGCAGATTTATCTAGTAGGGTTGCTGAGGGTTTTGTTTCTGAATTTCATATGAATTTGGGTGGGATGATTCGTGGAATTGTACAGGCAGATGTTGGTGGCGGAATTAAAAATTATCAGGCAAAAACTTTTTTTCAAATATTTTTTGAAAAATATTTTTAAATTGTTAATTTTTAAAATGTTTTCTCCTACGTACACCCCTGATATCACTTGACTGATCATCTGATTGCGATCAATCGTTTAATCAGTCGATCACTTGACTGATCACTCGATCTCTTGATTGATCACTCAATCATTTGATAAGGAGCAAATTTTAAAATATTTTAAATTAATTTTTCAATAACATTCTGTTGTTCAAAAGATTGTAGGTCCTCAGGGTCAAGGGTCTTAAGGGTGTCGTCCTCAGAGTTGACCCTGTTTCCCTCAGGTAAAAAATATTTTAGCTGTTAAAGACTAAAATAGTTATCCTTTTAAAAGCTATGATTCAATAAAAATTTCAAAATTTTGAATTAATTTAAATTTATTTTTACTTTTTAGCCTTTCTTCACCGCTCAATGCCGTATTAACTGTAGTGAAGAAGAGAATCGTTGTATTGAAAATTTAATTTCACTTATATTCGAACAAATAACTTTATTAGAATATTCTTTATTTATTCATTCAAATAATACCCCTACCCCCACAACAACAACAACAAATTCATCATCTTCTAATGCCGCTAGTTTTCACAATTCTTTAGTTGCTTCATTTAATTCATATAAATGTCAAATAGAAACACAATTTGGAAAAACATCAAAATCCTTATTGCCAGAAGGGGCTTCAATCTATTCAAAAATTGATCAAAACGAACTGATGGGGAAATTGCCTACAAATATTGTTGTTAATAATAATGCTAGGTAATTGAATTGGGTTTTTTAAAAATATTCAGCAAGCTATTAAGATTATTAGGTGGGCGGGATAAAAAACAGACGGGTTACTTAATTCCCAACAATTCATCATCTTGACTTCAATTATAAATTTAACTAACGTACTTCCTCTATTAGAATGCCATGGCATTTTATTTTTCAATTACCTTCTAAGGTGGCATTCTAATTAGAGGAAATACGATATTTTTATTCTCTACTAATCTCTTATTAGTAGATTATAATATTATAATATTTATTAATATCAAAATTATTAGCAATTCCTCCTACCTCTCCCCTCCATCTACAATTAACAATTCACCAACGGCCACAAGAGCATTCAGAAGCCATTCTGTTAGCGAATTTCAAAGTAAAATTTAAATAAAACCCGAATTTTGTTTAAATTTATTTAGATTCACAAAATGAAGGAAATTTAAGTACAAGAAATTCACAAATTTCAAGTTCTTCATCTACAAATAGTGGAAGTGGAAGTAGCAACTTTTTTAAAAATTCGCCTCTAGGGACTGCCGGAAATTTAATAAAGTCATTACAAGTAAATTAGAATTTAATTTTTTTTAAATTAATTTTTAAATCCATATGTATATGTTTTTTAAACTTTACTGTGCATTATTGGGGTTATAATTATCGATCACCTATTCCAGGGAAAATCTGTAAAAAAATTAATTTTCAATTTTTTTCTAGCAAAAATTGTGAAACTTTGGGAATTTTTGTAGACAAGTTAATTGTATCGAAATACTAAGTTCCGAAATAATAGATTAGCTAAACATCAAAAAAATAAAAATTAAAGTACTTATTTATGTACTTTTGAAATAGAGTGTATGAATCAGGGATCGCGCCGACCCGATTTACTAAATATTCTTGAAAATCGGGAATTTGGTTTTCTGTCGGCGCGATCCCTGGTATAAATAATAAACAAACATAAAAATAATTTTAATACCAGGCCAAATCCAAACAAAAACAACAAAAAAATTTAGTAGCAATAAATAAAAGAAGAAATACTTCGACAACATTTTCAACAAAAACAGATCAAAACCAAACAACATCAAAATCCCCCCAATTTCTCCGTTTATTTTCACAAAAACAAAATCAAAAACAACAAATATCCTCAACAATTCCACCAACATTTAATTTAAATACAAGAATTTCTGATTGTTCTTTAGAAAATTTTTGTTTTCCAATGGATACAAATGCCCCTCCATTGCCTCCTAGACAATCAAGCTTTCATTCTGATGTTTTAATTTGTACAAAAATGAAAGGAGGAAATATTTAGAGGATCTTAAGAAATTTAATTTTTGTTTAATAATTTAATCCTTATATTTTTCGCCTTATTTTTTTTTAATATTAATTTATGTAATTAGCATTTATTAATCAGATGAATAAAATTTGTTTTATTCAAAACTAGTTGATGTTTAATAAAAGTATAAATCAAAATACACAGTTCATTCGACTTTTCGAGCTGAATCGACTGATGTTTGTCTCTCAATCTCAAGATCATACGCTCACAATTTATCTCATTAGAATTATTGTAACTGTAGCTGTTATGTCCGTGATTAAGAAAAATATATTTAAATTTTATAGACATTTTTTATATTAATATTTTTGCCTTTTTCCTCACATTCAAATTTTCCCTTTGTTTACCCACTCATCAAATTATAATCTTTTTATATTTATTCCCCATCTTTCCAATTTCCTTTTACATTTTCAAATACCCGACACATTGACCTTTTCCTTATCATCATTTTACTTTGTACTTTTCCACCCTTTTTCACCTGTATATAAACCCCAACTTATTTCCTCATTTTTGGGGACCTCCTTGGCGAGAGCCCTCCATAGAGAGAGAACTTTTCCTAGCCCCATACCCCCTTGACCATGGGATATTAGGAGATTTTGGAGTTTAAGATCTCCCGATAGCCCCCTCAAATTTTTTTATATCACCTATATGTATTCCTCATCTAATTCCCTTTAATCCCTCCAAATCCTCTTGATGCTGATTTAATTTTTATTTAATCCCTCCAAATCCACTCTGATCTTCTCTGTGCAATAGTGATATCAGGGATTAAAAGATATCGAGAGATTCAAGTATTTGTTGGGTAGCATTAAAAGAGATTGTGAAGAAAGACCTCTAACCACCTATATCACCTGATATCTATACAAATCCCTTCAATTGGAAGGCAATGATATCAGATGATTAAGGCAGGTCTAATGGATTTAGAAGGATAAAGATGGCTTAATCACCAGGTCCCTTGATAGAATCGCACTATACACTAATTTCCCTCAATCTTTCCTCCAATAATACCTCCAAATTTATCCGTTCCAAATTCTTCCGCGAAAATTTTGAGAATTTTGGAAGGCCAAACAGCCAAATTTCTTCTGTTTTCAGCGCCGCAGGCGAAAATTTTGAGAATTTTTGTAAAATCTCCAATATTTTTAAGTCAAAAATCAAAACGCCAAGCAAAAATATTTAAAATTAGCCGCTAGAATTTTTCCCGGTTTCCCGGTCCAAAAAAAGCCGGGATCGGGAACGGGAAACGGGAAATGAAAATTAACCGGCCGGGACCCGGACCGGGAAAACCGGGAATTCCCGATCCCGGTTTCATCCCGGCATCTTCAAAAAAGCCGGGAAAAAGGACCGGGAAACCGGGAAACGGGACCGGGTCCCGATCCCGTTCCGATCTCTAGTTTAAAGTATTACTAGTTTTAGAGGATTTTTAAATTTTTTATTTTGAATATTTCCATTTTGAAAAAAATTTTTATTTTAAAAATCGATAAAAATATAGCCAGACATGTAAACAAGCAAGTCCTTCGATTTTTAGACATAATTGAGGGTCTAGACATTGAATGCCTTATTTACGAGTGATAAAAATATAAGAAAAACAACATATGATTCACTTAAAAATAATTTCCCGACACTCCACTCCTCTCCATATTTTTTAAATAAAAATTTTTATATACACCTTGTCAAATACATACAATGCAAACCCAAAATTTATAAAATAATTTTTTAAAAAGTTCTTGCTTAATTAACGTTATTAAAGAGAATAATGTTTTACAATTAAGATTAGTTTTAAAAAAACGACTGACAATTTATTAATTGTATAAACGCACATACCTAAATATTCTGGAACCAGACTAAGATGAAAAAAAGGAAAAAAATAATGTGGACTGTCAGTTAACCGTGGACTGTTTTTACAACAGAGGGGGGTAACTTAGAGAGGAGTGAACTAAATTTAATAAAAACCTTTGGCAAATAGGGAGGGGGAGGACTGTAATATTAATTTACCTACGGTCTTGATTCGATTAAGAGTTTTGTAAAATATTTAGATAACACTAACTATACTAATTAAAAACCTTTTTTACAAGCATGAAAATGCGGAAAAATATTATTGTTTTATTATTTATTATTGTTTATTTTGTCAATTCTAGCGATAGTATTAGGAAGAAAAGGATGAAAAGTATGAAGTTTTTTATAATTATTAGTAGGGCTTCAAAGAGAGAGAAGAACCCCCTTTTTCATTACCAACCTTGGGACCAAAATAAGTTGACTAGAAAGGAAAATATCGTGGGAGGGGTTTTAATGGGGAAGTTATGGGGCGCCCTCTTAAAGTTTAATGGGGACGGTTATAGGGTCCCTGCTATTTTTTAATATCAGGGATCAGGCAGATCAGATTCCCGAAGATTGGGGTGAAGTTTTTGAAATCAGAATCTCTATTCCTTTTTTACTAGAAAGGGTAAAATTATATGTGGGAAATAAATAAATTTTAGTTTGAATATTTTAAAATCAACTGAAATAGTATATAAAACCCTAATTTATTTAAGAATTTTTATCAAAAAAACTGGGTTGCATAAGAGACGCAAATTATGGGAAAGATGTTGAACGAAAAATAAGTTATTGAAATCTAAACAAAAAATATCCATAATTTTTAAAATTAAGACAAAGCAAGTACTTCAAAAGAAAGGGAATTAAGCCCGGAAATTCAAGAACAGAGCGATAGTGAAGAATCTGGTAATTAAATTTAAATTTAGTATTTCTAGAATTAAATTTAAAAGAAAAATATTTTTAATCCTTATTTTAAAAATTTTTTAATTTTGGATTTTTTTGAGTTTGGTAAATTAAAAAAATAAAAGAATATTCATATAAAAAATAATCTTAAGTTATAGTTAACACGTCCTCTGATGAAGGAAAATGTTATTGTAAAAAATACACCCTTGAAGAACTTAAAGAAAAAATAGATATAAAAAATATTTCATTAATTTACAAAAAAGATGAAAAAGAAGGGGAAGGCGGATTTGGCAGAGTAAGTTTTCATGGGGTGAGGGATGGTTTATCGGTCGGTCTCCTGTATTCGAGATTAAAATAAAAAAATTTTTCATAAAGATAATTACCAAACTTAAATTTAAAATATACAAACTTTTGGAAAAACTATTTTAATCTTTTAAAGGTTTATCATGCATATTGGCCTGATAATAATATTTGTGTGGCTTTAAAAGTATCTAATCTAAAGATGGGGGGAACTAAACAAAAACATAAATTAAGTAGAAGAATGATAGAAAACGAAGTTAAAATCCTCAAACATTTTTCTAAACTTGAAAAAGAAGAAAGAAAATATATTATTTATATGTATGAAAGGTAGAAAAATATTCTGTTTAAACTATTTTTATTGTTTTTTTAAATTTTAAGTCAAGAAAAAATAATTGATGGAGAACCAAAAATGTTTTTTATTTTAGAACTTGGTGGAGAAAGTTTAATAGATTATTTTAATAGAAAGATGAAAAATGCTATGGAAACACATACTTCGCAGGAAACAAGAATTATTGCATATAATCTTATAACTAAAATTAGTATGTGCGCTGCTAAAGCATTGCAACATTTCCATAAATGTAAGTGTAATGATGATTCCCAGCAGTATTTAGAACGCTTAGGCTGGGGTTAAACGATCTAAAAAGGAAAAAGAGAAAGCATTAGTCGATGCCCCGACTAATTCCTATAAGCGGTGAGTGAAAGCGCCTAGCAATGACTGGAAGGAGGTCGCAGGTTCGAATCCTGCCCAGTGGCTAAACTTTTGCACTCTTTCTTAAGAAATGTTTAAAAATATCCGATAATCGTTAAATTGGTTTACTATTAAATTATTTTATGGTTAGGTCCACAAAAATGTCCGAGGTCAGTGCCTTCGTTTTCGGGGTTGGCGTTTTAGCCAAAAATGATTGAAGTTCGGGATCGGGCTGCAACCCTATGTCTATATTTTGATTTTATTTAGGGGGTGTGAAATAACCAAAAAATACTTGAAATTCTTATCAGACTAATTAAATTTAGATGGAATTCATCAAGATATTAAATCATCCAATTTTGTTACTTTTCCAAAACATAACAAAAATGAAGAAAGACTAAAGGAAAAAGAAAATGATTCAATTGAAGAAATTGAAGATGATCAATTAGAATGTAAAATTATAGACTTCAACACTTCTGTTCTTTTTCCTGCTGAGAATTCTGTTGCTATTAAATGGTATGCGAATGGCACACGATTATATAAAGCACCAGAAATACGTCAAACTAATTTAAATGAAAACTACAATAAACAATTTTATGTAATTATAATAATTTAATTATTTTAAAAGAAAAATTTTAAATTAAAAGATGACTAGAGCTGTGGATAATTGGGCATTTGGTTTAATGATATATGGACTATGGCAAAATGCAAATCGGTTTTATGCAGAAATACTTGGAAAGGAAAACGATTATGATTTACTTGATATTCAATTGGAAAAAATCAGATTTGAAAAATATGAGACTCAGCTAGATCAGATTATTAAAGTATTAAAAATTTAAAAATATAGTAGATTGGATATATGTATACTAGCTACATATGTGATAAATACTTGGTATCCTATAGGCTATTAAAAGTTTAAAAAAGGATAGATTGTTGATAAGATAAGGGCATATACAAATCTAGATTCTTGGAAATACCCAGTTAACTCTAATCACCAATTCTTAAAAAAACAATATTTCCGTGCCACGCAAAATGATAAAAATATTTACATAATTAAAAAGTAAATATTTATTTAATTCTAGGCATGTATTCAATCGAACCCCGAAAATCGTCCTAATATGGATTCGATTGTTAAATTCCTGCAAAATGGTTGTAGCATCTTCCATTATGAACAAAATGTCTTTGAGGTAAAATATATTTACTTTACTGTTTATAATTAAAAAGATTATTAAATTATTATAAACAATAAAATTAAATTAATCAAAGTTTATAAGATTTCTTTCTCGATTTTCAATTAACTACAAAAAATTAGTTTATATAACTAATCTTTTACCAATAAACTTATTTAGGCAATAGAACGATATTAAAAAGTTAAAATTTTCAGGTCAAGATCCAATTAGATGCTTCTGAGAAATTCATTGACATCCATTCAACTATTAGATATTTAGAAGGAAAAATTGAAGAATTTAATTTAAACGGAAAAAGTCCAATAAATGAAAGAGAGTTATGCTAAAATTAAAAGAATTTAAAAAGAAAATCTAGTAAATTGTTTTTGTGAAAGTACATATTAGACCGAATTCTTCTAAAATTAAACTAAATCCGACATTAGGAAATTTAACAATAACTTTATAAAATTCCTTAAATTATATGTAAGTTTTTAAAATTTATTATTTGTAGCTATGTAAATGTATAAATTATTTTTTTTAGATATTTATGATCCTTTTTTAAATTACTAAAGTATGTAAATGCTTATTGTCTATGCCACCATTTATTTTACCTTAATGCCGTTACTAAAACTAGAAAAAATTTCAAAATATCCAGCCAGAACATATGTAGATACTAATGTTAGGCACTACTTTTTCCTAGACTTTGAAATTATCTTTTAAAAGGATGTACATAATAGTTTATATCGTTAAATTTTCAAAATTTAATCTATAGATAATTGATGTATATAAAATATTTATGGATAATCTAAAATATAATATGTACAAGTCGGTCATCCGATATTCTCACATTTACGACAGTTTCTGCACGAGATAATTAACTTTAATCATTATTCTCGTTTTACATCCAAGTATTATTTCTGATATTTTGTTGATTATTACTTCCAACAGACGAATCTTTAACTTTTTTTAAGGAAGAAAAAATCTTTTTAAAAAGGGCTTTTGTGTCGTTACGAACAGTTTTGTTTAATATTAGGTAAATAACTGGAGGAAAACCTGAAAATAAATTTTTAATATGACCGAGGATTAAGAGAGAGAGTTCGAGTGATTAAGAAGTATAAAGAGGATATGGGGATATAGAGGAATTTGAAATTTGGAGGAGATCACTAATATCCACTATATCCAACCAAATCCACTTAATCCCTCATTGAATATTTAGTAACCCACTCAATTAGATTGTTCCTTAATTTTTGTATTGATATTTAATTTCTAAAAAGTTCAGAAAATAGCCAACCAAAATTTAAACCTGCTGGCCATAGGTTCCGGAGTCTGGAACCTATGGCCAGCAGGTCTAAGGTTAAATTTAGAATATTAGTGATATTAGGATATTAGTGAGTGATGTTGAAAATAAAACCGGATTTTTAGAAAATGAATTTGAATACTGACATTATTAATAAAAATACTTACCATGAATATGTAACCTAAAAATATAATAAATTAAGTATATTTTAATTATTATAATAAAGTTACCAAGAAAAATGTGCAATCATTAAAGTAAAAATTCCATGATCGGAATTATGCATATTGTAAGCATAAGCAAGACCTGCTGTTGTATTTAACATTGAAACAGTAAATACTTGAATAAATACCTTAAAATGTTTACTTTTATTATAAATTGGTAATTATTGTTTCGACTTTCGCTGGAGAGAGTAATTAATCGAGGGAGGGTAATTATACAAGGTTTGAAATTTGAACGTGTTTAGGGCATTTGTTGGGGGGGGGGGGTAATTATTGTTTCAATCTATCGCTGGATAGGGTAATTAATGGAAGTAATGTAATTATTAGTGTGAGGGCAATTAATCATGTTATACGGTAAGCATTTTTATATAATTCAAACCATTTTTTCCTCTTTAGAAACATTGTTAATTAATTCACGGCCTTTGAAGAAAACGCAAATTGAAAAAAATAAATAAAGTATAGGAGAACCTATAGCCAACATTGTATTGTGTATTGTAAATAAAAGTAAATCTTGATTAAACTAAATATTGTACATTATATTAAATATATTAAATTAAATTAATTCACCAATTCTATTCTGAAAGGTTTATATCCACTTAATGGATCAAATGAAGTTCCAAATGACATTCCATTGAAAATATAAGGATGTCGAAATAAAAGCCAATAAAGCCCATATAAATTACAAAAGACAATCCAAAAATAAACACGATTATTATGGAAAAGAATTTTTCCAATTTTTGGAAATGCCATTTCAAGACAGCGATTTATTCCCAAAATCTAAAAAATACTAATGATTGAAACATTTATTTAATTAAAAAACCAAATCAGCAGAACATTCTGCAGCCCAAAGAACTAAAAGTGAGTTAGAATAAATGATAAATTGAAATTTAAAGATTAGGATGTTATTAGATAAACTTAATATATTTAAACAGGGACACGCCCAAGGCGCAAAGCCATAACTACTTGGAAAATTTTTGGAGCTTAATAATTTTGGTATCAATCTCTTTAGCTCGATGAGAGGAATCGTTTAATACTAAATTTTGAAAGATTTGGAAATTTTGAAGCAGGTTATGGCTTTGCGCCTACTTGGGCTGTACCCATTTAAACAGTTTGACATTTCCTCAGATCTCTATATTAGAGATAGGAACGGGTCCGGGACCCGGACCCGTTTCCCGGTTTCCGGGTCCATTTTCCCGGTTTTTTGAAGCAACCGGGTTGAAACCGGGAACGGGTTTTCCCGGACCCGGTTCCCGCCCGGTCCATTTTTCAGAACCCGTTTCCCGGACCCGGACCCGGTTTTTTCAAAATTCCTAGCTCTACTCTATATAATATATTAAAGTAAATAGTTGCCTTTAAATTTTATTTAAAATGCTACCCAACTTTTGTGTATATTAAGCATAAATTTATCTATATCAATAAACGAAAAAATATTTTTAATCGTTGGCATGTTTTTATAAAGGTAACCTGACCAATAACTTTATGCTTAATTTAATGAGGATTATCCTTAAAACTCGTTCTACGAGTTAAAAACCTTCATGCATAAAATAAATTATTTTTCTTTGACTCTATATTGTAACTCTAATTAATTTATGTCTTTGATTGAAATTTTTTTGTAGTAGAATGAAGGAACTCACATAATGCACAACAACCAATAAAATATGTTAAAAAAGGTGAAGAACAATAAACTACTCCATTTAAACTAAATATTCCATAAGCGAAAGATGGTTCCCAAAGATATAAAATATCCAAAATCGAAAGATAAATTAAAAGTATATAACAGGGATTTTTTGTTCTATTCTTCCAAAATGAGTAAAGACAAGGGAAATATAAAGGCTTAAATTGCGGCTATTGGATATCTCCTTTGTTCAAATGGAATATCATCGACATTAATTCCTGAACAATTATAGGCTCTGTCAAATTCATCGCGATTCCATAATAAATCTTCCATTATATATTCAGATTCTTCAAATTTAAAAGATTTAATAAATTCAATTTAAAATTTAAAAAATCCAAAAGATCTAGACGAAATCTTAAGTCTTGAAACTAAAATTTCCTTTGTAAAAATTGAAATATTTTTCAAAGTATTAAGAGATAGGTGAAACTACATATGGACATAAACGGAAAAGTACCAAAAGCTTATCTTTAAATTAAAAATAGGTACTCTATGAAAACAAATCTTTAAAGTTTCCTAAAATTTTCACCAGCAGAGCTAATTTTATTACTATAATTCTAGAAATTTAGGAATCTTAGTCAGTTTTTTTGTTT